TTTTTTAGCGCACCTTTATGATGGCCTTACTGTTGAAAGGATGGAGGGAGTTAAGTCAGTTTTTAGAACCCAGTCTGTTTATGCTAGCAAAGGGCTAGTGCGCTGTGGACCCCCAGGATCAGGTAGACGAGGTCCCAGACCGAAGTGGTAGGCGCTTAGGGTGAACTATGTATGTAGCGCTTAGGGCCCTTCCGTACGGCCAATTTGTATGCCCGCAACGGGGTTCGCCTAAGTCGGTCATTTATATGCAAGGCGTTGGGTTACCCGGTCGGCAGAGCCGATCCACAACGAACGAACGAAGACCTGCATTTATACGAGTACGATACTTTTGCACAGCATACTGCAGAGAATCGTGCCCCACCGGCCCGGCGTGGAAAAAAACCTCACCAAGGAGGAAAAATTCTTCCTGTATTACAGTGAAAAATGCCCCCACCCCCAAAGTTGCAGAAATTTGTGATGCGAAATTTTCAAATGAAAACTTTTTGCCATGCATGAAAGGAGTATGAATCTTTCTGATGCAGAGTCTAGGCGTGTATCGCATCGCTTGCATGACAAGCGCCGCTCTTGCCGGGATCTTCTGCAATACAAACCTTTGCGATTCACGATTGGAAATCTGTGATGCTGATAGATGCAAGAGGGCGAATGTTTCTATTGGAAAGGTTTGCAACACAAATGCTCCCAATTTCGGGGGTGGGGGCATTTTTCATTGTAATATCCTGGTGCCGCAGTTTACCGACAAAGTCCCACTCTATGGAACGATTGCACAACTCGCTCACTTGTTCTCGAGGCTTTGTCTATTCATCTTCCATTTTCTAATTTATTAGATTTACAAACGGCGACACGCAGAAGCAGAAGCAACTAAAGAATTTTTTTTGCAACGGCCTCATCTGTAGTCGTGTGCAAGATGACAAATGCTATAAATGCATCATCAAAAATGAATAAAAAAGAGAGCGAAAAAATAATCCGGAGGAGTCGTTGTGCAATTTCATACCCTCGGCGTGCCCTACGGTTTCGGGCGGATCGCGATGCAGAAATCAAAGGGCTACGACAGGAACTTTCAACCCAGATTCGACGAGCTCCGTCGTTTGGGCGGCCTCAACCAGGAGATCTCGCAGGCGAAGGCACTGTATCCTGTGCAAAAGTTGTATATATCGTACTAGTATAAACCGCATGACAAATTTCTCAGCGTGATGAAAAATGGAACTTGTAATGCGGATTTAGGTTGAGAAAAATATTTCTCATGCGTGACTGCGATTAATAGTACGAGGTGCGATACGACTTTTGCAATGCATAGACTGCTATCCTGTGCAAAAGTATCGTACTCGTACAAATGCTAACGCAAGTCTTGCATTACAAATCTTGTTTCCAAGGCAAATCTGCATTACAAATTTTATTTCTCATGCTGAGGAAATTTGTAATGCATTTATACGAGTACGATACTTTTGCACTGGATAACTGCGGATGAGTCGGAAGAAGAAGAAGGGCGTTGCGGTATAACCCGCTCAGCTGTTACAATCTCAAGTGTTACAATAGAATATGAAAATCTGTGATGCAAAACACACATGGCCTAGCCTACTCCCACAGCATTGCGCATGACAAGTTCTGGAGTCCCAAACTGCACGAGAATTATGTGGCGAAATTTGTAATGCAGAAAGTGGAACGCTGTGCGGGTCTGTCATGCTCATCATGCAACACAAAATCCAGATTCTATTGTAACGTTTGAGATGGTAACCAATTTGAGCGGTTCATATGCGGGGGAAATCACGGTGCTTGGGGAGGGAATTGGTGGTGGAAAGGAAAATTTGTACTGACAAGGCGTTTAATGAGCCTTGTCGTTTCTGCCTGTTTCGCATGACAAGAAAAAGTTGTGCGAAAAGCATTTTGTATGTTAGTTTATTTCCCCGGTACAAAATAATCTTCTTGCTCTTGTAAAACTCTTGTAGTCCTCGTAAATAAAACCAGCACGACCTCACTGCTTGTAATAGTAATGCACTAAAAGTTAAAGTGATTCGGCTTTATCACAACTGGTTACATTGAAAATCAAAGCGGAAACCCGAATGCAAAAAAGAACCCCTTTGAAATGCATTTTGACCTGTACTAACAAGTGTAAGTATCTCTCTCTCGTCTCTTGTTCTGTAAGATAACAAACTACGGCTGCAAGAATCCAAACTACTGTACGATTTAATATTCCATCTCAGATAACAAACTTCTACCCCGTAACTTTATTAGGACAAAAGTATTCATCTTGACAGAACGAAGTTACAACCGTATTCAATCACAATGCAGAATCAATAATACAAATGCACCCGGAGCTCAAGCTTTTTACCTACACGCTTTTGATATCAGAATGCCAAAATGAACTACGGTCTACAGTATGGTATGCTTTTCTTCTGCGTTTGGTGATGTCTCCATGTTTCACTTTGCTGTGTAACGTCGGGAAGCAGGGAAGGTGGCGTTCAGTAGACACAAAAAGCATTGTTACGACCACAACGAACTCCAAAAGGACACTGTTCCTCTTGTGATGTTGTGCGATATCCTTTACCTAGTATAGTAACTCTTGCGATTAAATCTAAATTTGCTTTCTTGTAGAACTTTTTAGAATCCATCAATACGAAACTGAGACAAACACGATAGACCTGCTGCTTATGCTGTGCGCACCGGTTGTACTAGCGCACCAGTTTACGTCGACCTAGCGCGCGGAGGTAGGAGGTTCTTCTTGTGCCCAACCAATACCTGGCTTTATATGTTCCTAGAAAATGGTCCTCTAGGTCGCCGGTCATCGCCCAGCCGCAGCTGAGTCGTGTCCAAAATTATACTTGAGCTTACTTTGTTTATCTTCAATAGTGTAGTCCTCAACCTGTACAATATCAACACAGCTTTCCCCTACGCCTTGATCTGCAAGTAGGAGTGGAACTTCTACAGATGAAACTTGCTACGAGGAGTACTTTCGAAGGGAAGTAGAAGAGCAGTCCTCTTCACGGTGCTTGTAAAATGATTCAAATGAAAATGTAAAAACAACCAAACTCTAGTTGTGTGCAACGAAGCTACAGTACAAGAAGGAAAGAGAATCGGTGATAAACAGCTGGGGCGGAGGGCGAGGCGGTTTCTCGATGCAAATGAGCAGAACAACTTCCCTCCTGCCCGACATAATATACGGCGAAGGTGTTCAGGATCAGGGCCGAGCACGCCTGCTGCTATAGTCCTAGTCCTAGTTTCATTAACTTGTTTCAAAGAATGAGGTTGTTCTAATAAAATCCTCCACCTCCTCATAAATATGAATGTCGGACGTGCAATCCTCCCTGAGCCTAGTTTAGTATCATTAGCGCTTGTCACCATGCATGCAACATGTACAGGCTCACAGGAGGGAGAAAGATGATCAATGGAGCTATGAAAAACGAAACCACGACGACTCTCCTAGTGAAACGTCCATGATTTGTCGTGTTGCTGTCGTGGTTAGCAAAGCATCACTCTGTACTGCACGACTCTGAACAGCGATAATCTGTTGTTGTACTAGTGGCAAAAAGTCATGTTGAGATCTGATTTCCGCTCAAGAGTACTAGAGTAATTTCGCTAGAAGTAGAATTAGAAGTACAGTTTGTTCGTTTGTTCATCAACAGCAATCGATTTTTGAGTACAGTAGTTTCGATAAAAGCAACACAATTCGCGTCTAGTTGTGACGGTGCGTTAATCGCGACAGATTGATAAACAGCTAGAAACAAGGATTTATGAAACAGGTGAAGTTGGCAAACAAGCGACAGTTGTCTTTATTCAGCAGAATGACGTGGAAGCTACGATCCCGCTATGAATTCTCCCTGGCCCCCTCCCCAGGACTGTAGCTGTACGTCGACGACAAAGGACGAGCGGCGACCGACAACATTATTACATGATGAGCGACCCCCTGGACCACGTTGAGGCAGCAGCGGTCGCCCCCCCGGAGGGGTCGCAAGGTCAACAAATTCATCCGGGTGCGGCAGTTCTACACCCAGACGAAATTGCTGCTGCCGTGGTTGTATCAAGTGCAAAAATGTCTGGGTCTGGAAGAATGCATGTTTGTCATGCTTGTCTGGCATGACTCTTAAATCTGTCATGCACTTTTACCCAACAGCTCCATTTTTCTGTGATGCAGAAACGCAGTTCGTCATGCAGAATAGGCAACACCTAGAAGCTCAGATGAAACTTGTCATGCTAAGCCAGCACTTGTAGTTGCCTCATCATGAGACGCCGCCCAGCATCACAAGTTTCCAGACCCAGACATTTTTGCAATTCATAGGTTGCTGATGTGGAGTCCGACACTGAGTCGACGACGAGCTCCGTCTATGCAAAGAAAAAAGTGTTACAGTACGTATACACATTGTGTAGTTCTTGCAAGACCGGTAAGACAGTAAACCTTTGTCATGCACGAACTGCTTTCGAATTCGAGGCTTGTTTCATATTCACGCGTGTTCTTTTACCATCTCTGAATGGCAAGTTTTCTCTGTCATGCAGAGATGAAAATTTGTGTCTCTACTGCATGTTGTAATTACAACAAATGTGTACCTACCTGTAAATGCACGTTTTTCGCGGGATACTGTCGTGGACCAAAATTCCCTACAAGTGGATATGAACTGCAAAAGTATCGTACTCGTATAAATGCAATACAAATTTTCCCAGCATGAGAAATGAAATTTGTAATGCTGATTTACCTTAAAAGAAGGATTTGTAATGCAAGACTTGCATTTATACGAATACGATACTTTTGCACAGGATAGTGGACCACCACCAACAACTTCATGTCCCCATTATCAAATGCAAAAATGTTTGGGTCTGGAAACTTGTGATGCTGAACTGCGCATGATTGAAGCGCTTCCAATGGCAGCCAAGCATGACAAGTTTTTGAGAGGCCTGCTGATGCCTAGCACGCATTACAAATTGCGTTTTTGCATGACAAAGAAAGCCTCTGTTTTGCTGCTCATGCAACACAGATTTTCCACGAATGCATGACACGCATTACAAGTTCCACTTTTCCAGACCCAGACATTTTTACATTTGATACCCATTCTCGGTGGCGTACAAGGCAACAGCCACTCTCTCAACGACACACTGGCGCAGTCCCGCATCGACACGGCGCGATTGCTGGGAAGCCGCGGCTTCGTGTTCCCCCCAGCACCAGGAACATCAAATGGGGCAACTGCCAACGTGGTGGACGCAGGACCCGGAGGCGCAAATTTGGCCGGGAATGGCGGGTCCGGGGCACCCACGCCGTTTGGGGCCAACGATTATCGTTTTTTCGCGAATAATTCCGCAATGACCCACCTATTACCGGAGCACATTGAGGACGATTTTTTGCGGTTGCAGGCTATGCGAAGAAAAATCTGTTTCACTGTGGTGATTTTGCAAGATCTGCATCACAACTTTGTTACACATGACAAAGAAATAAACTTGGCATGCGTGCTTCCTAAAAAGGGAAATAAACACAACTAGAAATAGAATGTGTTTCATGTGTAGCAAGACAAACACATTTGCGTTGCGTTCTATCATGCATCACGAAGTTTACAGTGAAACAGTTTTTTCTTCCCGCGATACAGGCGGAACAGAAAATTTTAGAGACCGTGATGCGCGAGAACAGGCGGCTTGAGGACGAAATGCTGTTCTATCGGGACAGAACCAAGGATCTACTGGAACGGGAGAAAACGTATGTTAATGTGATTCTGTTTCCACCTTTGAGAAGGTTCAAAGACCAAGCTTTGAATTTCGCTTATATGGTGCTGATGCTGTGCTGCTGTGTAAGACAGGACATGTCATGTTGTCTCGCATCGTGGTCCACCAACCGCGCGACAACGACAAACACACATGACGAAATAAATCAGGCTTCGCATTTCCCAGATGGAAAACCAATCGAAGGCGGAAGCGCTGGAATCGTCCCGGGACCAGGTGTATCCAATGTAAATATCGTCCTTGAATCTAGTCGGGAAACTTGTAAAGTGCTCAGTTGCAAGCCCAGCATGAGAAATTTAATATTCGCGCGGCTTCAAACATATTCTTGTTTTGCTTTCCGCATATGAAACTGCGTTTTTGCATGACAAGAAAACGGTCAACATCCCTTCTTGGACACGCAACACAAACTCTTCAGTCATGCGAGACACACACGCCAGCGTGAGTACAAACATTTTATCCTTCGAGACCACCCAGATCGGTATTTGCAATGCATAAGGTTGCCGACAACTACGGCAAAAAGCTCTTCAAGCTGGAGCGGCATTATCAAATGCAAATATGTCTGGGTCTGGAAAAGTGCAACGTTTGTCATGCACGTTTTGCATGACGCGTGAGGTCTGTGATGCATGCCCTAGCATCACAGATTCTGTGAGATCTTTTCCATGCCTTTTCCGCATGGATGAGAAACTGCCTCTCGGCCTTCTTAAAAATAAAAGTGAACAGCTTTATTGGTAATCACGCAACACAGATTTTTGCATGCTTCAGATTTAGCATGACAAGTTGTACTCTTCCAGACCCAGACACTTTTACACTTGATAGGCATTTGGCGAAGACGAAATTCGAAAACAAGCAACTGAAAACCGAGATGGTAATTGCGCAACAGCATGTGTTATCCTGTGCAAAAGTATCGCACTCGTATACGTATTGCAATCATGCATTATCTTGAGGTAGATCAGCATTTTACAAATTTCATTTCTCACGCTGAGGAAATTTGTAAATGCATTTATACGAGTGCGATACCTTTGCAGTGGATACGTGTATGAGCAGCAGGAGTTTTTTGAAAAGCACATGACCAGCATGGAGGAGGCGCAGGAAAGAGAAAGCAAGGACAAGAAATATCCTAAGCAAAAACGTCCCCACCCCATAGTCAAGTTGGGAATCTAGCAACACAAATCTCCAAGCTTTGGGGACTGTACATGACAAGTTTCCCTCTGCAGTGTAGTTCTGATTGGCAAGATGAGCCGCATGAGAAAGCCACTTTCACATCCTGTTTACAGCATTACAAATTCCAAAACACGATTGGAAATCGCTCTCGTGGACGAGCTGCGCATTCCAAATGTTCCTGTTACTGCGCATTTGCATGACAACTCTGGTGTGGGGACGTTTTTACTCAGGACAAAAAACTTCTGAAGGAGCAAGCGGAGAAGGCGGAGCAAGAAAAGCAGAAGCTCGACGCGGAAAAACAAGTTCTCTCCACTGACCTCGTTCTGATCGACAAGAAAAAGAAGGAGGAAATCCTAGCGATGAAAAAGGACTGCGTATCAAAGTGAAAATTCCCCACCCCATATTCAAAAGACAACTTGTGTTGCTGGATTTCTGTACACAAATGAACTTTGTACTGCAGCAAGAGCTTGCGCTTGTCGGCATATTCTATCTGAGCCCATTTGGGTACGCATCCGGCAAGCAGCTGAGCATGCGAAACAAGTCTGACATGGGCGAAATCGCATGACAGACTCGCTGCACAATGCGCCGCATGGGTGCCGTTTGCCTTGTACGCAAGACAAAGCTGATTCGTGGTCACAAATCAGCATCACAAATTTCCTTTTCGATATGGGCAGGGGGGATTTTTCCTTACGATACTGCGAGGACCGGCTAGAGACCTTGACCAAGGAACTCACCGCCGAAAAGACGGCAGAGCTCGAAACCCTGAAAGCAGAACTCACATTATGCTATGTAAAAACGTCGCCACGAACCCATAGTCAAGTTGGGGAATCGGCTAGACAAATCCACAAGTTTTGGCTGTTTTGCATGACAGATTTGGAGTCGTAGTGTAGTGCTATTTGCGGTAGTTTAGCAGCGTCACAGATCTGGGCCATCATACTGATTGGAGCATGACAAATTCCAAAACACGACTAGAAAGCGCTTCGCATGGGGCTCCGGATGAGAAACATGCTTAGCATGCAGATTTGCATCGCAACTACCAACTATGGGATGGCGACGTTTTTAAATACGATACATACACAAACTCGCAGAAGAGACCACTCGAGCGGAAGCGCAGCTCGCGGAGGCGGAGCAGGCACACGCGGCCCACCTCGAGAAGTTGACAACGGAACACGAGCAAGCCAAGCAGGAGGGGATCGAAGCAGCGCAGGCGCAGTGCGAGGAGCGGTTGGCCGGGGAAAGGGAGGTATTCAGAAGAGAAAAGGAGAAACTGCAAGAAGACCTGATCGAGGAAAAACAGAACGCAGACATAAAAATCAACGCACTGCAAGTGGAACTGACCGAGAAGAATCAGAATTTTGACCAAGCGTCCATCGAAGTCGAGCAACAGATGCTACAGTTCCAAGAATATTAAATGCAACAGCATCGTACTAGTATACTACAAATCGCATGACAAATCTCCTCAGCATGAGAAATAGAATTTTGTAATGCGGACTCAACTTGAGAAAGAAACTTGTAATGCATGAATGCGATTAGAAGTACGACTACGATACTTTTGCACAGGATAAAGAACAGGTGCAGCAGTTGCAGGACGAGAAGCAGTTTTTGCAAACGGACTTTGACCAGTTGAAGTTAGACTTGGAAAAAGTAGCAAATGCAAAAATGTCTGGGTCTGGGAGATTGCGATATATGTCATGCCAGTCTGGCATGACTCTGAACTCTGTGTTGCATGGCCGCGAAGAGCTCCGCCTCCCTGTCATGCAAAAACGCAGTTTGTCATGCGGAATAATACGCAACTCAGAACCATGAAACAAATTTGTCATGCTTGGCAGCGCATCACAGTGAATTCACTATTCCCTTTCTTGCGTCACAAGTTTCCAGACCCAGATCGATATTTGCAATGCATAGAAAGCCGAGTCCGACAATGCGCAGGAAAAGATTCTGTTGGAGAACGAGTTTGAGCAAAAGCTGGAGCGGTCCCTGGGCGAGGAGCGGAAAAAGCTGGAACAAAAGGTATGACCTGCTCAAACGTTACAATCTCAAACGTTACAATAGAATCTGGATTTTGTCTTGCATGAAGAGCATGAGGAACGTATGTGGAGTTGCGCCTTTCGCAATACAAATTTTGCCGGATATCGATGGGGTTTTAGGTGCCGAAACTTGTTGTAATGCGCAAACCTATGGGAATACGGTAGATCATGCACTTCCTGCATCACAGATTTCCATATTCTATTCGTAACGTTTGAGATTGTAACAGCTGAGCAAGTTATAAAAGGTAAGCCAGATTGAGTCGGAGTTCATGCAGCAGTTTGAGATGAAAGAGCATATGAACTGCAAAAGTATCGTACTCGTATAAACGCATTACAAATTTCCTGAGCATGAGAAATCAAATTTGTAATGCGGATATACGTTTAGAAAAAAATTTGTAATGCATGATTGCAATTACTACGAGTGCGATACTTTTGCACAGGATAGAGCAGGAAGCGCTGGACCTGCAGAAGGAGCTGGATTTGGTCAACAAGGAGTGCAACGAGCTGAAGGAAAAGGTCGATAGCATGGAGGTCGACAAAACGAAAGAGTTCACCCATATGGAAGTGTCAGGATTGAAATCGTCAAAGTTGAAAAGATTTGTAATGCATAAAACCGATACCAGATGGAAGCCCACTTATCAAGCGCCGCGTGACAAATTTTCCGAGCACGGGAATCAATCCAAGTTTTCATGCTGTTTCGGCACAGGAGACAGCTTTTGTCATGCTACTTTAGCAGCTCTGTCCCAAACCCTAGACAGGCTCACAATCGGCCTCACTTGCCATCCCTGCAACACAGGCACCTCATGCTTTGCATTTTATGCATTGCAAGTTATTTCAACTTTGTTGATTTCAAACCTGACGCTTCCATAGCCCAGGAAGACCTCGAAAAGCGGATCGCGGAGGAAAAAGAACAGTGGGAAATTATCCCGAGCAAAAACGTCTCCACCCCATACCCATTTTGTGAAAATAGCGAAGTTTCTCTGTGCTTTATTTTGGTCTTTTCCAGTACATAAACAAACACAAAGTCAAGATAGGGAATCTTCTGTTAGACAAATCCGCAAGTTTTGGCTGTCGCGCATGACAAGTTTGGGCTCGTAGTGTTAGTCGTAGTCCTATTGTGATTTAGCTAGTGCAACCGCGTCACAACTCGGTCACCTTATTCTGATTCCAGCATGACAAAGTCCCTAATAGCATTAGAGAATAGTCCTCATGGGGCTGCGCACGAGAAATGTTTTAGACTTGCAAACTTGCATGACAACTCTGGGATGGGGACGTTTTTCCACAGGATAGAAATGAGTCGGGCCATGGAGGACCAGGCGAAGCGGGACAACCTCGAGCACCTGGAACTGAAGCACAGCGGCGAGATTCACCAGCTGCAGCAAGAATTGCAGCGCGCGAAGGAGTATCAAATGCAAACCATGTCTGGGTCTGGAAGGATGCAGAGTTCTTTGTCATGCTTCGATCTGGCATGACTGAGGAGTATGGTGATGCGTGTCCCAAGAAGAGACCCATGCTCGTGCCATGCAAAAAGAAACGCAGTTTGTCATGCGGAAGCCGGAACATATAGGCACGAAAATTGTACTTCCCATGCGTGGCTGTGCATTACAGAGCACTCACTAATATTTCCAACTCAGCATTACAAGTTTCCAGACCCAGACATAGATATTTGCAATGCATAAGGAGGAAGGGGCCGCGAAAGTGTCGCAGTTGGAGCAGCAATATCCTGTGCAAAAGTATCGTACTCGTATATAGTGCAAGCCTTGCATGACAAATCTTTTTCTTAAGGTAAATCCACATTACAAATTTTATTTCTCATGCTGAAAATTTGTAATGCATTTGTACGAGTGCGATACTTTTGCAATTCATAAGCAACTCGATTCCCTGCGCCACGAGCGGGAAGCGCAGGAGAGGGCGTGGCAAGCGGATGCCCAAGCGTCGCTCGAGCGAGAGGTGGCTGCGGAAGTTGCGAAGGTGAATCAACAGCACGAGGAACTCCTCACACGAACTCTGGCCGAAGAACGAGAGCAGACGCAGCAGCGCGTCACCGCCTATGCATTGCAAGAGTATCGTACTCGTATAAATGCATTACAAATTTCCTCAGCATGAGAAAGAAAATTTGTAGTGCTCATGTACGCTAAGGAAACGCATGATTGCAATACGAGTCCGATACTTTTGCACAGGATACCGCCGAGCTGACGGAAAAACTCGACGCAGAGCTAAACGAGAAGCAGCAGCAGCTGACGCTATCGCACGAAAAAAGTGTTACAGTTACACATTGTGTTGCAAGACCGGCAACACAGACAACCTTTCTCATGCAGGAAATGCTTGGGAATGGGAGCCTCGTTTCCTTCCTGTTTTCCCTTATGATCTTCGCATTACAAGTTTTCTCTGCCACACAGAGAAAATTTGTGATGCAGAAACTCCAACAAATGTGTGACTGTAACACTTTTTTCTCATGATAGACGCAGGCAGTGCAGTACTACGAACTGGCCTACAACCAGAATCTTATCAAATGTAAAAATGTCTGGGTCTGGAAAGTTGGAACTTGTGATGCTAACTTTGGACTCTAAAAAAATCTGTATTGCATGACCAGCAAGAGGAGCCACATTTGTGCTACGCGAGGAGGGCATTTGTCATGCGGAAATGGCATCAGGAAGCTTTCCAAAAATCTGTGATGCTGGGTCATGCATTACAAGCATCATGGGCCATGCCAGACAAGCATGACAAGCCTTCCATTCTTCCAGACCCAGACATTTTTACACTTGATAAATCTGGAGCTGCAGCAAAAGCTGCAGGAAGCGACGGAGGGTTCGGAAAAGCAAAAATTGGATACGGAAACAACGGTGCGCGAACTGACAGCACAGTGCGAGCGGGAGAAGCAGGACTTGGAAGTATTACAATGAAAAATGCCCCCGCCCCCGAACTTGGGAGGATTTGTATTGCAAACCTTTCCAAATGAAACATTCGCCCTCTTGCATCTATCAGCATCACAGGTTTCCAATCGTGAATAGCAAAAATTTGTCTTGCAAAAGATCCCAGCAAGAGCGGCGCCTGTCATGGAAGCGATGCGATACACACCTAGACTCTGCATCAGAAAGATTCATACTCCTTTCATGCATGACAAAACGTTTTTATTTGGAAACTTCGCATCACAAATTTTTGCAATTTCAGGGGTGGGGGCGGGCATTTTTCATTGTAATAGGAAGCAAGGCTGCGGCACGAGCTGGGGGAGAAACACGCCGAGCAGCTCGAAAAACATACCAAATGCAAAAATGTCTGGGTCTGGAAACTTGTAATGCTAAACGTGAATGGAAGACGCACTGCAGTGCGCAGCTATGCATGACAACTTTTTTGGCTGCCATGTCTTACGTATTACGCATGGCAAACTGCGTTTTTGCATGACAGGCAAGAGGGCCTTTTCGCGCCTATGCAACACAGATTCTCGAGCCATGCCAGACAAGCATGACAAACTTCCATTCTTCCAGACCCAGACATATTTCCATTTGATAAAACAGGCCCAGGAACAACAAATCGCCCTCCAAGAACAGCAACGGCGTGATGCGGAAGCAACGAGGGCTAGTGCCACGACTCTAACTCCCGAGCAGCGACAGGAGCTGGAGGCGGAGCTGCGTGCGGACTTTGAACAGCGCACAGACGCTATTCGGGCCGAAGAGAGGGAACGGGTCGAAAAAGAAGTCGAAGCGAGGGTGCGCGAGGAAGTGGAAAATAGTACAATGCGGACGCGGCAGGCCGAAGAGCTTGAGGCACTACAGCAGAAGTTGCACCATGCGGAGCACATGCAGCACATGCTGGAAGGCGAAAAGCACGAGTTGTTGGAGAAATTTGAACGACAAAACGCGGAAAGCCTGTCACCCAACAGCAAGCAGGAATCTTTGTTGCAAACTCTGCAGCAGCAGTTCGACCAGGAGAAGGACGAGCTGCTGAAGCAGGCACAGTATCCTGTGCAAAAGTATCTGGTACTCGTATTGCAATCATGCATATACAAATCTTGGTCTTAAGGTAAATCAGCATTACAAATTTTATTTCGCATGCTGAGGGAATCTGTCGTGCGATTTCTACTAGTACGATACTTTTGCAATGCATACGCAGCGGGACTTGCTCGTGAGGGAAGAAGAATGCGAGAAGAAACTCGAGGACCTCCGACGGCAATTTTCGGAGGAAATGAGTGCGATAACCAAAAATGCTGGCCAGCAGCAGGACGCTGACCGCCTCGCGGACAACCAAGAAACCTTGGCCAGGGTTCAAAGAGAAAACGCCGTCTTGGTGGAGCAGAAGGAACAGCTCGAGACCGCGTTGCGCGACCTGGAAGGCTCCGCCGAGGCTAGAATTGCGGCCGTCGAGAAGGAAAAAGAGGAAGCGATTCGGGTCGCGAAAAACCGGAGCCCGGCACGGGATGAAAGTGGTGCCTCGGCCGGTATCGCAAGGAAAAACCTTCCCTCCCCATACTCAACCGGAGATTTGTGTAGCATGATTTGTGACCACAAATCCTTTTGTCATGCTAGAGGGGAAGAGATGCGTACTGTAGTGCTAGCATGCGTAGGAAAGCCTAGCGTCTTCAGCATGACAGGAAGCAACCGGAAACGGGAAACAGCATGACCAATTGCCTACAAACGAGGGAGCAACTGCGTCTCTTGGCCTTTTAGCAATACAAGTCGATATGTGTACTCAACTACAGCAACACAAAATTTGTTTTCGATATCGGGAGGGGGGATTTTTCCTCACAATAGCCGGACTGGCTGCTGCTTCTAGCAGCACTTCCAACCCCTCCGTTATTGCGCAATTGGAGCAGCAGCTGCAGGAGCAAGAGCAGGAGAATATGCATTGCAAATATCGATCTGGGTCTGGAAGATTAAAACTTGTCATGCTAAAATTTGAACGATGCAAAAATCTGTGTTGCGTAAGTACCAAAAGCTGTCCGGTTTTGACCAAGTCGAGAGGGAGTTTCTGACGCAGGAAAGGCAGGATAGAAACCTCAAAGAATCTGTCATGCTGGATCTCGCATTCCAGACATCATGGGCCATGGAAAACCTGCATGACAAGTCTTGCAACGTTCCAGACATCCAGGGATAATATTTGCTTTTGATAGAGAACCAGAAGCTGCGAACTGCAGCGAAAACGCTATTGGATATCAAAGTGAAAAAAGCCCCCGCCACATATTGAAAAGATAATTTGTGTTGCTGGATTTGTGTACACAAAGGAACTCTGTATTGCAGCAAGAGCTTGTCTGCATATTCTAAGCCCATTTGGGTACTACACATCCCGCTAGTAGCTGAGCATGCGAAACAAGTCTGACATAGGCGAAAACGCATGACAGACTCGCGGCACAATGCGCCACATGGTTGCCGTTTGCCTAATGTACGCAAGACAAACCTGATCTGTGGTCACAAATCAGCATCAGAAATTTCCTTTTCGATATGGGGAGGGGGGATTTTTCCTCGCGATATTGGAGGAGAACGACGAGCTGAAAGAGCGGGAGCTTCCCGACAACGAACAGATCCAAAAGCTGTACCATCGCAACAAATCAAAGCAGGAGGAGATCGAACTGCTTCGGCTCACGATCCAGACCAAAGAAGAGGCCCTGCAATTAACGCTGGAAGAAACGACAAAGTTGCAGTATGCCTCGCTCAGACCGATTTTATAAAAATCTCAACTGTTGTTCCATACATAGAATCTGGATTTTGTCATCTCGCATGAGCAGCATGAGTACTAAACATATTAGAGAGTCACGACCACCTTGCGCTCATTTATTCCGCAATACAAATTCATTGAGCCGAATATTTTTATCCGGCAGTTCTTTGGAGCCCTCGAGCTTGTCATGCGCAATTACTTATCCTGTGCTGGCGGTAGGCTAGATCGCGCGCTTCTATTATTTTGCATCTTCACAGACCTCCACTTCTATGTCTAGATAGTCTGTAACGTTCGAGAAGATTGTTGTAACATCACTTCTGAGCAGGGTATATGCAACCGAAGCTCGAGGAGCTGGAAACCGAGAAGAAAACGAACGAGGCGAAAATCGCGCAACTGCGACGCGTATGCATTGCAAATATGTCTGAGTCTGGAAGGGTGGAACTTGTCCTGCTAAATCCGAATCATGCAAAAATCTGTGTTGCATGAGTGCCAAAAGCTGTCCACTGTCAACCAAGTTGGGAGGGAGTTTCTCATGCAGGATAGGCATGACAAAGCGAAAGACCTCACAGAGTCTGTGTCATGCTAGGTCCCGCATTCCAGACGAGGCCTCATTGGTCATGGAAAACCTGCATGACAAGTTTAGACTCTTCCAGACCGAGACACATTTGCATTTCATAACGCGAGTACGCAGATCTGCTGGAGTCTGTATCCAGTGCAAAAGTTGTATCGTGCTCGTACTCAACATTGCATTCATGCATTACAAATCTAGTTGTTACAGTAATAAATCCGCATTACAAATTCCAATCTGTAATGCTGAGCCAATTTGTATTGCGGTGAAAGAATACTAGTACGATAGTACTTCTGCAAATCATAGTCTGTGCAAGGAAGCAACACGACCTCGACGGACGGAGGACAGACTGCACAGCAGGGTGGTACTATAGTGAGTATCAAAGTATGTGTGTGCAATGAAGCACTTCTATAGATACTCTTTGTGATGACGACGGGTTACATGGTGGAAGAGAATGAATATCGATATTTATTATTTTGCAACGAAATTCCGACTACGTTTTTAATATTTTATTATCGAAATAAAAATCCAGACCTCGTCCAGGAGACGCTGGCGTTTCAACTCCGCAACAAGTCTATCAAATGTAAAAATGTCTGGGTCTGGAAGAATGCAACTTGTGATGCTAAATCTGAAGCATGCAAAAATCTGTGTTGCATGATTACCAAAAGTCGTCCAGTTTTGACCAAGTCGGGCGGGAGTTTCTCATGCAGGATAGGCACGATAGAGATCGCACAGAATCTGTCATGCTAGATGCTGTATTCCAGACCTCGTGGGTCATGGAAAACCTGCACTACAAATCGCGCACTCTTCCAGACCCAGACATTTTTGGATTTGATAAAGTCCAAGGAACTCGAGCACATGGAAAAACTGAACAAGAACACGATCGACAAGCAGTATATGCATTGCAAACATCGATCTGGGTCTGGAAGGTAGTTGCTCCTGCCCCTGCTCAGTACAACGCAGAATGTGTACTATCTCACCCCTCACCATTGTGAAGGATGGAGATTGATGCAAGTCCTGGGTGGAGCAATGCATAGGTTGTGAAGGATGCAGGTGCATAGCGCTGCCTCCTTGTTTTGTCGTGCACCACAAACTGGAATTTTAGCTCACGCACGACTTGCAGTTGCACAGCCGCTCGGAGTAAATTATTTTTCACGCGTGGCTGCGTCCTGAAGTCAGCTTTTCATGTAAGAACAGCATCACAAGTTTCCAGACCAGAGACAGAGAGTTTATTGCAGTGGATACAGTATGTAACGAACATTCTGCTGAAATTCATTAACGCCGACCCGGATACGGACACCGAGACGCGTATGGAAGCGTCAGGATTGAAATCATCAAAGTTGAAATAAGTAGTTTGTGATGCATAAAATGCTAGACGCAAAGTGCCTTTCTTGCCGAGCAGGCAACTGAGGCCGATTATAAGCCTGCGTGGGGTCGTCGTGTGAGATAAAGCTGCTAAAATAGCATGACAAAAGCAGTCTTCTCTGCTCAAACAGCATGACAAACTGGATTTCCATGCTGCCTTTTTTTTGTCATGCGCCACTTGCAAACTGGGCTCCAGCTGGTATCGCTTTTTTGCATTACAGAGTATTTCAACTTTGACGATTTCGATCCTGACACCCTGATAACGGGACTGGAGATGGGCCGTTTGCTAGCGGAGTCGTTGGATTGGGACCGGGCAAAGTTCGCAAACCTGCTAAAGGTATGCAAAAAAAAAATTGTTTCACTGTGAACTTGTGATGCAGAAATAAATGGAACACAGAACTATTTGTCTTGCTACACGACCTGCATAGAGCATTGGAGTTTCAAGTGTGTTTTTCCCTATGGGAAATGCGCGCAAGGTAGGTCTTCAGTGTCATGTGTAACAAACTTGTGATGCAGATCTTGCAAAAGCATCACGTTGAAACAGTTTTTTCGTACGATAAGAGGCGACGGGGTCCTACTGAGTTTGATTGGTTCATATGTAAAAATTCCGCGGTACGTTGTGTTAGCAGATGATCCGAGGTTGTAGTATTGATGGGGACAGTCCCGCTTTAGTACTTCTTTACAACCAATTGATTCATTGTTGCACCCTGCGGCGCTGCTAGCGTGGTCGCAGCAATCTTCCTTCCGGGAGAACAAGAAGAAGATGTTTGGGGGGAGCAAGACAGAAAACTTTGTTGACACGACCAAGCGTGAGCTCACTGTTGTAGCGAAGATGATGAACGAACGACCAGATGAGTTGTACACGAAGCAAGAAGCAGAACCATGAAGCACCAAAAATGAAGTATCACGAGGAAAAATCCCCCCTCCCCATATCAAAAGGAAGTTTCTGATGCTGGATATCCGTATACAAATCAAATTTGTCTTGCAGTAGAGGGCACCAGGCTCCAACCAAGCCTGAGGAGAGAGCTTTTGGCCTAGGGGCTTAGCATGCGAGACGTCTATGCTGCAGGCCCAACAGCATCACAAACCGCCTGCATAATGCGGCAGAGCCTGTGGAGTTGTCTTTTTGCAAGACAGACGTGATTTGTGGTCTCAAATCAGCAAGACAAATTTCCGGAAGCATACCTTTCCGATATGGGGAGGGGGGATTTTCCCTCTCAATATGAAAATGAACACTACGATAAACCACGACCCCCGAGGACGTCGTGGTCCTCTTCTAAGGCGGCACATCTGTCAGCTACCTAATATGAGAGTGCACAACTCCCCCTCCCCCTCATTTGCAGGGCAGGAGCAGCAATACAAACACCAACACACTTGGAGCCTGTGCATGACAAGTTCACGGGCCGAGTGCAGTACTGTTTGGGCTCCTTCTGAAATTTGTCATGCAAACAGTTTCACAAGGCACCAAATGACTTGGGGACTTTGCGTCACATCTGAGGGGGAGGGGGATTTCGGGTTGTGCGCAACTGTTATACTCAACACTTACCCCCGGAAGAAGATCATGTTCAGACGTCGAACAGAAAAAAAGAAATAGAGCAACCGTGGTTAAGTAGACTCGTTTAGCACGAAAGAAAAGTGAAAATAAACCAAACTATTTTCATTTCAATCTATCGACTTCTTCTTTCTTTGCCTCTGTGCTTCACAGCTCGGTCGTCCTCTGTAGGGGAAGAACGTCTTGCCTACTAAGTGAAAATGTCGTTATTTCGGTAGCTTTTACCTCGTGCAAAATTGATAAACAGCGACAAAGTACTAGAATAGTGACGTTGCGTCTACGCTTGCGACAAGAAGGACAACTCGGTGACGATGCTTCTACGCTTGCGAAAAGAACTACAACTCGGTGGCTGTGCTTCTCGTACGAAAAGACCTACAACTCGGTGGCTTTGCGTCTCTTGCGAAAAGAACTACAACTCGGTGGCTATGCTTCTCGTACGAAAAGACCTACAACTCGGTGGCTTTGCGTCTCTTGCGAAAAGACCTACAACTCGGTGGCTTTGCGTCTCTTGCGAAAAGACCTACAACTCGGTGGCTTTGCTTCTCGTTCGAAAAGAACTCCTCGGTGGCTGTGCTTCTCGTGCGAAAAGAACTCCTCGGTGGCGTTGCGTCTCTTGCGAAAAGAACTGCTCGGTGGCGTTGCGTCTCTTGCGAAAAGAACTGCTCGGTGGCTGTGCTTCTTTCACGACACACAGGTCGGTGACTTTCGTTCTTCTTTGAGATGCAATAAAGCACTTCGCGCTGTTCTCGGAATGATGGGGCGGTGAATACTTTAGAACACTAAAAGCATGCTTCTCTTCCATGGTATCAAACGAATTTTTATCTTGCAACGACGTTGAATTGAATAATCCGGTACTTTTAAAACCTTCTCCCCACAAAACAGCAGCGAATTCGCGCAAGAACTATCGTTTCCTCTCGGACGGTAAACCTTGCTCACCGAACTCTTGCCCACAACATCTTGTATCAAATGCAAATGCGTCATCTGGGTGTAGTGGATGAAACTTGTGGTGCTAAAATGTCGTGGATGATGGAAACACTTCCGAACGCAGCTGAGCATGACAACAGTCCAGAACGCTTTCTCATACCCAGTCCGCATGACAATAAAATGGCTGCGGCTTTTGTTGGTTATGCAATACAGATTTCCCAGGAAAAATGTAGAGCTAGCATATATACAAGTTCCATCTACTTTCCAGACCCAGACATGTTTGCAATGCATACCTCACATCAATTTAACGAAACTCACTGCACACAACAAACTTAACGACAACGACGACGTACAACCTCTCTGAACTACCGCAACTTTTTTACCACGAACTTAAGCACTACTCTCAAAAAATCAAAACCTCGAGAAAAAAAAATAAATTGAAACGGACGGGAAAAGTAACCACCACCTGCTCAAACGACTCGACGGAGTTGGAATAAGTATAGTACTAGTAGTGAAGCAATCTAGTACGAAACACAACTTGCACTTGTACGAGAAGGAGACCACGACGACTCAACGACTAGAAGGTATTCATTTGATGCGCTCGAAGACATTTTCTGGAGTCACCTTGTTTCTACTGTAGCTTTCAAAGGCGATTGCCTACTGTAGGGGTCTCATCTAGGGTGGTCTACTACTTACATTGGATCGAACCCTACTGCAGGTTTAATAAAAAAACATTTAGTATTTATTTTTTTTGCAAACAGCCACGAAGACAAACTCTGCCCGAAAAGTTCGCCGTTTTTGTGAACCTGTTTTTCTTTTTTCAACCTTCAGAAGGATTTTGCGGCCTTCTGTACCTTTTTGTAGAATTCTCATGTGATGTTTTTCCCCTATGATACTGCAATTAAGTAGGATCTGCGACGAGGACTCAACGACGAGAAGGAGATTATACTTCACAGGACGCCATCAACATCGTTCGAGTATTACAATGAAAAATACCCCCACCCCAAAATTTGCAAAAGTTTCTGATGCGAAGTTTCCAAATGAAAACTTTTTGTTTTGCATGGAAGGACTGCGAGTCTTTGTGGTGCAGAACCTACTAGATTGCGCCGTAAAGTACTTATCTTTTGCATACGAGATCCGGGCGGCTGGTGCTGGGCTTTTTGCATTACAATTTTGAGCTATTCAGCATGAGAAATTTGTGATGCTTATATATGCAAGACGGGGGGTGTTTCTATATGGAAAGGCTTGCACTAAAAGTGCTGCCAAGCGCTGGGGTGGGGGCACTCTTCGTTTTAATACCGGAGGAAGCTAATTCACAAACACAGCACGACACCGGCGACAGAGGGATCGTGAACGAGATTTCTCTCGTCCTCCTACTCATCAAGCTCTACGCGGCGAAGCAGCGGTCTCGCTTGGTCGGAGAAGGACCAGGAAGCAGCACCTGAGGCATCAAGGAAGAAAGGAGAGGTAGTATTTTAGAAGTAATTCCGAATGTTGTCTGATTTAGTCAGTACTAGTTTTTTTCGATATTCGAGCGGAATCAATAGTGTCAATCCTTTTGGCCCTCGAGGAGCGTTGCATTTTTTTTAGTACTTCATAGGTAGACAAACAAAAAGAAGATGCATTAGGTGGAAGCACTTTCGAAAGTGCGTAGCCAGTTACCGCAGCGCACCAGCTGCAGCTCCGTGGGAAGTGAAAGGGTCTTCGTCTTGAAAAGGTAATGAAGATAGAATGAACTTTATTAATAATTTTTTTATAGTGACAAATGATTTTGAATTTTATTTTTATCTGCACCACAGGTACTATTTTGCTTCGATACAACTCCGAGTTGTGCACGATCGAAGCAATGGCAACTACACTGGTAGACAACATGCCCTACGGGGAAAACAAGCTGGTTATCATAAGGAAAAATCGCCTCTCCCCATATCGAAAAGGAACTTTGTGATGCTGATTTGTGACCACAAATCAGCTTTGTCTTGCGTACAAGGCAAACGGGATCCAACATGTTGCGCATTGTACAGCGAGTCTGTCATTCCTTTTCACCTATGTCAAACTTGTTTCTCATGCTCAGCTGCTAGCCGGATGCGTCCCCAAATGGGCTTAGAATATGCCGACAAGTAGGTCTTGCTGGAATACAAAGCTCGTTTGATGTGATGTTCGCAAATCCAGCAACGCAAACTGTCTTTTGAATATGGGGCGGGGGATTTTTTCACTTTGATACCGGTGGTCCCCGAAGAGGTCGAGGCGCTGGTCCCCGAAGAGTATCAAATGCAAATATGTGTGGGTCTGGAAGGATGCAACTTGTCGTGCTAAGTCTGGATAGTACAAAAATTTGTGTTGCATGATCACCAAAAGGTCTCCACTTTTGAACAAGTTTAGCGGCAGTTTGTCATGCAGGATAGACATGATAGAGACTTCGCAGAACCGGTCATGCTAGGTCCTGCATTGCAGACGAGACCTCCTGGGGCATGGAAAATATGCATGACAAGTTGCATTCTTCCAGACCCAGACATATTTGCATTTGATAAAGAGGCGGGGATGCCCACCGCCATGCTGACCCTCTCGCCGTCTCCGCAGAAGGCGGGCGGTGAAGTGGAGCCGACCACGTGCACCGGACCTCCTATGGAATTCGCAACTCGCTTACCTTCTCAACTATTACATGAATTTGTCGTGCAAAACTTGTAGTGTACCATCATCGTCCCCACGACCAAGCTGCTTCGCATGACAAATTCGCAAAGGGCTAAACAGCGCCTAATCTGTGCGAGGAGCTGTGTTGTAATGCTACAGGGGCATGCAACCGGAACCGCTCCTGTTGCACTCACTTTTGCTATTTTTGCATCACAAATTCGTGTAAAAAACAGTTGAGAGTATAACGTTTGAGAATCCCATACCTCTCCAAGAAGATTTGGCGAAGCACGGAGGGCCGAAGACCGGGGACAAGCCGGCTGCGACCGGGAAGCCGAAGGGCTATGCGAAGCGGGCCGGCAAGCGCAAGCAGGTGGTGATGCAGCGCTACCAAAAACTGGGTCGGGACTACGGTTGTCACCTGCGGAACAAGAGAGCCACGGCCGGCGCCGCCGCGGCCGCTGGCTTTGGCTCGATGAACGCCACCGAGGTGCAGGCGGTCCGCCGCACGACGCCGAAAGCCTCCTCCACCTCCGGTCCCGCTGTCCAGGCCTTTCTGGCCATCACGGAGGAAGGCGAGGCTGTGGAAGATGAGAACACTACTGTCGAGAAGAATAAGCGCAAAGCCGAATCGGAGGTCCCTGAACTTGTGCCGCGCGAACCTGCTGTCGTCAATGACAACGAGCTGGAAGCGACCGGGATCATGCTGGAGATGGTCCCGGAGCTGCATGCTGGAGAGGCGGTCCCTGACGGAGAAGAACCCGCGGAGCAACAGCTGCAAGAAGGCGAAGTTATTGCAAAGCAACCCGAAGCAGCCGGCAACATTCCACCCATTCTGGGCGAAGTGGCAGAAGAACACGACAAGCCTGGCAGTGACGAAGTCGCCCCCGGGGTGGTGCCCAATATCCACTGCAAAAGTATCGTAGTGGTAGTACTAATTGCAACCATGCATGACAAAAAATCCAATCTTCTATCTGATTTATAGATCTTTCATGACAAGTTCCATTTCTCAGAAAAATTTAAAATTTGTATTTGTCTATGTATCGCAATTTTTCATACTAGGATTAGGATGATACTTTTGCAATGCATACCGGAAGATGGCTTTCTGCAAAAGACACAGGAGCATTATGGAGGCAATCTCAAGCGCTAAGTGCTACATTGGTCGCTGTTCTTACATGAAGACTTGTCATGCAGAACCACGAACACGATCACTTTTGACACGATCAAGCGATTTTGCCTGAGACCTCGTATCGACGCGCTAAAAGATAGCTGCGCTCCGAAATTTTGTTTTCCGTGCCGACTCTGTACTCAAATTCAAAAATACGCGCAGGGGCGGGCTGCCCCCTTTCGCTTTCCTGTGCAATGATTTCTTTACTGGTCTTGCATTGCAAAATGAAAATTTTTATAGACCGGCGAGCAATGTAACCACCTTTGAGAGTCCCTCCATAAGCAGGAGCAGGCGAATATGGCATTCTCAATCGTTAGTACATTGTTAGCTGTTGCAAGAGAAGAACACGACTTGTAATGCAAAATCAAGTTCAGGAGCTTCGACGCGATCCAGCAACTTCATATGGCCGAACAGGAAATCTGTTCCAAATTTCTAATGCGAGGAGAGGCGCAACAACAAAATATTAGATATATGTGCTCCTGCCTTTCCGTCCTGCTGCAATTCTTGCATCACAAATTCGTGCATGAGTTGAGAATGTAACGGTTGAGAATCTGATAGCGAAGAAGATTCCTGCCGATGAAGAAAAAACGCGGGCCAAGGACGACGACGTGGAAGGAAAACACGGGTTTCTGCAAAGGGAGGGCCAAGGAAATAAACAAGCTGTAGCGAGCGGCGACACCAGCGCCCTCTATTCGTCGGCATGTATCGAGTGCGTTTGCAAGGCATATCAGGAAGCACGTGCTGCAGACGCAGGTTTGCTTCCTCGAACGACGAAGTGGCGCTCCACGCCTTTCTTGAAGGCTTTCGCGGACGCGGCAACCGATTCCGCGGGCTGCGTAGAAAAATGTCCTGAATCCACCACGACCTTGAAGAAACCCTTGACGGACCTTCAGGGTCTTGGCTTCACCCCGAATTCCTTGAATCCCAAAAACTGGGTCGGAAATCCGTTCTTCTACCAAAGTAAAAAACGCTCCCACAGGAAATACCTTGAGATGGAATCCATACAAAGCAAAAACGTGGTCCGAGTGTATGACTCGGACGTCATACATTATAAACAAACACAGTAAGAAGTCCAATTTAGATTTCTTTGTATCTGACAGTGCAGCAGACACAGAGGTGGGGTATTGTTGATGCTCCTGCAAAGTGCAGCGTCGGACAGGCGGCAACATCCCGTGCCAGTATGGAGACAAGAATTGTATGCTGTGCTGAACCGCAGACGAAAGCACGAAAGACAAACTCCCTCCTACCTGCAACTACATGCCTCACAACTGCCACCTCTTACTTACGCAGTACTGCGGCACGGCTTCTGCGTGTGCTTGTGGGTTGTGGCGAAGCGCGCAGCTGTACTAGGTCCAGCATGCCACATGAAAACTGCGCCGGCTTGGCTCCGGGGGTATCAATGCAGCGCGGGAGCGTTTTTTACATGTTGATAGGCCCAGGCGAAAGTTGCGCGCGGAGCTGCGTAGTGTATTGGGTGGGGCCTGCGGCGGTGGGCACACGATTACGGTGACGTATTCGGATGGGAGGAAGTACACCGGAAAGGTGGACGAGAGAGGCGAGCCGACGGGCGACTCGGGCAAGATGGTTTGGCAGGATGGGTTGGAGTTTGTCGGGAACTTCAAGGACGGCCAACCGCACGGCAAAGGGACGATGAGCATGCCGGATTTGGAAAATGAAGGTGGGCGGAAGGAGAAGGAAGGGGACGACTGGGGGTATGGAGAGATCAAGTATCCTAGTGGCAGTAGTTACGTGGGCCACCATGTTGGAATGAGGTATGGCAACGGCACCACAAAACTGAAGTATGGCAGGGGCACATACACATTTACGGATGGCAAGAGTGCGTACGAGGGACAGTGGTGGGACGACGAGTTCAACGGCGAGGGCACGTACACGCACGCGAACGGCGACCGGTACGAGGGACAGTTGACGGGCAACCAGAAGAACGGCAAGGGCACGTTCGAGTGGGCGTTGCTCGGCAAAGTGTACGTGGGACAGTGGAAGGGCGACAAGGTGCAGGGCGAGGGCAAGCTCACGTGGAACAGCGGCGAAATGTACGAGGGACAGTGGCACGACAACAAGAGGGACGGCAAGGGCGTGATGACGTGGTCCCCCAACAGCGCGGCAAAAGTAGGCAATTTTGTGGGAACGTGGGTGAATGACATGATCAGCGGCGAGGGCATCCTCACGTGCAACAATGCCAAAAAGACCACCCACGACGGAAACTGGAAGACGGAAGAAGGGCGCACATTTTTGGTTTCGGGGGAAAATGGCGCTCATGGCGGCGACCTCCTTGAGCTCTGCAAAGAGCCCGCCTCTTCGCAGTGAGTCTTGCGCAGCAACACTGCCCTCGAACTCGAAGGTAAGCAGATTCGAACTATACTAAAGTATCCATGTCGTGTTTATCTATTATCGACCTCGGCATATTAAGACTCAGATGAATGTGTCAAGAGATTCCCACGGCAAACTCCTCCACCATCAAAGTGCAGCGCCACAGCCAGACTGCATACAGAGTCCTGCCCTTTTGCCTGTAGCAGTAGCGCAGCACCTCTATTGTGGTTTCCGGTTTCGATTTTATTTGAACGCGTGCAGCAGCAAGGCCAAATTTCTTTATCTTCCACTTTCATGCAATAAATCGGAGTTTTTTTTTTGTAGTTTGTGCCATTTTGTTTTTTTTTTTCGGGATCACGCATGGCTCGACAAGGCCGCGACCGTTCAGTTTTTTTTCCGGCCTTTTGGCCGACATTACTTTCCCAAGTAGAACAAGAACAAAACAAAAAGAGCGCTAAAGGCCGGGGCCCCCGAGTTCGTTGCCGTTGGTAGGTGAGTAAATGCTCGGAGTCTTTCTCTTTGTCTTTTTTAAACATTCAAGCACACAGCACCTCTGCACCCAGCAGAAAGCTTCGCCTTCGGTATGAACAGACCGGAAGGCGTTGCTATGTTTGTGCCTAGAGTTCGACTCGTTATTATCAGATTTTTTTTTGCTATTTTGTAGAAAATAAATGGCACTTTCTAGGATTTTTCGTTTTCCTGTCGCAAACCGTGCTTATTGATTCCACCCTCATCGTATCAAAGGCAAGAGTGTCTCGGTCTGGAAGATTCTGAACTTGTAATGTTGTCTCTGGATTCTGAAAAAAATTGTATTGCATGACCAGCAAGGGGACTCCACTTTGTGCTACTCGGAGAGGGCGTATCTCATGCGGTAGAGGTATCGCAAAGCGCTCTAAAAATCTGGGATGCTACGGCATGCATCACAGACGTTTTTGGGTCATGGAAAATATGCATGACAAATCCGCTGCGACTGCTCGCCTTGCTTGCGGCTGCTCGCCATGAAAGCAACTACATTGTGGCTTGCCTCACTTTTTTAAGAGGGGTTTTTTCGTAGATGGGTCTGTGTCATAGTAGATACTTTACCGCTTTTTTACTTTTCTTTTCTCCCCCGGCGCTAGTGTTATTGGTTTGCACACAAAGTTATCCCTACTTAGATAACGACAAAAGCTCACCCTGCAGCCGTCCCAGGAGCTCTTTGCTGTTGTCTCTCGGTAGTGATCGCTTTGTCCAAGTCGATTTCTGCTAGAGTTTGCTGAGTATGCGGCTACCGTTTTAGGCTATTTACATAGGGACGCCCTGCCCTTAGTTTCCCAACATGACAAATCTAGAAATCTTCCAGACCCAGACACTTTTGCATTTGATACATCGGGGCCATAGCCACGTGCTGCCAGGGATCTTCATCACCGACAAAATAGAGGCCATTTATTTTCCGAACCATATTTTTCCGTGGATGCTCTTAGACTTCAGATCTACATCTACTTCTGCTTACTTCGGATCAACATCATGCGGTCTCGGACCAAGACGGTGTCCAGCACATTAAATGTGACATGCAAATGAAGATGATATCTCTGCTCAGTAGTAGTTGTAGTAAAATATGAAACAGTATGAAATTCAAGTTCAAGCACGTATTCTTCCGTGTACTCAGCGAGTTTCTAGTACTGTCGGCGCTATTCTTGTTAAAGTATTTCCTTTATCAGTTGCCTTGCACCTGCAGCAGTATTCTGCAAGGCAAAAACAAGAACAGCGGGCTCAGTCCTTCGCTGGATTTTCCGTATTTTTTATCAACTTCTCACTTCAGTAAAGCTAAAATCGAAGGTGTATACCAATACTTACACTCGAAGGGAGAAGCGGTCTAAAAAAGTCAAAAAATCAAAAAAAAAGCCTAATCGACGTCATTGGAAGTGGTAAAAACGTATACTCATTATTCCTTTTTCATCCTTGTTTGGTAGTAGTAGAAGTAGTAGTGCGTACAACTCTTCCATCGGGTGTCTTTTCCTCGCGTGTTGATTCCATTTCAACATGCACGGGGAGGGGAACGCGAACGACCGAAACGATATACTTCGTCATGCACTTCTACCTGAAACCATTTTCGCACCCGTGTAAAAAACACCAAAAGTAGGGGGTAGGCCCAGCAGACGCAGAATTATTTTGCCTTGTGCAAAAAGAGAAGCAGAAGCAGAATTTTTACAATTGAAATCCTTCTTCTTCTTCTTGAGTACAAGCATGCCGGGGCGTAGAAGAGGGCCCTGGTGTTTACATTACTCAACATGACAACTCTGCTTGTCACATTTATTTTCACTGTCCGACTATACGGATCGGTCCGTCATGGGAGGTCCGTCATTGGCGGTCAGTTGCTTTTCTGAATGCAGTTTTGATTTCATTTTGGGAGGTTATTTGTGTAGTATTTCGCATCCGAACGCTCCGAGGCATTTTTGTTCAATACAAATGCCAGGAGATGAGACAGGTTGCAGAAATATGAAAAATGTAAGAAAGTTCGAGTTGCAGTCAGAGCGAGTTTGTTTTACCTATATTACGAGCCTGTAGTTAGAACTACCGGCTATAGCTCTACAAAGCAAGCGCTTTTCTTCAGACTCTTGCTGTTCGCGCCAGCGGCTTGACTTCTTGCTAGAGCCAGTACTTTTGAGCGGGTATGAATGATCACCCGCGTCACTTTTTATTCTTGATTCCCACTTTGTTACTTCTTTGTTACTTCGCATTTTTGTATGAATTACTTTTATTAAATAAAATGAATTATCGACCCCGTTTTGATATACTAGCTTCCGGTTGATGTGTGCGTGGTGTCTCACGATGCCGTGCAAGTTATTTATTGCAATTATTTTTTCTGGGTCTGGAAGAATGCAAGGCGTTTCATGTTGCTCGGCCAGCATGTCTCTCATGTCTGTGATACATGTAGCGCGAAAGTAGCGGGAGCGCTTTGCCATTCTTCTGCTATGCAAGCATAGCATGAGTCTGTCGTGCAGAACATGAATAACGATTACCTAGCCCCGCAAGAACTTGTCATGCGGAGACATCAAAAGTTGTAGCGAAGCGTGCTGGTAATTCTTCTCCAAGAACCAGAAGCACGAGTTTTCAGATTCAGACATATTTGCAATGCGTACAAATGGTGCTAGTAGTCCCAAAGTAGTAGTTTTCGGCGTTGTTTAATACGAGGTGGTAAAAAAAAAATTCCAGCTGGTGCCCCACAGCTAGATCGACTATTTTGCTAATTTAAATAAGTATATAAGACACAGTATCGAGACTGACTTTGATGTGTAGTTTGTTTTCATATCCATACCATATATTTGTTGTAGTTGAAGATTTTGAATTTCGTCTGCTCTACCAGTACAGTACTAACGATGTTTCATCAAAGCCGCGTTGAAATTCTGTAAAAGAAAAGCTAGGGAGTGGGAGAAGGAGCAGATGAAGTAGGAACAGGACCACAAACACGTTGTCCACCCAATCAAGGGAGGTCAACGCGTATTGAGGAACGAGCAGTGTAGTTGGGAACACGAGCTAGCTTTACCTCTCGCAGATTTTCGATCGTCATCGCGCAATATAATAACTACCGAATTGCTCTAACTCTATTGCTTTATAGGGCAGTTGCCCTTGCTGGAAACGAAAAAAGCAAAACGAGAAAACTTTCGTCTCCACAGAAGCAAAAGGATTTCATTTGAAAACAAGAAGGGAATAAAAACAAAAAAAAACCTCCGGCAGTAGCGGCCCACTGTTGCAGACGCGGCCGCGGTTGCTTATTATGATGCCGCTTTTCTCAGGAGAATGTAAGGCCGCGCGTGTTCTTTGCTATTGTTACCTCTTTCACAGGCTACTTCTGTCGTGTTGGTATCCTCTTTCCCGTTTATATTGTGGTCTGCGTCGGCCACCTGACAGGCATCGATCAGAGAAGAAGAACTGCTCGATGTGTGGTGTGATACAAGAACATTGCTGCACCCAGCCGCACAGAGGACTAGTAGGGCCGTTCTTGCTTTATGTCATTTTGTTGTACTGGCTTACTATGTCACCCACGATAACTATTATCTTCTCGTCGTCGTTCTCCTTCTCGTATGTAAACATTTTTCGGGGTGAGCGTGGTGGTGTCGCAGTCGCAGAGAGAGTTTATTTCGTCCGTCACGAATATATTTTATCATATTGATAAATGATATTCCACCACTACTCGAGGAGAGGCGTCATAATTTTGGGAACAAACATATAAACTTCTCAAATATGAGTTTTCCCCACCTGCCGTGGTTCGTCGTGGTCTTTTTCGCAATTTTGTCGTGTAAAAAATCCTCTAGGACATCATGGTGTACTTTCTCGTTTTAGTTGTGTAAGGGAGGAAGAGCTAGATTCATCTTCCTCTTTATCTTTTCAATAAAAGACCGTGCAAGTAGTTCTTGTACAGCAGCGAGAAGGCGAAAGCGAAGAAATGATCAGATGTAAAAGTAGAAAAGATTTTCAACATCAGGAAAAGTAAAATATTTTCACAACAACAAATACAAAAAAAATGTTCGCCCCGCTGTTTTCCTCCCCGGAGAAAAAGAAGAAGAAGCGCAACTCCACAAATGCTGGTGGTTCCGCCGCTCTCTCCGAGAACAAAAGCAGCGCGAAGCGGCGCGTGTCCAGCACCACCAAGGTTGTCACGTTTCACGACGGGGAGGACGAGATTCTCACCGGCGCTGCAGACCCGCGTGGTAAGTCATCGGCGCGCAAACAGGACCGGCTTGTGTCGCCGGAGAAGCAGGTCGTGGAGCCCTCGTCCCGAACGACGAGCGTGTCCCCCTCAAAAGTGGGCCTCACACTGGAGTTCACGAGCGAGGACCATTCGCCCGCGAAAAACGGGTCTGTGCTGCAGAACCTGAGCAATAAAAATGCAGCCAGCACTGCGTCGCACACTGGAAGTAGCGGGTCGACAAGCTCACTCGCACCGCCACCGCTGTGGAGCAACAAGATCGCGCAGGCACACAGGTTATGCAGTGCAAAAGCATCGTATTCGTATTGCAATCATGCATTGCAAATCTTTTTCTTGAGGTAGATCAGCATTAACTCATGCTGAGGAAATTTGTAATGCATTTATGCGAGTGCGATACTTTTGCACTGCATAGAGGTATATGACAGCAAGCAGGACGACGGGCAGTGCGGACCTGCAAGCGGAAACCCACACGACGAGGACACTTTCATCAGAAGATACAACCAAGCGGCCCCATGGGGGGGATGAAACGAGGTCGAGGAATATCCTGAGTAAAAACGTCCCCACACCAGAGTCAGGATGGGGATTTTGCAACACAAACCTAGGAGTGTTGGGAGTCACGCATGACAAATTGCACTCCGCAGTGTAGTGCTGGTTAGCAAGTGCAGCCGCATCACAGATTCATCTGCTCATCCTGTTCACAGCGTCACAAATTCCAAAACACGATTGGAGATGGCTCTCATGGGGATGCGCATTACAAGTCTTCCTGTCTTTGCAAATCTGCATTACAACTCTGGCGTGGGTACGTTTTTACTCAGGATAAGGAACAGTAAGTTCCGTCAGCACTTCGATGTGCAGCAGGAAGCGCTGGCGTTGATCAAGAGCCTCGACGAAGAGGACGACGACCACGTCATGGCGGATGCCGGGGGACTATCAACCGCAAATACGTCTGGGTCTAGAAGATTGCCAGATTTGTCATGCTAGTCCGGTATGACTCTGCACTCTGTATTGCGTAGGGCCATCGGAAAAGCCTCTCTCGCCTGTCATGCAAAAAAAAACGCAGTTTCTACTCATGCGGAATGCGCAGCACAGAATCACGAAAAAACTTGTCATGCTTGGCTGCGCGTTACGGTTCACTTATTATTCACTGACCTGCATGGATCTTCACAAGTTTCCAGACCCAGACATATTTGCATTTGATAGGGGCCAAGAAGCTCTTACCAGAGTCACGGATTCGGCGGCGGCGCCACAGCCTCTACCGGCGGTCTGCACATTGTGGAAGGCGTGCATCGGTCGCCCAAGGCCTTATCGAATGCAAAAATGTCTGGGTCTGGAAGATTGCGAGATTTGTCATGCTGATCTGGCATGGCCCTTAAATCTGTATTGCGTGGCCACAAACAGCCTCTCTCGCCTGTCATGCGATAACGCAGTTTCTCATGCGGAATACGCAGCACAGAAGCACGAAGCAACTTGTCATGCTTGGCGGCGCATTACAGTGCATTTGTTATTGACTGACTTGCATCACAAGTTTCCAGACCCAGACACTTTTGCATTTGATAGGCCTCCACGCGCGACGAAAGTAGCCGGGAAGGGGGCGCGCGGGGTGCCGGCGCGCTTGCCGGGTTGGCACAGCAGGGTGCAGTGGATCGTGATGATCCGTCGCTCGGGGGCAAGGAGAAGATAAAACGACAACAGTCGACGGACCGCATGTTGCGGCAAGCCGAGGGAAAGCGGTTCATGTATGGGGTTCTCAAACGCTACATTCTCAACTGTTACATGAATTTGTCATGCAAAAGCACCATCATCATCCACGCGATCAAGCTGCTTCGCATGACAAATCTGCGTAGGGCTAAATAGCACCTAAATCTGTGCGGAATTTGTAATGCTACAGGCACAATCACCCCCCTTTCACTTTTCCCATTTGCATCACAAATCCATGCTACAGTTGAGAATGTAACAGTTGAGAACGCCATAGCACGAAGAACAACCGTAAGAGCGGGGGCGTCGTGGAGGTGGGAGCCAGTTTATGAGAGTGCGCAACTTCGTCTCCTCCTCGTTTTCATTTCCCATGCAAAACACCAATGGCACACTTCCGCTTTCGCTCCTGTCGCTACTTATTATGCATGACAGGGTCTGGTAGCTTAAATCGCACTAAGTACTCCAGTGCAAATGATTTGTCATGCAAAACCGGCATTCTTGCTAGATACTTGTATTGTCGTTCATGCTAAGGAAATGAGGGGGAGGGAAAGTTGTGCACTGTCATACAGTTACACCGGCGGGGACCTGAGTATCGGACGTAAGGCGGTCGCGCTCGAGGATCCCAGTATTGAGAGGAAAAATCCCCTCTCCCCACATCGAAAAGGTATGTTTCCGAAAATTTGCCTTGCTGATTTGTGACCACAAATCACGCCAGTCTTGCAAGAAGACAAATGCAAAGGGTTCCGCGCCATTATGGAAGCGATTTGGCATGCTGTTGGGCCTAGGGGGCAGCCGTTTGTAATGCTAAACATACAACTAGACCCAAAGCAAACGCCCCTCCCTAGGCTGAGGATCTGGCTGCCATGCCGTATTGCAAGAAGGCGCGCATTTGTGTGCGGAAATCCAGCATCAGAAACTTCGTCGCGATATGGGGAGGGGGGATGTTTCCTTCCGATACCCAGTCTGCTGCAGTCGGAGGAGAGCATCGAACTCACGCTATCCGGAGAAAAAACGTCCCCACACCAGAGTCAAGATGGGCAATCTGCTAGACAAATCAACCAGCTGTGGTTCTTGCTTCGCATGACGCGTTCTTTGTCCTCATAGTGTAATCCTTGTATAGGTATCTTTATCGCAGCAGCATCACAGATCTAGCATATCATGCCAATTCGTTCCAGCATCACAAATCCCAAAACACAACTAGAAAACGCTTCTCATGGGGCTCCGCATGAGAAACTTTTTCGGCATGCAGATTTGCGTGACAGCTCTGGGGTGGGGACGTTTTTACTCAGAATACACACGACTCCCGGGGGAGGACGAGGAGGAAACGGCGGAAGAGGACCATAGCCTGTGCAAAAGTAGTCGCTGTCATGATGCACTGCATGCATTGCAAAGTTCGTTCCCAGGGTAAATCAGGATGACAAAGTGCACTTCTCATGCTGAGGACATTTGCGATGCGAGTTCCACCAGTATAGTCGGATAGCACTACTTTTGCAATTCATACACCAAAACGTCCTGCAGTCGCACGACAATAGCCCGTCGGACCTGTCCGATAAGTCGGCGCAAAAGCTGTCGCGTTGTAAAAATGCTTTTGCTTGAAGATCATTTTTTATTGTGAGGAAAAATCCCCCCTCCCCATACCAAAAAACAAAAGGGATACTTCTGAAAATTTGTCATGCTGATTTGTGACCACGAATCGTCTCTGTATTGCTGGAAGGCAAATCCAGAGACTTCGCCGCGTTTATTTGCAGGCAATTTGTAATGCTGTGTGGCCGACAGAGGGCACGCCTCCACCTGCCTTGCTAGGCGCCTACACCAAAACGCCCCTGCTCCGGCTTTGTATCTGCCTGCAGTCCTCTACTGCAAGACAGTACACAAATCCCGCATGATTACAGATTTCCACTTTGATATGGGGAGCGGGGATTTTTCATTTTGATACTTCGTTCTCGTAGTTTGATTTTTATGTCACGCAGCTGAGAAGGAATAGCAATTAGACACAAAGAACTCTACTCTACCGGTATCGCGAGAAAAAAAAAATTTTTTTATGCATGTGATAGAGGCTCTTTCATCGATTTTGGTTTGTCTTAGCCTGTGCAGAGTGGGACATCTTTTAGTATTTCCCGACAAAATGATCCCTTTGCTGCTACGAATACGAAAGTAGGAAGACCAAAAAATCCAAAACCTGCGATGTGATATTACAGGGCGGCGGTTCCGTAAGTACTTTGAGCAGGTGAAAGTGCCCGGCAATGTATGCACTGCAATTATGGCTGGGTCTGGAAGATGGCGAGACTTGTCATGCTAGTTTGGCGTGGCTCTGAGCTCTGTATTGCGTGGCCACGAACACCTCCTCTTGTCTGTCATGCAAAAACGATGTTTCATCTCATGCGAAATACGCAACACAGAGCCACGAGAAAATCTGTCATGCTTGGCGGTGCATTACAATGCGCTTTCTGTTCACTGACATGCATCACAAGTTTCCAGACATCATATTTGCACTTGATACAATGAGGGGGAGGACGACGACGAAAAGCTACCGGGCGACGACGATTTTCAACAGGCTATGACAGTGCACAACCCCCCTTGCCCTCATTTGTGATGCAAAAACCCAATTCCAGTTGCTACCTTGTGGCACCGTGTGCATGACAAATTCCGGAAATTATCCAAACACTACTACACGACTCGGCGCATGAAGAACCAACTTGTCATGCACAAGGTCCACCTGTACTGGTGTTTGTAATGCGGTTGATGCCATACAAATGAGGGGGAAGGGGAGTTCTTGTGCACCCTCATAGAGGCGTTGCAAGTGTGCAAGAAAAAAACGTTGTTAGTGTAAATTTGTGATGCGCAACATGCAAGATGATTACGTCTGTCATGCTTGGCATGCATCGTAGGGTCCATCAAAGGGCGTTTTCGCATACTATCTGCGCATGACAGGTTTTTGCTGTCATGCCGGACAAACTTGTAATGCTGTTCCTCCAAAAAAGTTACACCTACAATGTTTTTTTCTTGGATAGCAAGTGTTACAAGACTACTCCCCGCGCGAGTACTTCGAATCGCGAAAGCGCAAGCTGTATGGATTGCAAACGTATCGTACTCGTATAAATGCATTACAAATTTCCGCAGCATGAGAAATAAAATTTGTAATGCTGATTGACCTTAAGAAAAATAATGCATGATTGCAATACGAGTTTGATGCTTTTGCATTGCATAAGCTGCAGTCTGATGCCACCTGGACGAAGTACTCGCATGTGATTCTGATCTCCGTGATATGGATTGCAATTACGCCTGGGTCTGGAAGAATGCAACTTGTGATGCTGCATTTGGATGTCTAGAAAATTTGTGTTGCATGAGCAGCAAATGGATTCTAATTTTTGCTACGCGGAGAGGGCATCTGTCATGAGGAATAGGCATTAGGAAGCCCTCTAAAAATCTGCGATGCTAGATCATGCATTAGAGGCATCATGGATCATACAAAAAATGCATGACAAGTCTCAGAACCTTCCAGACCCAGACACTTATGCATTTGATTCGTGATTCTGTTCTGCAATTTGCTCTACATTGGTGTGGACGTCGACTCGGACCGGCCCAGGGCGCCCAGTACCGTCCTAGTCGCGGCTATCACAGGAAAAAAGTGTTGCAGTTACACACTTGTATGGAACTTCAGCATCACAAAGTTGCTCTGCATGGCAAGGAAATATACTTGTGATGCGCAGACTATAAGGGAAAACAGGAATGAAATGAGGCTGCCTGGCATTTCCTGAATGACAGAGGTTGTCTGTCTTGCTTGTGTTGTTACATCAGAGTGTCTAACTGTAACACTTTTTTCTCACGATAGCGGCAGGCTCGGAAGATGAGAATGAAGAAGACGCTACTTCTACCACAGCCACTTCTGGTGCGGAAAATGGTGCAGCTATGCATTGCAAATAGGTCTGGGTCTGGGAGGGTACAACTACTTGTCATGCTAAATCTGAATCATAGATACAAAAATCTGTGTTGCGTGATTACCAATAAAGCTGTTAACTTTTGAGAAGGCCGAGTGGCAGTTTCTCATGCGGAAAAGGCATGGTAAAGATCTCACAGAATCTGTGATGCTAGCGCATGCATCACAGACCTCACACGTCATGAAAAACGTGCATGACAAACGTTGCACTTTTCCAGACCCAGACATAGTTGCATTTGATAACAACGTCGTCTTCGCGAATCCGGATTCTGGTGGAGTCGTTCGAAGCCTACGACTATCAAATGCAAATTATATGTCTGTGTCTGGAAGAGGAAGGATGCAAGTTTGTCATGCTTGGCCGGTCATACAGATAAGTCTGTGATGCTTTTTGCGCTACAACGGGACTTGTTTGTCATGCAAAGAGGCCATTTGTCATGCGGTTAACGCTAGACATAGCCACCCAGAAACTTGTCATGCGCAGCTCCGCAAAAACACAGGTTCCGTCTCATTCGGACATTAGCATGACAACTTTCCACACCCAGACCACATATTTGCAATGCATAGCGACGATTTGGATCAGGAAGTGTTCGAGAACAGTGGTCTCGCGCGGCTGCGTATGCAACGAAAAAAATGTTACTAGTATGAATATACACATTGTGTTGCAGACCAAGCAAGACAGACAGCCTGTCTCATGCTGGAACGGCTTGTGAGCCTCGTTGCATACGTGTTTTCCTTTAGGATCTCTGCATTGCAATTTTTCTCTGCAGCAACCAATGCAGAGCAAGTTTGTGTTGCAGAAGCCACTACAAGAAGTGTGTAACTGTATTGAAACTCTTTTTTCGTGTGACACTGCACTCCGGCATGTTCCCTCTCAGCAGCGGCATTCGGAAACTGTTTGGCCTACCAGAATCCTCGCTGCCAATGCTCGGGCAATCGCAGTGCCGGTCGGCGGGGCCGCAGCTGGATACCGACCTGCAGACAGCAAGTGGCTCTTGTGCCGAACCGCAAGACCACAGAGGGGACGACGACACCCGGCTGGGCATTGCGCAACCTGCTTCCGGAGCAGATGAAAAACCAACAGCGTTGCTGCATGATGATGTTGAACAACCCGCACCAGGTGCAACGAAAATGCCCAGTAATCCTTCGGCCTCGAAACGAACAAGAAATTCTGCACGCAGGGGGCTCGCGTCTGTCCAGCCACGTATAGATTTGCTTCGGTTTCTTGATGTACGTTCGAATTACAGTGGTGCTATTAAGCTGCTAATACTAAAAAGATTTTTCGAAATGCTATTTTTATACGGAGGGACGACCAGTACCACAGATGTAGCGGTCTTCTAGCTACTATTCGTTAGATGCCATTAAGATGCACATCCATGACAGCACGCAACTTTTAGTTTTACAATTACATCGTGTTGATAAGTATTAGAGCTACTACTTCCACCGAGAGTAGATGTAGAAGTTGAAAATCCTGGAGAAAATAAACTTGTACACCAGCATCGCTTTCGATGAGCCGTTTGCGGGATCGGTTTTTCCAGAAACGGCGCGGTGAGGCCTACGACTATCTTCTCGAGAAAAAACGCCGGCTGGAGGCGAAAAAACAGAAACAGCGACAACTCATTGCGGCGAGGGCGGGCACTACAGATCATTTGCCCCCTATGGAAGCGTCAGGTTTGAAATCGACAAAGTTGAATATAATTTGTGATGCACAAAATGGATGCCAGTTGCAACCCAGCTTCCAAGTGGCGCATGACAAATTTGGGTAGAGCCGAAATCCAATTTGTCACGCTGTTTGGGTAAGGAAGACGCCACTTGTCATGCTATTTTAGCAGCTCAGTTTCTCTTTCTACCCCTCAACAGGCTTACAATCTGCCTCACTTGCCTACTGTGCAAGACAGGCATTTTCTGCGTTGCATTTTATGCATGACAATCTATTTCAACTTTGACGAGATTTCAATCCTGGCACTCCCATACCCCCGGCAGCGTCGACTTTCGAGGTCGTGCAGGAAGTGTACGAGATATGAGAGTGCACAAGAACTTGAACTCCCCCTCCCCCTCAGTTGTCATGCAAAATGCCAAATCCACTAAATAATTCTGTCGGTTTGCACGATTCGCATCACAAGTTTCGGGACCTCCACGCAAGACAGCACCACAGTCTTGTGTGAATTTTTTTGTCATGCAAAACGAAAATATCCTGCATGTGCATTCGATATCGATTCCCGCCGATGCTTGTATTGCTGTTCATGCCGCAGCCGCAGCACAAATGGAACGACGAGGGGGAGTTGTGCACTCTCATACGAACCTAGAGTGATTGCGAAGTTTCTGAAGAAATTAACGGGGATGCAGACACTATGCAAGAAAAAAACAGTGTAAGTGTATACTTATTTGAAGGAATTATAGCATGACAAGTTTGCTCTGCATGACACACAAAACCTATCATGCTTAGCTAGTATCAGTGAAAACACGTACGAGGAAAAGAGCCTCTGATACATGTGTCTAGCATGACAGGTGATAAGTGTTTTACATACGTCTGCAACACAAAGTTACACTTACACAGTTTTTTTTCTTGCATAGACACTGGACACGCGGGACCACTCGCTGTGGAATCGGGCGGATTTTTACCGCTATTGTGAGGAAAAATCCCCATACTCAAAGTCGAAACTTGTGATGCTAATTTGTGGCCACAAATCAGCTTTGTCTTGCCTATAGGCGAAGGGGAGCCGTGATCCGCGTTCCACAGCCAGTCTGTCATGCGCTTTCGACTACTGCGAACCCCTGTGCTATAGCTAATTGCTAGCTGTGTTCTGCATACCCAATGAACAGGCTTCGAAATAAATGCCGCCAAGCATTTTCTGCAACACAAATCTGATAAATTGTGCGCGCAAATCCAGCATCAGGAGCTTCCTTCTGATATCTCTGGGGACGAGGGGGGATTTTTTTTTTGATAGCCGCCGATCTTTGTACACACCGCACGAGTTCCCCTTGCTCTACTCGGAGGGGCTTTCCGCTACCGCACCCACAACAGAGCTGCAACAAAGGAGGATGGAGAACGGCAGCGTGGTAAACAGGACCGTAATATGCATTGCAAATGTAGTGTCTGGGTCTGGAAGGACGCAAGGTTTGTCATGCTTGTCTAGCATGACTGAAGAGTTTGTGACGCGTGTCCACGAAGAGACCGTTTTGCTTGTCATGCAAAAACGCAGTTTGTCACGCGGAAAACGCAACACTAACGCTAAGCAGCGCAGATGCTTCTCATGCTTGGCTGTGCATTACAGAGCATTCACTATTCCCTACCCAGCATTACAAGTTTCCGGACCCAGACATGATATTTGCAGTTGATATTTAACGGTACTAACGACGAAAGAGCAGTGGAGCCGGAAATTGGAAGAGGTGGAAAAATATCCTGTGCAAACGGATCGTACTCGTATTGCAATCATGCATTTACAAATCTTTTTCTTAAGGTAAATCAGCATTACATTTTTCCTTTCTCATGCTGAGGAAATTTGTAATGCATTTAAACGAGTGCGATGCTTTTGGTTTTGTAATTCATAAAAAAATGAACGGCATTGGTGTTGCATCTTCGCTGCCCGCCGAGCCGGTCCTACCCCTTGGTCCTCCTGGAGCTGAAGTACACGCCGCCGCGGTGGAGGATGAATATGCAAAGAAAAAAACAGTGTAAATGTAACTTTGTGTTGCAGACGTATGTAAAACACTTATCACCTGTCATGCTAGACACATGCATCAGAGGCTCTTTTCGTCCGTGTTTTCACTGATACTAGCTACGCATGACAGGTTTTCTCTGTCATGCAGAGCAATCTTGTGATGCTGTTTCTCCAAGAAAGTTACACTCACACAGTTTTTTCCTTGGATAATGAAGTAGACGATGGTAGTACCTACTTTGCAAACGAAAACCTGCAGTTCCTCTACGAAAATTTTCACGCGTATGGAAGCGTCAGGATCGAAATCGACAAAGTCGAAAAATTTGCAATGCGTAAAATGTAGGGCACATAAGGCCTGTGTAGTTGGGGAGCAGGCAAGTGAGACCGATTGCAAGCCTGTTTAGGGGAAGACGATGCGCTGCCAGAATAGCATGACAGGAGCAGTCTTCTTCGTCCAAACAGCATGACAGACTGGATTTTGGTGCTCCCGAAATTTGTCATGCGCCACTCGGAAACTGAGGCTCCAACTAGTATCGATTTTATGCATCGCAAACTATTTCGATTTTGTTGATTTCGATTCTGACACCCCCATAACGCGGCTTGCGATGCAGTCCGGCACAAGCTGAATCCCGCGCCGAGACTATTGAGAGGAAATATCCCCCCTCCCCATATTGAAAAGGCACGTTTCCAAAAATTTGTATTGCGGATTTGAGGTCGCAAATCACATCTGTCCTGCAAGAAGACAAGGGCAGAAGCTTCCGCCCCATTATGGAAGCGATTTGTCATGCTGTTGGGCCTAAAGGGGGGCCGCTTGCCATGCTGAACTACTAGACCCATACGCCCCTACCTAGCCTGGGGATCTGGCCGCAGTGCCTCTCTGCAATACAAAGCTGATTTGTGGCCACAAATCAGCATCACAAATTTCCTTTTTGATATGGGGAGGGGGGATTTTTCATTTTGATAGAAACTGTTCTTGCTTTCCGCCGCACAGAGCCGGTTGCTTTTCGAGCAGGAGGTGATGCGGTACGACGATATCGCGAGGAGAAATCCCCCCTCCCCGTATTGACGAGGTACGTTTTCGAAAATTTGTGCTGCTGATTTGTGACCACAAAGCGTCTCGGTGTTGCATGAAGGCAACCGCACAGGCTCCGCCGCATTCTACAGGCGGTTTGTCATGCTGTTGCTCCTACAGCGTAGACGTCTGCCATGCCAAGTGTCTACGCTCAAATCTGTCCACTCAGGCTCGGCAAGGGCCTGTAGTGCTCTCCCGCAAGACAAATCTGATTTGTGGACGCAAATCGAGCGTCAGAGGCTTCGTTTTGATATGGGGAGGGGGGGTTTTTCCAGTTGATAGGCGAAAAGGCGTACGACATGAAGCACCGACGGAACACGGCGGGCCATGAGGTCTCCGTGCAAACCGTGCAAACTATCGTGAACGCGAAGAAAACGCACACGAGGGGAAGGCGCTTGAAGGTCCTGGTGTCCACTTCTGCATCTTCGGGTGCTAGGAGTCCACCGCGAACGGACGACGATGTCCTCTCCGCTACTCCCCGGCGTCGCATTATGGGAGTGTCAGGATTGAAATCGTCAAGGTTGAAATAGTTTGTGATGCATAAAATGCAACCCACAAAATGCCTGTCTTGCAGAGTAGGCAAGGGAGGCAGATTGTAAGCCTTTTTTGAGGGGTAGAAATAGAGCTGCTGAAGTAGCATGACAAAAGGCGTCTTCCTTACCCAAGCAGCATGACAAACTGGATTTCGGTTCTACCCAAATTTGTCATGCGCCACTTGGAAACTGGGTCACAGCTGGCATCCATTTGATGCATGGCAAATCATTTCAACTTTGTCGATTTCAAACCTGACGCTTCCATACGCATTCTGCTGGAGCTCGACGACCGGCCGCCGATGATGTGGGTCTGCGATTTCTTCTTCTACCTGTTTTTCCTCGCGGAGCTGATTTTCCGCTTGACAAGGCAGCACAACTACTTCAACTTGGATATGGCGTTCTCAACTGTTACATTCTCAACTGTTGCATGAGTTTGTGATGCAAGAATAGCAAAAGTCCAAGAAGGGAGGTCGCACGTGTAGCATTAGAAAGTCCGCAGAGAGATAGGCGTTGTGTAGCCATTTGCAAACTTGTCATGCAAAGCAGGCAGAACGTGTGGATGAGATGATGGTAGTTCTGCAGGACGCATTCATGTAACAGGTGAGAGTGTAACGTTTGAGAGCGCCATACTGGAGCACTTTCTGTACGACAACTACCTCCCCTTCATCACGATCATTTTGGACACCACGCGGCTCATATGAAGAGAGTGCACGACAACTCCCCCCCGTCCACCTCATTTGTCATGCAAAGCACCCAAAAATCCACCCTTTACCTCTTGGCACTGTGTGCATGACAAGTTCTGGTAGCGGCCCAAGTAGCACTACGCTGCTCCAGTGCAAATTCGCCATGCAAAACCGGCATTTTTGGTGATGCTTGTTGTATAATTTGCATTCATGCTTTACGAGGGGGAGGGGGGGTTGTGCAGTGTCATAGCTCATCTTTCTCTTCCAAGTGTCGCCGAAAGACAATCAGCCGACGCCGGACAAGGTGATCCACACCATGATGCTCATCCGCGTTCTGCGGCTCTGGAAGTACACCCAAGCCGCGCTCTCCGAGTCCCCCCGGTTTCGCCGCTTCGGGTTCGTCCTCGACCGCTTCTATATCAAATGCAAAAGTGTCTGGGTCTGGAAACTTGTGATGCTGAGTGGCGTAGCATGAGGAGGCCACAAGTGCTGGCTCAGCATGACAAGTTCCTGAGCTTCTAGGTGTTCTGCTTATTCTGCATGACAAATTGCGTCTCCGCATGACAGAAAAATGCGGCTCTTGGGCAACGTGCATGACAGATTTAAGAGTCATGCCAGACAAGCATGACAAACATGCATTCTTCCAGACCCAGACATTTTTACATTTGATATTCTACCAGCTGCGTCGGCCGCTCTTGTTCGGTTCCATTCTGTTCATATCAACTGCAAATATCCCTCGGATGTCTGGAAAACAAATGCGAGGTTTGTCATGCTAGGCTAGCAGGATTCTCAAGTCTGTCATGCGCGTTAGTACCCAAAAGCCCTTTTTTTCTGTGATGCAGAGTCGCAGTTTGTCATGCAGAATCAATAGGCAACAGCAACACTTAGAAGCTCAGAAGCTTGTCATGCTGTTGAGCCATCATTTGTGGTGCACTCATGCTACGTCACTGAGCATTACGAGTTTCCAGACATCATCCAGGGATATTTGCATTTGATAGTTCGTCATGGCCTGCTACTTCATGTCCTTTCTGATCACCTTATCCCACGAAAAAACTGTTTCACTGTGATGATTTTGCAAGATCTGCATCACAAGTTTGTTACACATGACACAGAAAATTTGCCATGCGCGCTTTCAAAGGGAAAACCCCGCTAAAGAGTCAAGGTCTTGCAGGTGTAGCAAGCCAAATAGTTCTGTGTTCCATTCTATGCATCACAAGTTCACAGTGAAACAGTTTTTCCTTGCGATATACCTCGCAAGTGAAACAGTCGGTGATGGATGGCGATTACTTTTATGCACTGCAAAAGCATCGTACTATAGTATGAATTGCATTACAAATTAGGTCAGCATGAAAAAATAAAATTTGTCATGCGAAATTACCTAAAAAACCAGATTTGTCGTGCTGGTCTGGCATGTATAGGAGTACGATACTTTCCCACAGGATAACTTTGCTTACATGGCGAAAATCAACCCCTCGTTTTCCATTCTGGACTACTTTTTATCGCAAGAAAAAAGTGTTACAGTTACACATTGTGTTGCAAGACCGGCAACACAGGCAACCTTTCTCATGCAGGAAATGCTTGGGAGCCTCGTTTCCTTCCTGTTTTCCCTTATAATTTTCGCATTACAAGTTTTCTGTGCCACACAGAGAAAATTTGTGATGCAGAAACTCCAACAAATGTGTAACTGTAACACTTTTTTCTGGTCATACTTTTCCGCGACTTTTTACTCCTTTTTCACCATATATCCCACGAAAAAACTGTTTCACTGATGTGGTGATTTAGCAATATCTGCATCACAACACAAGTTTGTTACACACGACGAGACAGAAAACTTGCCATGCGCGCTTCCCAAGGGAAAAACACGGTTGAAACTCGAATGTTCTATGCAGGTGTAGCAAGACAAACACTTTGGCGTTTCGTTTTCTGCATCACAAGTTCACAGTGAAGCAGTTTTTTCTTGCGATACCATCGCGCAGATGACCTCATTCGACCGCTGGCTTACGGGCATCATCCGCCCGATGGGTGAAGTATGGATTGCAAATATGTCTTGGTCTGGAAACTTGTGATGCAAATCTGTGAATCGTGGGCGCACTACAATATGCAGCTAAGCATGACAAGTTTTTGCACGTGCCATGTGCTTCGTTTTCTGCATGGCAAAGTGCGTTGTTCCATGACAGGCAGGAGGTCCCGTTCCTGCTTACGCCTCACAGATCCAAGAGTTATGCCAGACAAGCATGACAAGTCCTGCATTCTTCCATACCCAGACATTTTTGCAATGCATAGGAAGTTCAGTTCACATTGGCGATTCTGCTCATGCTTGTGGTTGTGATTATTCAGTTTGGCCTAGTGAACAACATCACCGGGCTGTTCGTCGCCTACGTCATCAAGTCGGGTGAAGTATGAACTGCAATAGTAGATCTGATACTCGTACTAATTCTTGCAGTCATGCATTACAAATCTTTTCCTTCAGGTAAATCCGCATTACAAATTTTATTTCTCATGCTGAGAAAATTTGTAATGCATTTACACAAGTAAGTACTACTATCGGATACTTTTGCAATTCATAAGAAGAACAGCGCGATCAGAATCGCTTCGTCCGCGAGGCCAGTATCAAATGCAAAAATGTCTGGGTCTGGAAGAGTGCAAGTTTGCCATGCTTGTCTGGCACGACTCGCGAATCTGTGTTGCATAGGCACGAAAAAGGAGCGGCCCTCTTTTTACCTGTCATGCAAAAATGCAGTTTGCCATGCGGAATACGGAAGACATAGCAGCCAAAAAATTTGTCATGCATAGCTGCGTATTGCAGTGCGTCTATCCTTCACCTTTAGCATTACAAGTTTCCAGACCCAGACATGTTTGCAGTCCATAGCCAGGAGGCAGGCCCGATTGAAGCTGAAGGCGATGACGCGGATGCGCGAACTAATCGACGCAGTGTCCGTTCCGGCGGTGGTATCAAATGCAAATGTAATCGTCCCTGGAGGTCTGGAACTGGATGGGTGCAGCTTGTAATGCATCGTCCCCCAGATTTTTGTCCAAAAATTTTATAAAATCTGTTTTGCGGGGGGTAGCACAAGATCCTGTTCTAAAACACGGCTTTTTCTCAAAACGGCATATGTAGTTCTGGACGAAAGCCCGAACTAAAAAAGGTAACAAGCTGTCATGCTACATTACCCTGCATTCCAACATGACAAACTTAAACTTGTGCACTCCTCCACCCGGCGTCCAGGGATGTTTATTGCAGTTGATAGGTCGAGGTGTGCCGCAAAGAGGGGAAGTACTTTAGCTTCCGCCCCGTGCTACCTGCGGACTTCAACCAGGACGCCCTCAAGCAGGAGGGCTATGAATTGCAAATATGTCTGGGTCTGGAAACTTGTGATGCTGGTTGGCGAATGATTAGGGTGCCGCAATTGCCGTTCCAGCATGACAAGTTTCTGAGGTGGTCGGTGTAGTCTATCCTGCATGACAAACTGCGTTTCCGCATGACAGAAAATTGACGCTCTTGGGTAACGTGCATGACAGACTTGAGAGTCATGCTAGTCGAGCATAACAAGTCTTGCATTCTTCCTGACCCAGACACTTTTGCAATCCATAAGGGCGGGGGGCAAACGATCGAGGACGTTACCCGCACGATTGTGAATCCCAATACGGTATCCAGTGTAAAAACGGGGCCCACGTCCCGTAGTCGAAATGGGAAATCGGCTAGACAAATCAACAAGCTTTGGCTGTTGTGCATGACATCAAGTTTGGCCTCGTAGTGAAGTCGATCCTGTTTCTACTTAGCTAGTTTCGCAGCATCACACACAGAGCTACTAGCATATAATCACGCTGCTTCGACGAGCATCACAAATTCAAAAACACGACTACAGAGAATGCTTTTCATGGGGCTCCGCATGAGAAGCATGCTTAATACCATGCAGATTTGCACGCCAAATATGGGGTCGTGGGGACGTTTTTACATAGGATACACGGGCGAGGAGGAGACGGTCGTGGTGAAAAATTACGGGCAGCGCATGTTGCTGCAGAGAGAAGACTTGGAACATGTAATTCACTACGTTGAGCCCCCGGTTATCAAATGCAAATATCCCTGGATGTGGTCTGGAAACTTGTAATGCTGATTTGTGAATAGTGAATTCTCTGTAATTATGCACAGCCAAGCATGAGAAATATTTGCGCGGTTTCATCGTGTTCGTGTGTTTGCGCTGTCCGCATGACAATAGCTGCGTTTTGATGCTCATGACAAGCAAGAGGGTCGTCTCTTCTTGGACACGCATCACAAACTCTCCAGTCATGCCAGATCGATATTTGCAATGCATACCGGTTATGAAATGCAAAAGCATCGCACTAGTATAATCGCATGACAAATTTGCTCAGTATTACAAATGAAATTTGTAATGCTGTTTTACCTTTAGGAAAGGGATTTGTCATGCACAAATGCGATTACTACGAGTACGATTCTTTTGCACAGCATACCGGTGCCCTCCAGTCAACTGCAAACGGTGACTATCCAAGAAAAAAAGATTGTACGTGTAACTTTATTGCTGGAGGATCAGCATTACAAATAGAAATATTTCTGGCATGACAGCAAAAACCTGTCATGCGCAGATAGAACGTGAAAGCGCCCTTGAATGGACCCTAGAATGCATCCCTACTAGCATGACAGACGCAATCATCTTGCAAGCTGCCCATCACAAATTTACACTAACAGCGTTTTTATCTTGGATAGAGACGCGGGCCTCGTTTCTCAGCTTCCGCAACCGGGGCAAGGGGCATATGGGGCTCTCAACCGTTACATTCTCAACTGTTACATGAATTTGTCATGCAAAATTCCCATGCTTTGCCAGAGGATTAAGGTGCTTCGCATGACAAATTCTCGAAAGCAGGTCAAACAGCATCTAAATCTGTTGCAAATTTGTGATGCGAGACTCGCAAGCTTGCCCCTTTCCATATTGCTGCGCTGGCATCGCAAATTCGTGTAACAGTTGAGAATGTAACGTTTGAGAACGCCATAGGGCAGGAACAAATGCCCGAGCCGCCAGAGCCAAAGTATGAGGGTTCGTTGTTTTTGGTTTAAATTTGAGAAAAAAAGATAATATCGTGAAGCATCCAGCACCAGCATGCACATGCAATTGCAAATTTCGTATCAAAAAAAATTCTGGAGAGGGCAGAGCCACAGAATAAATTCAATGTGGTGCATCATGATCATGATTGCTTTTGCTAAATAATAAAATAGACCATCGAAATAGAACAAAAAAAAACCCGCCGCAGGATGAGCTGGAAAGAAGCCCAGAAAGCTATCAAAGTGAAAAAAGCCGCTATCCCATACTCAAAAGAAAATTTGTGTTGCTGGACTTGTGTACATAAATGAGCTTTGTATTGCAGCAAGAGCTTGACTTGTGCTTGTCGGCATATTCTAAGCCCGTTTGGATAGTACGCACCCGTCTAGCAGCTGAGCATGAGAAACAAGTCCGACAGAGGCGAAAACACAACATGACAGACTGGCTGTACAATGTGCCACATGGCTGCAGCCGTTGCCTTGTACGCAAGACAAAGCTGATTTTTTTATGGTCACAAATCAGCGTCACAAATTTCCTTTTCGACATGGGGACGAGGGGCGATTTTTCCTCACAATAAAGGCCATCGGTCTGCGAACCGACGAGGTGCTCGACTGCTACGACTGCCTCCTTATGGATTGCAAAAGTATTGTACTCGTATAAATGCATTACAAATTTACTCAGCATGAGAAATCAAATCTGTAATGCTGATTTACCTTAAGAAACAGATTTGCAATGCATGATTGCAATACGAGTGCGATGCTTTTGCATTGCATACTCCTGGAGGCGGACACGAACTGTCACGGGTATCAACTACAAATATCCCTGGATGTCTGGAAGAATGCACCTTGTGATGCTATTTTTGGATTCTAAAAAAATTTGTGTTGCATGACAAGCAATAGGAGTCCTGTCCAGTTCTTTTTGCCACGTGGAGAGGGTATTTCTCATGCAGGATAGCAGGTATCAAGAAGCACTCAGAAATAAATCTGTGATGCTAGGGCATACATCACAGCCGTCATGGGTCATGTCAGGTGTGCATGACAAACCTTCCAGGATCCCCAGACACATTTGCATCTGATAACGGGTTCGGCGTTACCACTGACGCCTTCATGGGTGCGCTGCTATCCTACGCGGGAGTTTTGTCTGCGCGAGATCTGTTTTCAATCGGGTGCACGATGCGCAAGGCGACGCCAAAGATCATTAACATCGAGGAGTCCTGCAACTTAGCCATCACGCATATGGAAGTGTCAGAATCGAAAGCGACAAAATCGAAAAATTTGTGATGCACAAAATCGATGGCAGTTGGAGCCTCAGTCTCCAAGTGGCGCATGACAAATTTCGGGAGTACCCGAATCCAGTCTGTCATGCTGTTTGCCCAAGTAAGATTCCTCCTGTAGTGCTACTCTGGCAGCACATTGTATACCCCTAAACAGGCTCACAATCGGCCTCATTTGCCTGCTCCCCAATACAGGCCTTCAGTGCCCTACCTTTTATGCATCGCAAAATTTTCGATTTTGCCGATTTCGATCCTGACACATCCATAACGCAGTGCGAATTTATCGCGATCGCGACCGAAAGAATTCATGCGCTGCTGTTCGAGCTCTACCAGGCAAAGGGAGCGCCGCCACCGGGGACCATGAAGCGCGTCACGAGCCACTATCAAAAGGAAAAATCCCCCCTCCCCATATCGAAGCGGTATGATTCCGAAAATTTGTGTTGCTGATTTGAGACCACAAATCACGTCTGTCTTGCAAGAAGACAAGTGCAGAGGCTTCCGCGCCAATATGAAAGCGATTTGGCATGCTGTTGGGCATAGGGGGTAGCCGTTTGTAATGCTAAACAACTAGACCCAAACGCTCCTGCCTAGGCTGAGGATCTGGCTGCGATGCCTTACTGCAAGACAGCGCGCATTCGTGCACGGAAATCCAGCATCAGAAACTTTGTCTCGATGTGGGGAGGGGGGATTTTTCCTTGCGATAGCCACAACAAGACGCGGCCGAACTACCCACGCCCCTACCCGTATGGACCTGTCAGGATTGAAATTGACAAAGTTCAAAAATTTGTGATGCATAAAACCGATACCATTCGGAAGCCCAATTTCCAAGCGGCGCATGACAAATATCGACGTCAGCGAAATCCAGGTTGTCATGCTGCTTAGCGAAAGAAGGCATCCTTTGCCATACTACTTTACCAGCTCTATCACAATTATCCCGAAACAGGCTCACGATCGGCCTCACTTGCAATCCCTGCAAGACAGTTACTTCGTGCCTTGCATTTTATGCATCACAGATTATTTCAACTTGTCGATTTCAATCCTGACACACCCATAACCCGCCAGTCTTGGAGCCACCAAGGGGGGTTTTGTCAGTCGGTAATATTTCCATATTGTTGTGCAGAAGTACCGAACATTCAATTTCAATCATCTTCTGCGAAAGTTGGTCTGTCATGCGGACTCAGTGCAATGGACTACATGAACTTATGTGATTCATCATGAAACGCACTCAACACTCTCAGGCGTGCGTGTCAAAGATGCCGAAGAAGCAGCGAACCGTATTACACTGAAAAGTGCCCCCAGGAGGAGCCCTGAATTTGCAAAAGTTTCTGATGCAAAGTTTCATCCATAGTGGAAACTTTTTGTCTTGCACGAGAGGGCAGCTATCATTCTTTCTGATGCAGCAGTAGATGCGGAACCTTCTAGGCGCCGCGTATGAAAGCATCTTTTGAATAGCAGGGCCGGCCCTTGCTGGGCCCTTTATTCGCAACACATATTTTTGCTGATCAGCATTGCAAATCTGTCTTGCTGGTACACGCAATATGGGAAATGTTTTCATTGAAAAGTTTTGCAACACAAATGCTGCCTGGAGGGGGCAGTTTTCAATGTGATAGACCGAAGAAAACGGCAAATGGAGGAGGAAGAGGAAGCCATGAAACTTATCAAATGGGAAAATCCCCCCTCCCCATATCGAAAACGAAATTTGTGATGCTGTATTTGACGTACGCAAGTCGACTTGTATTGCTAGAAGGCCAACAAGAAGATCCGCAGTTGTGGCCTCGTTTGGTGCAGACAAGTTGCCATGCTGTTTTCCATTTCCAGCTGCCTCCTGTTATGCTGAAGATGCAAGGCTTTCCCACTCCACCCAGCACTACAGTTGTCCGCATCTCTTCGCCCCTTCTAGCATGACAAAGCTGATTTGTGGCCACAAATCTGCAGCACAGATTTATTCCGTTTTGATATGGGGAGCGGGGATTTTTCCTCACAATAAAACTCGGAAAAACCACCTGGCATTTTGGCATGCCGGTCGGCCACAGTCGCGACCACTTATCACAAGAAAAAACTGTTTCACTGTGAACTTGTGATGCATAGAATGGAGCACAGAACGATTTGTCTTGCTACACCTGCAAGACATTGGATTTTTAGGCGTGTTTTCCCTTGGGAAGAATTTTCTGTATCATGTGTAGCAAACTTGTGATGCAGTTCTTGCAAAACCATCACAGTGAAACAGTTTTTTTGTGGGATACCATTACTACCCTATGCATTGCAAAAGTCTCGCACTCGTTTTGATGGCGGTCATGCATTACTTAGCATGACAGATGCAGATCTACTATCTTCTTTGTACGTTGACCAGCATTACAAACTCCCTTTTCCATGTTGGTCAACATCAAACTTGTGATGCGATTTCTACTAGTACGATCCTTTTGCAGTGGATATACCCGGATCGTTTTCGCCGCGGTTCCGACGAATCCAGCGAAGACTCAAGCGACTTTTAGACTAGTATTGCAAGAAAATAAAACTGTTTCACTGTAAACTTGTAATGCAGAAACTGTATCTGAGAAGTGTTTGTCTTGCGTACACATGCAAGACAATGGATTTTTAGTCGTCGTTTCCCTTAGGAATCTCGCATGGTAAATTTTCTCTGTGATGTAGGACAATAAACTTGTGATGTAAAACTTGCAAAATCCTTACAGTGAAACACTTTTTTCGTACGATAACTAGTTTCGGTCGTTTGTTGTATTGCGGAATAAAAAATCGCAGGACGTTATCAGCTATCCTGTGCAAAAGTATCGTACTCGTAGTAGTTGCAGTCATGCATTACAAATCTCGTTCTCAAGGCAAATCAGCATGACAAACTGGATTTGTCATGCTGAGGAAATTTGTATTGCAATTCATACTAGTACGATGCTTTTGCATTTCATATTAGCCTCGCGAACAAAGGCAATCACATTCACGTTCACAGGACACAACTTATTGTCCGCAAAAAGAATCTAACTAACTACATTAGCCCACAGGGTGAGCAGCGGCCAGTACTAGCTGTACTAGCTTTTCCACATGTTGGCGATCTTCCAGATTCACTGTTTATTTCGCAATTGTTTGAATTAAATACGTTTCACAGCAAAAAAACTTGTGTATGATTTGAAGATTAGTCGCAGAAGTCGTGAGTATCATGAATAAAGCGATATTATGGTTTGAGAAACAAGTAATCTTATCAGCAAAAATGTTGTTGTACTTTACTGTCGATGATGAAAAATGTACTACATTGAATGCAGAATGAAAGACCTGCACTATCCCCGATAGTACTGCTTAATATCATTTGTTTAACCGTTTCCAAGAATTATGTCGCGGTAGTTATTTGTACAGATGAAACAGATAGTACTAGTAGTTTGCACCGCTGTTGCATCAGAAGCGTCCACCTACAGGCGCAGGTGCCTCAATCTATGTATGGGTTGAAGAAGCACAACTTCCACCACGCAAATGTATCATTGTAGAGATGAACCAGACGAAACAAGTTTGTGTTTGAGGACTGAAAAGAAATGAAACTGTAAAAATTAAGATTGAAAATATCAAACAAGACGCAGGACGGGTTTCTTTCTTGGTACCGCCGACGTAGTTGTACTACCCGTTTTGTCTAGAAGAGGCTTAATATCGTCCACCTCCTTTGTACTTGCAGCCCTCCACCTTGGCGTCGTGTTTTATTTGAGTGATACATCAACCGGAACAAGAGGCTCCCGCTATGCCGTGCGGGTGCCGTGAAGATGTTCTTGTTAGTAAAAATATCGGAGACATCAAAGTGGCCGCAAAAGTGGATGCCTGAAGATAGATGGACAAAACAAAAACAGAGGAGATAGAAGTACAACTGTTCGAATTTATTTATGACGCCTTTACTATCTAAGGTAAGTGTCAGCACTGTTCGGACGTGTAGAAGTAGGACCTGCATTTTATTTCCTTGAGGACTTCTTATGTCGTTATCGTTTTGCTACGCAAAATAAGTTGCTTCCAGAAATAAATGTCAAACTGAAAAGAAACAAAAAGATGACGATCATGCCCCGCAACGGCACTGGCAACCCCGCGAAGCATGCGGGGCACCACCAGCTGCAAAGCCTGGATTTTTTTGCGGCTGGAGGAGCTCCTGGAGGAGCTGCCCTCGGCGGAGATCTGTTTTCCGGAGCAGCGAAGAAGACGCAACATGGGGCTTCTTCTTTTTCTAATGCCTATAATGCGATCCCGAGCTGCGACACTACTAGTACCACCGACCTTCTCGCCAAACTGCACCAAATGAACCGAAAAATCAACGACTTGGGGCTGTGCAACAGCATATGCAATGCAAAACTATCGTACTAAGTACAAGTAGCAATCGCATGGCAAATAGATTCAGTATAAAATAAGACGTAAATTTGTGATGCTATTCTGCCTGAGCCTGTACGACAAAGATTCGTGATGCATAAGTGTACTTAAAAATCAGTACGAGTGCGATGCTTTTGCGTAGGATACAGCACCATTGACATCGACAAACTGACTTACCTCTTCGAAAAGCACATCGACGACATCGACGAGCGGGGGGCCGTGAATGAAATGAGTCAGGATCTGTTGCAGGTGATTAATGATTTACTGATCCATATCGCAGAACGAAAAAACTGTTCCACTATGGTGATTTTGCAAAATCTGCATCACAAGTTTGTTACGCATGACACTGAAAATCTGTCATGCGGGGTTCCTAATGTAGGGAAAACACAGCGAGAAATCCATTGTCTTGCGCCATGTGATATAGCAAGACAAATCATTCTGTCGTGCTCCATTCTATGCATCACAAGTTCACAGTGAAGCAGTTTTCTCTTGCGATAATCCAGTTTATCTCCTATCAAGCTGCCTACGACCGACTCTCGGGCTATCAAAATGAAAAATCCCCCCTTCCCATATCGAACAGGAAATTCGTGATGTTGGATTTGCCTACACAAATCAGATTTGTCTTGCAGTAGAGGACTGCAGGCGGATGCAAAGCCTGCAGCGGGGCGCTTAGAGGTGGGCGCTTGGCATGGCAGGCGTCTGCCCTGTAGGCCTTGCAGCATTACAAACCGGCTGGATAATGCGGCGGGCTCGCTGCCTTTGCCCTCTTGCAAGACAGACAGGATGTGTGGCCGCAAATCTGCGTCACAAATTTTCAGAAGGGCGCGCTTTCAATATGGGGATGAGGGATTTTTCCTCACAATACGGGCAACGCGACAACCATCGAGAATAAATTGCTCAACGCGGAAAACTATGGCAATGGGAAAATCGCACTTATGCAGCAATCATTGCAAGACAAATCTCTTTTCCAAGCCAGATGAGCATGACAAACTCCATTTGTCATGTTGAGGAAATTTCTAATGCAGTGGCTACTAGTATACGAGTTCTAGGTCTAGTGCGATTACTTTTTGCACTTCATACTTACAGCTTGGACGGCCGTTAGAAATCATCTTGGCGAATTTCTTGCGAATTTATAGGGGAAAGACCCGCAGCGCGGCCTGGGCATTGGTGTCGGGCTTGGGATTCTGCGTTGCCAACGCATCTATGACGCCCCGCTCGTATTCCGCGTCTTTTTGGTGTCCCGACGAGGAGGGGCAAAACCAGCAAAATCTTTCCGCGCCGGGCGCCTTGGTCGGTGCCCGAGTTTTGGGCCCAGTGGCTGCACTAATGTGCCCCACCTAGGAGCACCATCGCGCCACACCGGGAACAGAGCTCGCGCGCGATGGACAGGGAGGGCATCAATTGCACCCCCTTCCCCCTGAGTTGTCCTCGAATGCCAAGAGTTTTGCTCTTGCGACAGGTGGGCACAAATCTGTGCATTTTGGAACACAAGGCCTCGGGACTTGGTCTACAGATTTTGCCTCTGCGAATTTAGAAAAGTGGCCCTCGCGAATTTCGCGCGAATTTAGAAAAGTGGCCCTCGCGAATTTCGAAAGCCCGACCTGAAATTGCGTTTTTTTCTAAATTCGCGCGAAATTCGCGAGGGCCACTTTTCTAAATTCGCAGAGGCCGCTTTTGCAAATTCGCACGGGCCACCTTTGTAAATTCGCAAATCGAGAATACCGCCCTGATTGGGCATGCCTTTAAACGCTTAGCCCGATGGTGCTCTGGTGTTCCAACTTTAGCAAAATTCAAAAATTACATCTGAAGCCGCATGGTATGACGAGAAAGCGGCTGTGATTGTGCGTGACGGCGTTAAAAGTTTCGCATCTGGCGCAAAAAGCTGCTGCTCATAATTGACGCCGTGGCAGTTTCTAAGCCGGCGCCTGTCGCATCGAAAGCGAAGAGGCCCCCTCGATGGTGAGGCACGGGAAACGCAGCAAATTTCCTTGCGTCCCTCGGAAGGGCATGGGACCGCGAACAGGGTGGCCACGTGATTGGCCACCAGACGTTGGCGCTTGGGTTTGCGCTGAAATTCGCTTGAAATTCGCGCCTGCTCTTTCTAATGGGTGCCCAAGCTCTAACTTCATACGAGCTTGGCGCAGCAGAAGAGTAAGAAGCTGAAGGAAGCGGAATTGAGAATCGAGAAGGAGAGACGCGAACACACGGCGGAGAAGGAGCAGCTGGTGAAAAAAGTCCGGATTCTGAACACGACAAAAATTCCGGAAATGACCAAGAAGATCCGGTATGAACTGCAAAAGCATCGTACTAGTACAAATTGCATTACAAATTTTCTCAGCATGACAAATGCAATTTGTAATGCTGTTTTACCTTAGGAAGAAGATTTGTCATGCATATTTGCAATTAGTACGAGTACGATACTTTTGCACAGGATATCCGGCTACTGGAGAAGAAAAACGCGGTCTACGTGAAAGAACTATCGCCAGAAAAAACTGTTTCACTGTAAACTTGTAATGCAGAGAATGCATCTCACAAGTGTTTGTCTTGCTACACATGCAAGACAGTGGATTCTTAGCTGTGTTTTCCCTTAGGAACCTTGCATGGCAAATTTTCTCTGTCATGTAGAGCAAACCTGTGATGCAAAACCTGCAAAATCCTTACAGTGAAACACTTTTTTCGTACGATAAGAACTGAAGGAAACCGAGAAAAAAAACGCGGACCTGAAAATTTTGGTCCAGACGAGCGGCGTAAGTGCCGTGGGGTGTGCCGCTGGTGCGAAAAACGATTCGTCCACGACAGCACAGCAAAGAAACACTTCTTCTGCGCAACATCATGACTCTCTGTCCATCTCCCACCACACTCACGCGCAAAAACTCCAGCCGCTGGCGCATATCCAAGAAAAAAAGATTGTCCGGTATAAGTTTCTTGGAGGAACAGCATGACAAATCCGTTCTCTGGCATGAGAGCAAAAACCTGTCATGCGCAGATGGTTGTACGGAAAAACGCCACTGAATGGACCTCCCAATGCATGCCCAGCATGACAGACGCAATCATCTTGCAGGTTGCGCATCACAAACAATGTTCTTTTTTTCGATAGCGCAGCAAATTCGACTACTGAAACAGACGGAGGAGGACCGGCAAGAGCTGGCGTGGAGTATATCAAAGAAAAAAAGTTCGTCACGATCACTGATGCGCATTTTTGCATTGCAAAACTTTCGGTCATGCGTAAAAATGCACCACAGCCAGTGCCAGACTTCCTAAGGGGTTTCCCTAAGTTGTACTGTTTCTGCAATACAAGTAGGAAAAGTTGTCATGCTAAAAAAAATTGTAGATGCAAAGCCAAAGCCAGCAAGTTAGTGATTGTGACAAACTTTTTTCCCTCCATAGAAAAACCGGGAGCTGCAGTGCCGTATCAACTGTAAAAATGTCTGGGTCTGGAAGATTCTGACACTTGTCATGCACGTTTTGCATGAGCCATGACGTCTGTGATGCATACCCTAGCAATGCAGATTTTTTGAGGGCTTCTTGATGCCTATTCCGCATGGCAAATGCCTTCTCAGCGTAGCAAAAATTGCACTCCCTTTGCTACTCATGCAATACAGATTTTTTTGGAATCCAAATGCAGCATCACAAGTTCATTCTTCCAGTAGACCCAGACATTTTTGCATTTGATATGCCGGGTGTTCGATTTGGAAGAGCAGTTAGAGGTTTACCGGACGTATGCCTTGCAAATACGTCTGGGTCTGGAATAATTGGAATTTGCGATGCAAATTCTGGAACACACAAAAATTTGTGTTGCCTGAGCGCCACCCGTTGCCCATTTCTTGGTACGCAAGTAGGAACAAGTTGCTTATGCGGGACACCAGGCATCAAGTAGAGGCGTGCCCAAAACCTGTGATGCTTTTGCCTGCATGAGACACCATTTGCCTGATCCGAAATATGCATGACAAACAATTGTGCACTCTTCCAGACCCGGACATGTTTGCAATGGATAGGACGCAGATCCAGTTGCTCATGAAGCAGCAGCAAGGCCAAGGAAATTCAAATTACAATGCTGATTCGGCTACAGGAAGTACAAGTAGTGCAACAGGTGGAGCTCTTCTTGTGCCACCAGCATCTACAACTTCTGCGAGCGGGAGTGAGGACCGAAAAGAAGCAGCAGCTCATGTAGTTTCGTCACTACATCAAAGCCAAGCTGCCCATGAAAAAAATGCTGTCCCGTCTACTGCGCCTGCTCTAACTTCTTGTTCTTCATCCCTCAAGAACGACGTGAGCGAGGAAGGAAGAATGGACCAAGTCGCACCGCCAGGAACAAAAGATGTAGTTGTTTCCCCGCCGGTTGCATCCGCGACCGCTCCAGAAATACTAGGAACAGATCATAGTACCACACTTCTATCCCATCTACCGGCGCGTGCGTTGCGAAGCAGTGTTTCCGTGACGGCGGAAAGGAGAGGAACCACAGCACACCAGCAGGGGGCACGACCAGGCGCTCCGCCCCCAGCGTCGAAAAATCAAGTGCAGAAAGACTTGTACGGAACAAGTTTTGATAACAGGACTGGTCGTGGTGCAAGAATGGGGAGTAGTGGTCGCAAGCGCAACTCTTACGTCGGTGAGTACAACTCTAGTAGCCGCTCGAGGTCAGGATCGTCATCACCGGTGAAAATAAGTCCGTCGATAGCTAGAACTACAGGTCCTCGGGAGGGGCCGCGGAGAGATCAAGATCCAGCTTCAGAGAAGACAGCTGGTAATATAATAAAAACCGGAGCTGCTCCTGTGGCGGTGGCCGCAACTAGTAGTACGGCAGAAGCATCGTCACGAGCCCCGCCGACCGGAGCAGCGGGGAAAACCACACCAAAAACATCGTCCCCCACGAAGCTGTATCAAGTGCAAATATGTCTCCGTCTGGAAGGATGCAACTTGTGATGCTACGGTCCAAAGGTAGCCTACCTTTGGACTCTACATATATCAAAATCTGTATTGCATAAACAGTAAAAGAGGTGTAATGTCGTGTGCTACGCAGAGAGGGCATTTCTCATGCGGTATGAGCATGATCAGAAAGCCCTCGCAATATCTCTGATGCTAGGGCATGCATCACAGACCTCATGGGTCATGCAAAATCTGCATGACAGACATACTCCTGCATTCTTCCAGATCCATACTTTTTTGCAATCCATAAGCTGAACCCCAGTCCGGACTTCTGGACGAAGCAGATTCACAAGCTGGCCGCGCGAGGGGGAGATGGTGCACCAAGCTCTTCGTTTGCCTCTATCAGGGGGACGAAAAACCTCTATTAAAAAGAAAAATCCCCCCTCCCCGCATCGGAAACGAAATTTGTGATGCTGTATTTGAGTACACAAATCGACTTGTATTGCTAGAAGGCCAAGAGACGCAGTTGTGGCCTGAATTGCAGGGAATTTGTCATGCTGTTTCCCACTTCCAGTTGCCTCGCGTCGTGCTGGAGATGCAACACTTTCCCACGCTAGCTAGCACTACAGTCCGCATCTTTTGCCTTCTAGCATCACAATGCTGATTTGTGACCACAAATCTGCATCACAGACTTCCGTTTTGATATGGGGAGGGGGGATTTTTGTTCTTGATAACCTCGCGGCGGCGTCGTGGTCTCCAGCCGGGAATAGCAATAGGATCAGAGCTATGCATTGCAAATGTCCCTGGATGTCTGGAAGAGTGCAACTTGTGATGCTGCATTTGGATTCTAGAAAAATCTGTGTTCTTGCATGAGCAGCAATGGGTGGAATGTCATTTTTGCTACGCGGTAGTAGGGGTATTTGTCATGCGGAATAGGCATGATCAAGAAGCCTGGAAAAAATCTGTGATGCTAGGGCATGCAACACAGATCGATCACGGCTCATGCAAAACGTGCACGACAAGTCTCAGAATCATCTTCCAGACATCCAGGGATCATATCTGCATTTGATAAGAGCTAGCGGTGCCGGAGATCATGACCCCGCGCCGGTGCAGTTCCAAGACGCCCCTGTGGCGAAGCTTAGCACCCTTGGAACAGCAGGGTCATTATCAAGTGGGGCGGCCTCTTTTTCGACATCTTTGCCGTCGATGAAAAAGGACTATTTACTTGAGGACTTGCTAAACCGCCACTCCGATGTGGACTTTCACCTGACGAAAAGTGCTACTGAGTCCTTGGAACTGCATATGACATTGCACAAGAACTACACCCCTGCAGGAGCTTGATTGGATTCGTCATGCGAAGGCGCGATGGACATCCCAGCCGGTGCTACCTTGAGATAAGTTAGTAGGGCTGCCACGCATGACTATGACAAGCTAGCGCACTCCAAACCGAATTGCATTCCGTGATTGGGTTTGTCATGCAGAAGCTACGTAGTTCTTTCCACTGCTGTTGTTTTTGTTGCTGTTCATCATGCCAACATACAAATGAGGAGGAGAAGTAGAGGAACTTGTGCATTGTCATACTGCAGGCTTTGCGGAAGCAGATCGCGACTTTGCGGAAGGAGATAATACCCTACGTGTACACGAACGGAGACGACAAACCAGATGAGGCGCAGGTGGAAATACAAGTAAAAGAACAGCAGACCGGACGTCGAGAAGAAGTGTTAAAAGAGGCAAAAGCAGCTACATCGCTGCAGCAAGACAGGAACCACGCCCACGTTCAGGAGAGGGACAGCCACTCATTCTTGTCCAGTAGCACAGAAAAGAGCGATGTTGGCGTTGGCCAGGAGCACGTAGGACCACGCGAAAGAGCTACTGCCACAAGTGCGCCCATGTTCAACAAAAATTTGCTCTGTAGCGAGAACCACCTGGACTACCGAAAACAAGGTAATAAAATTACAGATGCATCCGAGGAACGACAATGTGAAGACCTGAGTGCTGGCCTCTGTGCTGGTATAAGAACATCAACCAGCAGAGGCACTGATGTGAAAACAGACCTGAAAGCGATTGACGACATGCGGAATTTTATCAGGAATTGGAGCTCGGCGAAGTTTGAAGAGCAGGATAGTAAAAACAACCACGAAAAGATTATGCAGCAAGACGAGCAGGAGATGGAGAACAACGCCACCAGTGACATCAACCTCTCGACCACATCTTCAACAAACGCGGTAGAAGTAAAAGCAAGAACATCGTCGTCCACCAAGGCCGTACTAGCAGAGAAAAACTACACTAGCTCCTCATCTTCCTGCGAGAGTCCCAAGCAAGTCCCCTGGGCAATTTCTTCCTTCGGCGGAAGATTTTTATGCACTGCAAAAATGTCATCTGGGCTTCTGGAAATTTGTGTTTCTGTTGATAGTCGCATCCGCGTAGGGTAGCTCCTGCTTGCATGGCATAGCAGCATCAGAAGCTCTGCGAGGCACGAGCTCATTACAGACTCACTTTCGAAGCGCATGACAAACTGAGTTTTATCTTTTACAGCGTGACAAAAAAACTGGGTAGTCGTATTTTATTATGCATCACAAATCATGATCCTCTTCCTCGCTGTCCTTCATCATTCGCATCACTACAAATGGATCCCGACCCAGATCTTCGATAATTTGCAATGCATACTTTTTCGGCAGTAGCAACATCACGAAAAATACAAACACTGGCCTGCTCGTCAACAGTAGCGGCTCGGCGAATATCCTGTGCAAAAGTACGTACTAATCGCAGTCATGCAAGACAAATTTCTTTTTCAAGCTAAATCAGCATGAGAAATTCCATGTGTCATGCCGAGCTTTGCAATACTACGAGTGCGATACTTTTGCAGTTCATAGCGAATTATACAAATTTGCAGGAGGAGGTAACGTGTGACGACCTGGCACTGACCAACGTTTTAGAAGTAGACGACCAAGTTTTACTTGTGAGCAATAAAGAGCAGCAAGATCATCTTCAACCTGGTGAACAAAATCATCTACGAAGGACGCTAAAAGCTGCAGATGAGCAGGCCCCCGCTGCTGCACCAGGACGAGGACCAAACCCTGCTTCATCTGCTGGCGCTGCAGCACGCCCAGGATCTGCTTCTAGAGCAGGCCAACATCAGTCGAGTTGTTCTAGTAGAGCAGGCCGCTTGGACTCCATTTCTGTAAATCAGAGCCTCGGAACGATGACCGAAGCGTCTTCGGGGGTTCTGTTTGCCTCCGTGCTCGCAGGAAGCTGCGAAGTAAAATCGGCAACGAGCCGCAGAAGCGAGCAGAGTGCGATGAGTGGGTGGCAAGGTGGTAGTGCCACTTTTGTTGGCGGTGGAGGAACTGAAGATCATCAAAACGCAAAAATACAACTGCAAAACCCGCCAGCAATTGCAACACAGAGGAGCACGACCGACAACTACCAGCAGGAACAAGGTTTCACCATCCCGCAGAGCGGTGGTAGTAGTAAGAGAACGGGTGGAGCGTCTTCGGGCGCCTCGGAAGATAGTAAAGTAGACCACCGGACGAGCTTTCTCACGAGTTACCACTCGCTCTACCTCGACAGCGTGGTTTATGGAAGCGTCAGGATTGAAATCGTAAAAGTTGAATTAGTTTGTGATGCATAAAATGCAACCCACACAGTGCCTGTCTTGGAGAGTAGGCAAGGGAGGCAGATTTCAAGCCTATTGAGGGGTAGAAATCGGGCTGCTAAAGTAGCACGACAAAAGGGATCTTCCTTACCCAAATAGCATGACAAACTGGATTTCGGTTCTACCCAAATTTGTCATGCGCCACTTGGAAACTGGTTTACAACTGGCATCCGTTTTATGCATCACAAATTATTTCAACTTTTAGGATTTCGATCCTGACGCTTCCATATGGTTTTACAGCCGGCGGGGACCACGAGAAGTAGTCGAGACGACGGCGGGAAGACAGAGAATACACACGGAGGTGGAGCTGCAACGGTTTTCCACAATGAAGACCTTTATTCGGAGCAGAACAGCACGATGGGACAAGACCTAGCCGCTTCCGGGGGTATGATTCCGGCCGGCCCCCCATCCGTCGTAGAAACCCACGAGTGGTCCTGTCACGAGGACTCCGATGCGGTATCAACTGCAAATATGTCCAGGTCTGGAAACTTACTTGTGATGCAAGGCAGGGAACATTTCATTAGTGCGCACACTGTATTGCGCTCCTGTCAAGCATGACAAGTGTTTCCGCGGTTCTGAGTTGCGTACTCCGCATGAGAAACTGCGCTTTCGCATTACAGCCAAGAGGAGCTCATCTTCGCGGCCACGCAATAGAGAGTTCAGAGCCAACACCCAGACAAGCATGACAACTCTCGGAATTTTCCAGACTCAGACATACTTGCAGCGCATGCGCGGACGAACAAGGGACCATCAACTCAGGTCGTGCCAGCGATCTTCATATGGAGCGGTTGGTCGGGGCACTGGAGCACGCGACGGGCGGTCCTACTGCTGCTGCAAGTGATTTTTCGCCGCGACGAGGGCCCGTTCTTCTAGTAGCGCACGAAGAGAAACAAGAAGAACCTCCTGCCGTGAAGAAACAAGGCGCCCAAGTAGAGATGAACAACGATGTTGACGTGGACCACTACGATCATCGCGCGGCCGGGGACAACATCAACGGCGCAACTCCTGAGCGTCTAGAAGTTGTACCCAAGAACGAACCTTCCTACGCCGAGGAAGTGGAGGAAGAAGTTCGGCTAGACAACATGATGTCACAACCTACACAGCAAGAAAACTGTGTTACAGCTAGTACAGGAGATTCACAGATGAAGTTTGGCACCACGGACAAGGACAACTTCGACCACCTCGTCCACTGCGAAGATGACAACGCCAACAACAATATCGAAGATATGGCGTTCTCAACCGTTACATCCTCAACTGTTACATGGATTTGTGATGCAAGAACGGCAACAGTGAAAGAGGGGACCTTGCGCGTCTTGCATGACAGATTTCGCACGGATTCTCAGCCTGTTGGGCTCTTCGAGAATTTGTATTGCGAAGCCGCTTGATCATCGTGTCGATTCTGATTGCAATTCTGCATGACAAATCATGTAACAGTTGAAAATGTAACATTTGAGAACGCCATAGAAGAGGAAATTTTCCAGTCCCTTGAAGATATGGAAGTGAAAAACAGGTTTGCGACTACCGCGAACCCGGACTACCTATCAAGTGCAAAAGTATCTAGGTCTGGAAGAATGCATGGTTGTCATGGAAGTTTGGCATGACTCTTGAATCTGTCATGCACGTTGCCCAAGCGCTCCATTTTTCTTTCATGCAGAAACGCAGTTTGTCATGCAGAATAGGCAACAACTAGAAGCTCAGAAACTTGTCATGCTGAGCCAGCACTTGTGGCGTCATCATGATACGCCACCCAGCATCACAAGTTTCCAGACCCAGTAGACATTTTTGCATTTGATACTATCCGAGCTTTTTCGATTCTGCGGTGGAAACGGAAACGGAGGTATCAAATGCAAATATGTCTGGGTCTGGAAGATTGTGAGACTTGTCATGCTTGTCTGGCATGACCAAAAAGTTTGTGATGCGTTTCCAAAAAGAGATCCTTTTGCCTGTCATGCAAAAACGCAGTTTGTCATGCGAAAAACGCAACACAAGGAAGCGCAGATATTTCTCATGCTTGGCGGTGCATTGCAGAGCATTCACTGTTCCCAACGCAGCATTACGAGTTTCCAGACCCAGTCATTTTTGCAGTTGATAGGAGGTGTGTGATGCGGAGGAAGATGAGCAGCATGGGGATGAAAACCAAGATTGTCCACCTCGTGGATCATCCGACGTTGGTAATATCAAAGATTCCACTTCTACTACTTCTGCGACCGAGCAAAGCGAAGAGGTGAGGACTTTTTCCGACGCTTTAAGGACCGCATTGGAGAAGGAAGTTGAGAGAAAGTTTGCTGGTGAAAATGACGGAGCGGATTCTGTTTATGCATTGCAAATATGTCTGGGTCTGGAACGATGCAAACTTGTGATGCGGATGCTGGAACACGCACAAATCTGTATTGCGTAGTCAGCAAAAGGTACCTGATTTTTGTCTCCAGAAAAGGGCATCTGTCTTCATGCGGAGAAGGCATTGAGAAGCCCCCACAGAGTTTGTCATGCTCTGTGTGCATTCCAGACCTTTTTGTAGATGTGAAAGATGCATCACAAATGTCTAACTTCTTCCAGACCCAGACATATTGGCAGTGGATTCTGTTTCTCCCAGTGCAATAAAATCTTCTTCCAGTCCTGGCAAGAAACTAGAACACCATTGTCATTCCACAGCAGCAGAAATGAACCCCTCGTGTTCCTTGTCAGCGAAGAACCCCTCGCCCCTATCGTGAGGAAAAATCCCCCCTCCCCATATTGAAAAGGTATGTTTCCAAAAATTTGCGTTGCGGATTCGAGGTCACAAATCACATCTGTATCGCAAGAAGACAAGGGCAGAAGCTTCCGCCCCGTTATGGAAGCGATTTGTCATGCTGTTGGGCCTAAAGGAGAGCCGTTTGCCGTGCTGAACAACTAGGCCCGTACGCCCCTACCTAGCCTGGGGATCTGGCCGCCATGCCTCCCTGCAATACAAAGCTGATTTGTGGCCACAAATCAGCATCAGATATGGGGAGGGGGGATTTTTCATTTTGATACCCGCCCCCGAAGAAGCGACCTCTCCCCCCCTTTTTCACGAACGGAAGGCAAACGGCGAGTTCTTCGTCCTTCGCTGCGAATGGTGATTATGCAAGAAAAAATGTGAATGTAAGTCTGTAATGGAGAAAATGCAAAACTGTTGACACTTGTCATGCTGAATCTGCGTCATACTCATAGGCTACTTTCATACGTGTTTCCGCGTGCAACTAGTTGCGCATGACAGGTTTTCCCTGTAATGCCAAACGAATCTGTGATGCTGCTCTTGCTTCCTACAAAGTTACACTTACACAGTTTTTTTCCTGGATAGTGATCTTGGAAAGAACTACAGAAGCGGAATTTTTAATCAGAAACATCAGCAAGGAGCTTTGATGTCCCCTTCGCGAGGAACTAGTAGCTCCTCAGCACAACAAGCGTCTTCTACTCTGCACAAAGCCACTGCAGCGTCCAACTCCCGGGCAACTGCGAACACGGCCACGCTGAAGCAGCAACAGTATCAAATGTAAATATGTAGTCTGGGTCTGGAAACTTGTGATGCTAAAATCTTGATGATGGAAACAGTTCCGAATGCAACTTAGCATGACAACTTTGCAGAAGGAATGCTTTCTTGTAGGCAATCCGCATCAGAAACTGTGTGTGCGCATGTACAAAAGAGGCTACGACTGTTGTAGCTTATGCAATACAGATTTTCATCTAGGTATGGAAACTTAGCATTACATCCGGACCCAGACATGTTTGCAATGCATAAACAGCAAGCCGCGGGGTCGAGTACTGCTTCTAAAAGTGTTGAAAACAAGAAACTGATTCTCGCTTCCACAAGGATCGTATGAACTGCAAAAGTATCGTACTAGTAGAAATTGCATTACAAATTCACTTAGCATTACAAATTGAATTTGTAATGCAGATTTGCCTCAGCAAAGAGATTTGTAATGCATAAACGCAATTAGTACGAGCACGATACTTTTGCACTGCGTAGATCGTGAAAACGGAAGCAGAAATCGCGGAAATCCGGGCGAAATCGAGGATCCACACGTTTTATCCTGTGCAAAAGTATCTGATACTCGTATTGCAATCATGCATTACCAATCTTTGTCTTAAGGTAAACCCGCATTACAAATTTTATTTCTCATGCTGAGAAAATTCGTAATGCAATTTATATATACGAGGACGATACTTTTCCTTTTGCAGTTCATACGTTTCCCGCTCCTGGCACGAATAGTAAGCCCAAGCCAAATAAACTGGTACCGCAGCATATCCTCAGTAAAAACATCCTCACCCCAGAGTTGTCATGCAGATTTGCAACGGCAGGAAGATTTGTAATGCGCACCCCAATGAGAGGCATTTCAAATCGTGTTTTGGAGGTTCTGATGCTGTAAACAGGATAGGTACATGGGTTTGTGATGCGGCTGCACTTGCTAGACTGCACGAGGAACTTGTCGTTGTCATGCGTGACTCCCAAAGCTTCTGGATTTGTGTTGCAAGATCCCGAGCTTTACTCTGGTGTGGGGACGTTTTTACTCGCAATGCAGCAGCGTATTGACGTCAGGAAAAAGAGTCCCAATGAACAACTGCAGGAGCAAAATATCCTGAGTACAAACGTCCCCGCGCCAGAGTTAAGATGGGAAATCGGCTATACAAATCAACAGCAAGCTCTGGCTGTTGCAGCGCATGACAACTGTGGTGGGTGCGCAGTGTAGTCGCATTCACCTAGTGCAGAAGCATCACAGATCTAGCAGCTCATGCGGATTTGAGCATCACAGATTCCGAAACGCAGTGAGAAAGCGCTCCTTTTGGGACTCCGCATCAGAAACATTTTGAGCGTGCAGATTTGCATGACAAGTCTGGGATGGGGACGTTTTTAATACACAGGATACAAAATTTGTGCAAGGGAACGGGTGCGGAGGTAAGTGAATTCCTTTGCGCGGCTGGAGCACCTGGGGCGATGCAGGGTACGAGATAGCACAACTCCCCCATCCCCTCATTTGTATGGTATGAGCAGCAATACAGCACCAGCGGAAATGGAGCCTGCCGCGCATGACAAATCTTCTACACACGGATTGTAGTGCTGTTTGTGTGGTTCCAAAATTTGTCATGCAAACTGCGCTTACAGACAAGATGTGGATTTGGGTTTTTGCATCACAAATGAGGGGGAGGGGTCGTGGTTGTGCACTTTCATACAGTGGCAGGGGCAAACAGGAGTGGAGGTGGATGACCAAGTGAAAGCGTACATGGAGATATGTATCAACTGCAAAAATGTCTGGGTCTGGAAGAGTCGGAACCTGTCATGCACATTTTGCATGACGCGTGAGGTCTGTGATGCTGGTGCTCGCATCACAGAGTTTTTGAGAGCTTCTTGATGGTAATTACGCATGAGAAATGCCCTCTCCGCGTGCCAGGAGCTGACTCGTCTTGCTGCTCATGCAACACAGATATTTTTAGAATCCGCAGACAGCATTACAAGTTCCACTGTTCCAGACCCAGACATTTTTGCAATCCATAATATGAGAGAGAACACGACAGCTCCCCCTCCCCCTCTTCTGTAATGCAAAACACCAAATGCACAACCACATCTTGGTCTTCCCTGCAAGGATTCATTGTTTGCACGACAAATTTTTGAAGCTCCAGCAGTACCACAGTCCGCTCGCAGGTTTGTCATGCCGAAGCGACATTTCTGCCGTTGCTTCTGTTGCTGCCCATGCGGTAGTTTCAATGCGGGTGGGGGGGAAATTGTGCACTCTCATACGAGAACCTGAATTCGCAACTGGAGGCGTTAATGTGATAAAAATAAAGAAAAGAATAAAATAACTCGTTTACATTGCGGCGATCATCTTCACATCACAGCGCTTTTACATGCCAAATGCACGAAGCAGAGCGAGTATGCAGATTTGAATTTCTCACGAAACTCATTGCGACTAGTAAACGTCACTGCTGGAAGTGGAAGACCACGCCATGGAAAGCTGTGGATTCATTTTCTTAAGCATTTAGAACACGGCAAGAGTAAGAAAAGTAGCACGCGCGGAATTAGTCGACGAGAATTACTAGACATTTCTTCAAGATGAAATCTCCACAGCAAACATTGTGGAGAAAATGTCGCCGGACTGCTCACATCAATGCTTCTGGTAGCGAGGAGTCCACGTGAACTGATTTCACTTCTCGGTCAGAAAGTCGTGCGTTTGTAGTTACCTCGAACAACAATTGTCAGTAGAGTCAGCTCTTCTATACTTCGGTGCAATCGAGGTCGTATTACTACAGTGCTAAGGAGCAGCACCGACAATTATCCTGACGGAGGGGTTGAAAGTAAGTACTTGAGAGATGAAAGGAGTACGTACAGTCGAGTTAACAAGAGGTGAACTCGGTAAATTAAACTTTGCATCAAGGGCCGGGGGGTAGATAACTAAGAAAATCGTGTTTTCGCTGTGTGTGCCCTGATGTTCGACAGCACTTTGAAGTGCTTTCTTACACACAACTACATGCATCGTATTTTTTTCAATTTTCGTCCTACCCTGCCTCTCTCCATTTTCTTTTTCCCTCAGGTCTTTTTGGCTTCGCGACTGAAGTGCAGATCTTGAACCACCTATAATTTTTTTCTACCCATCAGCTATTTCGACGTCCCATTTCGTTGCATGGCATAACAACATCAAATTTATCATTCTTGTCAAAAATATAAATAACCACCTTCTTTATAATTATTCCGCCCACATTTTTTCATTCTCAGTAGTACGAAGTCGCTAGTTTTTTTTTGGCGCTTGTTCTATCTTGTGATAGCACATCCAATATCATTTTGTGAGCTTTATTATTCTATATTCTTTTTTTGGGGCTGTGTGCAGCTTTTTCTTGTCAAATTGTTTTACACCTTCCTGATTTTTCCTCTTTCTGCCTTCATGTAACTTCCTCTTGCCGTTGCTTTTGAATTTGAATTTGCATACTGTACTACTTCACCACATTATACTATCGCAATCAGAAACAACACCAAACTATGGCGACCAGCATGATGAGGAATTCATTATTTGCAAGCAGAGGCACCAGCGCAGCCGCAGCGTCGTCACTTCTCGGTGGCCCGGCCATGATTTTTTTCTTCTCTACCATTCTCTTCCTCGCACATCAACCGGTGACGGCTTTTATCAACTGCAAAAGTATCTTACTAGTAGCAATTGCAATACAAATTTTTAGCTCAGCATGACAACTGGAATTTGTCATGCTGTTTTACAATTGGCATGGAAATTTGTAATGCATGATTGTGATTACTACGAGTACGAAATACTTTTGCACAGGATAGTTTTGTCCCGCTGGCAAGTGTCCTACCAAGATGTGGGCTCTGAGGACTACGTGCTCACGATGTCGTGGTACCACGATTATCAACTGCAAAAATGTCTGGGTCTGGAAGATTCTAAACTTGTCATGCTAAATCTGAAGCATGCAAAAATCTGTGTTGCATGATTGCCAAAAGTCGTCCAGTTTTCACCAAGTCGGGAGGGAGTTTCTCATGCAGGATAGGCATGAGAGAGATCGCACAGAATCTGTCATGCTAGGTCCTGCATTCCAGACCTCATGGGTCATGGAAAAGCAGCATGACAAATTGCGCATTCTTCCAGACCCAGACATTTTTACATTTGATAACGATCCCCAGCTCGCGATTGTCGGGCGTGACCTAGCGAAAAATCCCGGCCTATGCTGTGCAACAGCGTCCCCATCCCAGCGTTGGGAAATCTGCAAGACAAATCAACAAACCTTGGCTGTTTCGCATGACAAGTTTTGGCTCGCAATGTCGCCGCGTTTAGCTAGTGCAGCAGCATCGCAAATCTAGGTCTAGCCTCTTATGCTGTTCCGAGCATCACAAATTTGAATTTCAAAACAGCACTAGAAAATGCGTCCCATGGGGCTCCGCATGAGAGGCACTTGTAGCATGCAGATTTGCATGACAACTCTGGGGCGGGGACGTTTTTACACAGGATACGGTCAGCAGGACGGATCGACCTCGAAGACCAAAGCTGCTCTAGGGGTGTGCGACCCTCAGTCCACCGCAAAAGCGGCCTATCAAATGTAAAAATGTCTGGGTCTGGAAACTTGTGATGCTGGGTGGCGTCTCATGGTGAGGCTACAAATGCTGGCTCAGCATGACAAGTTTCTGAGCTCCTAGGTGTTGCCTATTCTGCATGACAAACTGCGCTTCTGCATCTTCTTCTTCCACTGCGTGTCTCCACCTAGGGGTATCGGCAGAGGCTAAATCTGTTCTAACGCCCAGGTATTGGCAGAGGCTAAATCTGTTCTAACGCCGACCCGCCAGGAGTTAAATGGTACTACTACTACTACTACTACTACTACAACTGCATCTTCTTCTTCACAGAAAAACCAAGCTCTTGGGTAACTTGCATGACAGATTTAAGAGTCATGCCAGACAAGCATGACAAACATGAATTCTTCCAGACCCAGACATTTTTACATTTGATACGGCCGACGGGAAGCTGTATTGGGCGCCCAGGATTTTTCCGCAGCCGGTTTCGGCTATGGATGTGTCAGGATTGCAATCGACAAAGTTGAAATAACTTGCAATGCATAAAATCGATACCAATTGGACCCACAGTTTCTAGTCGGTGCATGACAAATTTTATCCGTAGTACCGGAGGCCAGTTTGTGATGCTGTTTCGGGCAAAGGGGCTCCCCTCTGTCATGCTAATCAGCAGCCCAATTGTTCTCGACCCTTACCAGCACTACAAAAATCTGCTTCTCTTGCGTCCCCTGCAATAGAGGCAATTTCTGCGTTGCATTTCATGCATGGCAAACTATTTCATCCTGACACAACCATATCGGCTGAGGTGACGAGAAAAACCGGGATTCACTTTGCTTCCGTCGACTGGCAACCCTGCGGACACAAGGACGTATCCTGAGTAAAAACGTACCCACACCAGAGTTAGGATGAGGGTTTTGCAACACAAACCTACGAGTTTTGTGCGTCACGCATGACAAGTTCAACTCTGCAGTGTAGTGCAGGTTAGCAAGTGCAGCCGCATCACAAATCCAGCTGCTCCTCCTGTTCACAGCATCACAAATTCCAAAACACGATTGGAAATGGCTCTCATGGGGATGCGCATTATAAGTCTTCCTGTCTTTGCAAATCTGCATTACAACTCTGGTGTGGGTACGTTTTTACTCAGGATAGGACGTCGTGATTTGTCATGGCGAGTCCCACTACGACTTTCACCTCTATTACGTCTCGCAGGCGGAGTTGAATGGGTATACGTGCAGCAATCCAAACCCGGTGTGCCCAGATTTGGATGACACCAACCAGAGAAACCACAAGTTTTACAAGCTCATGAAGGGCAACATTCCCTCCTTCGCGGACAAAGCCACCGGAGACACGCAACAGTTCAACTTCTGCGTGGACCCGACGAGCGCGATGCCGAACTCGGGCATCCTATCAAATGCAAATATCCCTGGATGTCTGGAAGGATGCCAACTTGTGATGCTGCCTTTGGATAATTCTACACGAAATCTGTATTGCGTGAAAAGCAGTAAAAGAGGTCCACTCTTTGCTACGCGGAGAGGTGGGCATTTCTCATGCGGTATGGGCATCGGAAAGCCCTCGCAGAATCATCACAGACGTCGTGGGTCATGCAAAAGCTGCATGACAATAAACTTCTGCACGACTCTTCCAGACATCCAAGGATATTTGCATTTGATACATCCACTACGGGGACAAATCGGAAACGCTTTCCGAGTATCCTGTGCAAAAGTATCTGATACTCGTATTGCAATCATGCATTACAAATTTTTTTCTTGAGGTAAATCAGCATTACAAATTTTCTTTCTCATGCTGAGGAAATTTGTAATGCATTTATACGAGTACGATACTTTTGCCATTCATACCGAGTGGAGAAACCCGGTGACGGTGCTGGGGTCCTACGACTGCAAGTTGACCTATCAAATGCAAAAATGTCTGGGTCTGGAAGGTTGGAACTTGTCATGCTAAATCTAAATCATGCTAAAAACTGTGCTGCGTGATTGCTAAAAGTTGTCCACTTTTGACCTAATCGGGAGGGAGTTTCTCATGCAGGATAGGCATGAGAGAGATCGCACAGAATCTGTCATGCTATGTCCTACATACCAGACCTCATGGGCCATAGAAAACCTGCATGACAAGACTGGCAATCTTCCAGACCCAGACATGTTTGCGTTGCATATGACCTTTTTCGAGCCCATGTTCTCCTGGAAGTGGGTACAGGGGAAGACGGGCAGCGGGGAGCTATGCATTGCAAAAATGTCTGGGTCTGGAAAAGTTGAACTTGTGTTGCATGTCTTGCATTCCTGAAAAATCTGTGTAGTTGCACAGCCAGCAAGAAAGGCGCTACTTTTTCGTCCTGCAAAAACGCAGTTTGTCATGCGTGCTACGCATCAGACGGCGTCAATCATGCTTGGCTGCACTTGAGAGCGCCAGTCTCATCCAAACTTTAGCATCACAAATTTCCAGACCCAGACATATTTGCATTTGATAGGAGTGGCCCAAATACGACAGCGGCCGGATCACATACGACGAGAAAAATTTCCGCCCTTTACCGGACTCCTGGTCGGTGGAAGTCGACCGGGTGGCCTGCGCGACAACCAACCCGAGCTCGTATCAAAAACAAAAATCCCCCCTGCCCATATCGAAAACGAGATTTGTCTTGCTGTATTTGAGTACACAAATCACATTTGCGTTGCAGTGGAGCACTGCACGCAGATTGCAAGCCTAGCTAGGGGCCTTTTGGTGTAGGCGCCTAGCATGGTAGACGGCTGCGCTGTAAACCTTACAGCGTCCTCACAAATCGCCTGCATGGCGTGACTGACAGCCTGGACTTGCCTCCTTGCAAGACAGACGCGATTTGTGGCCACAAATCTGCGTCGCAAATTTTCAGACGGATGCGCTTTCAATATGGGAAGGGGGATTTTTCCTTGCGATAGCTCGGATTGCAAAATCACGGTGACCATCCGCGGCAAGCGGTGCGGCGCCAGCGGGTGCGGGGCCCTGCCGCAGGATATCTGCTGCAAATATGTCTGAGTCTGGAAGATTGCCGCGCTTGTCATGCAGGTTTTGCATGACCCATGAGGTCTGATTTGTAGGACATAGCCTGACAAATTCTGTGACAGTTCTATAATCATGCCTATTTTACATGAGAAACTGCCTCTCGGTTAGGTCAAAAGTGGACAGCTTTTGGTAATCATGCCACTACTACACAGATTTTTGCATGTTCTTTCAGTGTTAGCATGACAAGTTGCAGAGTTTCAGACATCCAGGGATATTTGCAATGCATACAGGAGTGTGGCCTGCAACGGAACTGTATGAACTGCAAAAGTATCGTACTCGTATAAATGCATGACGTCGCCTCGGTAGTGTCGTGGCCTCGGTACGCCACTACAATTTGGCGCACCGAGGCTAGAAGAAGTTTCTTTAGAACGCGCATACAAAATGGCGCACCGAGGCCAAAAGTGCCAAGTTTTCGGAGTGGCCGCCTCGGTGCACCGAGGCCGACGGCCTCGGTACGCCAAATTGTATGCCGGAACGAAGCAGCAGACGGGCGGAACACAATCACGAAAATGGAGAAAAGCGCTCCGGGCGCAGCGGTGCCAAGATTGGTTTTTTTGGGGTGAGACGGTGAGACACGTGAAACAAATTCGATGTTGTTGCCGTGCGTTTGGGGCAGTGCTCGTCGCGCGACGCCGCGAGCAGAAGCTCCCGCGGAAGGCAGGGGGCGACGCAGGCGCGGGCGTGTGCGAAGCGAAAAAACGCACGCGAAATCGCGAAGCATGCAAGCGCAGAAAAAATCAAAACGGAGAAACTTCTCCAGCCCGCACACAGTTGCGCTGCGATGCGTGTCTGTAAAATTAGGACTCTATAGTAAAAGAAGCTGGTCGCAAAAGTTTAGCGCAAGATAGTCCCGCGCGAAAAGGAAAAACAAAAAGCGCGGCAACAGATATAAAATAAAACAGAGCACAGCGATGAAAATGAGCAAAATCCTGAATAGGTACCGGCATGGCTGCAGGCGCGCTGGCATTATTTAGTAATTGAGTAAGCTGCGCGCGGCTATAGTTACACGGTGGAGCCACAGATTATAGATCGGATAATATTGCAGTGCGGATGACATAAAAAGGCGCGAACTAGACGAATTGCGTTGCAGAGCGGAACGGGACAGACAAAAAAAACTACAGGCTGCGCTATGTACCACACAAAAAAAAAGTAAAATCTAGTAGAGAGAAGCGCAGCACTGAGGGGTGCGCGAGCATGGAGTGAGTTGCGTCCAGTGTGAGGCGGAGGTGGTGCAACGACGTGAATGAGCCGAAGCTCATCCAATGCGTCAGATTGGACCACCAACGCGCCCCCACCTGGGCGGAAACAAATGAAAGGCAAGTTTTTGCAGGAGAAAGTAATGATCTTGGTTCATAGTACTGGAACTTACAGAAAAAAGCAGAGCAAATAAAATCAGTTGCGGTGAGCGAAAGTCGCAAGCTGGTGCGCTCGACGTTCGCGACGCTGCACGCTACTCACACCGCGTCCAAGAGGGAATCGGGGTGGTTCGCCATCGTCGCTGCCATTTCGCGAAATTGGACGGGCAGGTCGGCGCGCGCCGCGACTTCGACGTGCCAGGCTCCGCACAGGACTCCCGGCAACCCGTTTGCCACCTTGGCTTTGCGCAGCTTCGTCCCCGTCAGGTGGACACACCAAACGGGATCGGCAACCGTTTTGGCGTAGTTGACGGTCGCGCGCAGCTTCGCGCGCTCGTCGCCAGCTTTGTTATACCACCAAATCTTCGCGCGCAGGCCGCCGGCACTGTACAGGACCGCGTACATGCCGCGCGAAATGAAGCGCACCGAGTCCGCAACCGCGCGGAACTGGCCCACGTCGCGGTAGTCGGCGTCGCCAAGGTCGCGAAACATGGCCGGCGGCTGCTGCAGCGGCGCTGCGATGTGCCAAGCTGCGGAGCAAGCGCTTGGAGACACGCGGGGGGGAGCGGGCGCAGCTTTCCCCGGCGGGCCGGGTGGGCCGATCGCGTCTTGCAGGACCTCGAGCACGCCAACAGCGGGCGGCGGCGCAGCGGCTGCCTTTTTGGCGGCGGGCTGTTTCGCTTTCGGCGGCGCGGCGAGTCGCCCGCCCGTCTTCGGCGGCGGCGTTTTAGACGGAAGCAGGGGCGCAAGCGTATCCGCCGCCGCCGGCAAGAGGGTCGCCGCGGCTGGCTTCAAGTTGTCCCGGTGCTGCCCACGATAAGTGCGCCCATCGATGTCAATGTCAGCAAGCTTGCCCGTGAGCGCCACCACTGTCCCGGGCCCGTGCCAACCTTTCCGCCCGAGCTGCGTATTTTTCAAAAATACGCTCTGCCCGATTTGCAGCTCCGGCGGCTCCGGCCGTTGCCCCCCCTGCTTGTTGAAAAACTGCTTGCGATTCTTGGTCGCGTTGGCTGCCGCCACGTCCTTGGCCGCAGCAATGGACGCGGGGCGGTCCTGCTCAATGCGCTCCACCGCAGCAGCACGTTCGCCGAACAGCGATTCGGCGTCACTGCTGTCGGGCGACGGGGAAGAAGCGCTGTCGCCCGGACGCGGCGTCTCGAGCGCTGGCTCCTCGTCGGTCGAAAAATCGGCGTCCCAGGCGCCTTCGAACTCGGCCCGAAGAGCGGGCAAAGGGTCCGGCTGCGCGGAGCTGCTTGCAGCGATGGACAACGCGGCAGCTTGGTCCAACGTGCGCAGGTCAACGCCGTACAACAGGCGCGCCGCGCTTGTTTTATGGGGCGCTCAGGCGCGACGCGCTCAGCCGCGGCAGGTGTTGCCATGCAAGCACGCAGTGCGACGGAGGCAAAGTAACTGCGCCCCGCATGAAAAACGCGCGAGAGGCCACGCAGCAGGCAAATGGAAGCGAGGCCCGTGAGCAGTGCCAGCAGTTTACGTGCCTCGCAGGGGCTGTTCTTTCATTGCATGCAAAAGGGCGCCGCGGCTGAGCGCGTAACGGCTGGCGGCGCCATACTTGCCGCGGGCGCGGCGGGAAGCGGCTGCGTTCGTTGCCAGCTGCACCAGCGGAACATATTCCGGCCAGCGGCTCAGGTCCCGGCGCGCCAACTGGAGGGAAACGCGACCCACCATTTTTTCGGCCTGTCCGTTGGACATCGGGCGCCCCGGCGAGATCGTCGTGTGGCGAAACCCGAGAGCCTCCGCAAGGCGCTTGATGGCGGCAAATTCCGTCCCGGCATGAACACGAAAGCCGCAGCGCACGCGGCCCCCCGGTGATAGCAAAAGCCTGGCGCTTTTGCCGAGCCGGGGGCGAATGCGGCGCGGCTGTTCACTTGCTTAACCGTTGTCCGTGTGGTATTCCAGGCCAACCCCGAAAAAGCTCACCAGCTTGACCTGTCGTAAGGATCGCAAAAGCGTTTCGATTTGGAAAAGCAAAGGCGCGGCGCGCCTACTGAATGCAAAAGCAAAAGCGCAACGAAGAGGCACGGCACCAAAAAAAAAAAAGAGGGAAAAAACAAGAAGCATACCCAGGCACCGTGGACGCACGCCATCGACTTCCGCTCGATGGGTTCCAGGAAGCAATAGCCCGTGACCCACGCCTATGGCACTCGCAAACGTTGCCCCCCCAGCTCTCTCGCGCATGAATTTGCAACGCAAGAACGGCGAGGCAAAGCGGAAACGGGTAGATTGCGCCCTTTGCGTTACAGAGGCAGCACAGATTTAGGCACTGTCTAGCCCTGCGGATAGTTGTCATGCCAGAAGCAGCTTAATCGCGGCGAATGCCAAAGCGCGTAGCCGCTGGGAAGGCAACAACTGCGAACGCCATAGCTCGACCGCCACAAAAAGGTATCGGCAACTTATGCAGGCGCCGAGACCGAAATAGGCAAAATCAAAAAAGAAAAATCTGGCGCCCCCCCTGGCGGGGTGCTGGACTCTCGCTTTTCGATTCTGACGCCCTCGGGCCTCGTTGGCCAAACTAGCCGTGGCGGCATGCTTGGGCGCGTCAGAATCGAAAGGGGCTCCGGAGGGGGTGACTTAGTTTCGTCCCTCCCCCCAAGGACTGCCAGAATTTTTTTTGCGATTTTGTCGATTTCGATCGTGGCCCCCATACGGTTTTCGACGAGCGGCATCTTTTTCAAGTCCAAAGCCCAGCGGTCGAGGGGCGCGGCCTGCTCGAAGGCGGCGCGCTGGAAACCGCTGCGGAAGGTCGCTGGCGCGCTGAAGGGCGCAGACCGCTGGCAGGCCAGGCAATCGGTTTTCGCTTTCGCCGCTGCTTCTTTCATCCCACGGAAATACACCTTCCAGCGCTGCAGGACAGATAACGTCGCCTCCCGCCCCCCGTGCGTCTCCTCATGCGCGCGGCGAGTGAGATCCGCGGCGCGCTCGTCGTCCCAAACGATTTCGTGCCATTGTCCCCGCAGGCTGTCATTGGCTTTGCCCAGGAAGCGCGTCCCCATGCGCACCAGAATTTTGCCGTCGCCCCACATGAAATCCTCTTCCCGCTGCTTCCACCAGCGGGCCGCGTAGCGCCCCAGCGGCGCCGCCAATGGTTCCCCCTGAAGCAGCGCGGCCATCTGGTGCTGCGTCACCGGAAACAGCTCCGCGGACGCCGGGTCTGCTGCTTCCAGCGGAAGTTCGGGCCCCGCGTCCTCGCCCAGGAACAAGAGGTCCGAAACTTTCGGTGAAGGCGGGCGCTTCGGGTTGCGCAGGTTGCGCTCGACCGCGACAACCGGCACGGCAGACGGGTCGAACATGAGGACGCGGCAGGTGAAGCCGTTCTTCGGATTGACCGAGCCGACGGCTCGGCCAAGTTGCCCGCTGCGATTCGCGTCCGGGTCGGTGTTGTTGTACTGGTCGTACAGTTCGGCCCGGGTTGCGTCCGCCTTCACCTGCGTGGCGAACGCGTGCCAAACCTGGTAATTCCCACCCCCAAACAGCGCGTCGGCGGCTCCCGCTCCGCTCGTTTGCGTGACCAAAAAGGCGCCCCAGACCTTTGCGCCGTCCACCAGGGTCGCGGCCGTGCGGCTGTAGTCGTCGACCAATATGCCACCAAAGACACACCCCCCCCTTACCGACTTCCCCCCCCCGCGAAGAGCACGAAGCCCGATGGACAACCGGCGAAAGGACCTTTACGGCCGAGAGGTAACATTGCCCGGATACCGATCGGGCGGAGAAGTTGCCGCGCACCTAATTCCGCTCGGGAATTCCGAAAACGCAGCGCGGCGGGGCGCAGCTGTGGGCCCGTGGCCGCCAGAAGTGGGGCGGCTCGCTTGGCGCATCGCGCGCGCGGCGCCCCTGCTTCACTGAATGAGCTTGGGCGGGCTGTCGCCCGCTTACGACCTGAGTCCGCCGAAATGGCGTCAGCTAAACTTCCAGAACCCGAAAAAAATACGAGAACAAGCAGCAAAAGCAAGAGAAGCTGCGAGGCAAATCAGCAATTTCCGACCGTAAACGGTGGCGGCCCCGCTCGAGCAGGGCCGCCGCCCTTGCATGCAGAACCTCAGCGCCTAGCTTACAGGGGGGGGGGCGGGGGGGGGGCGCGTCGCGCTTCTTAATGTCCACCATCACGTACGGCGTGCCAAGCGGTTTCCAAAAACAGTGACTCCCCTGGGCGGCCGTTTCGTCGATGGCCCGCTGCCAGGAACCTTGGTCGCAGGCGGAAACCGTGGGCAGCTCGGTCCGCTGCCGCCGGCTCTTGTCGCGCGGGATGACCGACAGCTCCACGGGACCAACGAGCGCGCGGCAGATCTGGGCCATGTCCACATCGAGCGCACGCACGTCGCCCGCACTGGGGTCCACAGGAGGCGCGCCGTCCGCGTTCTGCGCCGGGGTGCTGGCGGCTGCCTGCTGCGCCGCGGGTTGACCGAGCGGCCCACGAGAAGCTCCAACCAGAAGCGGCGCGGTTGTCGCGGCAGCGGTTGGCGCAGCTTTCGGCGGGACGGTAGGCGGCGCCCCGGTCGATGGAAGCGGCGCGGCCGTCGCGGTCGCCTTCGCTTTTTTCGCCGCAGGCCACATGGCCGACGAGTCGCCCGCGCCATCGTCGCCCGGTGGGAACTGCGGCGGCGGCGCGCCGTGTTGTGCGGCGATGCGGGCCAGGCAGGTGCGCTGCTTTTCCGACCAACGCGCGTAGCAAGGCAGCTCCTTCATGAAGGTGCGCTCCCAGTCCGTCAAGTTTCCCGCCCCAATGTCGTCGCGGACTTTGTCGACAGTGGATTTTTTCAAGCGGACCCCTTCCAGCTTCCGCTGAATGCGGTCCCACGTCGCCGCCCGCCTTTCCGTGTTGTCGACAAATTCGGGCGGCTTGTCCAACAGGTACTGCCGCTCGAATTTATCCAGGTACATGTGGAGCTCGGGATCGATCAGCTCGTCCAGGGCGGTGCGCGGCGGGGGGGCGTCCGAATCCCCCGACGAAGCCCGCGCCATGAAGTCACTGGCCCAGCTGGCTCCCGGCTGCGCGTCTCCCGGGGCACCCGCGCCCGGGTTGCCCCCCTGATCCTGTTGCCCGCTTTGCTGCATCGCTGTGCGTGCGTGCGCTGTTCGTTCGCTTTCCCTGCTGCTTTCGTTCGCTGCGTGCTGTCCCTGCGGGCGGTTGCTCTGCTCGGTTTCTTGCTGCTAGTTGTCTCCTGCTTGTGCTGCTCGCGCCAAGTTTTTTTGTGCGTTTTCCCCTTTAAGCGTTTGCGCTAAGTGTTTCGAGTTTGTTTGCGAAAGTTTTGCGACTAAATCCTTAACCTAGTGAAATCCCAAGCGGATACGTAGCGCCCTTATAAAGAGTGGGTGAGCTAAGTTACCGGGTCGGGGTGTCATCGCTGTGGCATGGGGGGGATCGAGGCAAAACCTTCGCGAGATGAAACGAAAACTCCAACACGGGAAACTAGCGCGAAAGCGAAGCCCGCAGGACGAAGGCAGCGCACAGCGCCTGCTGCACACAATGCAAAAAGAGGAGGCCAACGAGCACCGAGCGGCCCCGCCCGTGGCAGCGGACCGCGTGCCAAACATGGCGAAAACGACCGACCACGGGGCCCGCGCGGACTTTCGCGGAGTTGCCCCTTCGTTTGTGTCTTTGTACGAATACCGAACGACTTCGATTTTTCTTCGCACGATTTACCGACAAAGAGCAGCGGGGCCTCAAAGTTTTTTTTGGTTTGCACGATACACCGAGCCAAAGCGTTCGCACGACAGGCCGAGCAGCTGAGCCAGGCACGGAAGCGAGGGAAGCGGCTCGCGCCATAGTCTAGAGGGAACTTACGCGCCAAAAGCTTGCTTGCACATCAGACAGACAGGCCCGGGCGAAGTCCCGCCCTAATTGCAGACTAAAAACTTGCTAAATTGAACCGGCGCCCGGGCCCCGGCAGGCTTTGGGGTTTTCCGTGTTTTCAAGGCCCAGCGCAGCCGCGCAGCCGGCTCTTCTCTGGGTTTTCAGCTTTGGGGGCTTGGCCGCATTTTCGGCGGCCTTCCGGACGGTGGGTATGTCGCCCGTCTTGCGCGTATTTTGTGGCACGGGCCTGCCGGTTTGTCTCTCTGGGGTCCGGCTCGGAAATTCCGGCCTTCGGCGGGGTAGGGTTCCGGAGTCCGCTAAATTAGTCCGCTAATCGGGTCGCAAATTTTCAGAAAAGTGCCCAGAACGCAGTTGCTAATTTGCATTTCTAATAGTCAGCTAAAATTTTGGGCCTTTTCCGGAAGGGGTCTGCTAACCCCACTCCTAATAGTCATCTAATTGGTTCGGGCGTTGTGTTTTGGGTCTGCTAACCTGTAGCTAATTGCGCAAGGCAAGAAAATCCAATGGGATTTCCCTGTTGTTCGAGCAGGGTGTGAACAGCAGGGAAATCGCATTGGTTTTTGGCTTTGCTGACAAATTAGCAGACGCATTCGCGCCCCGGGGGGGGCTTAATTAGCAGACAAATTAGCAGACGCATTAGCAGACACCAAAAAAAATTAGCACCCAATTAAAGACCCAATTAGCAGGGGCTTTCTTGGAATCGTCTGTGGCGTTTAGCAGACTCCCGCGAGGGGGTCGGGGGGGTAAAATTAGCAGACAAATTAGCACGGTTATCTCCGAGGTTGGTTTCCGTGCGGACATATTTGGGTTACCTTGGCCGGGCGCTTGGGCGCTCGTATTTGTTCGCGAGAACCGGCTTCCGGTAGTTGTCTGGCTTTGTTATCTGAATTGCGTTAGAGGGCAGGTCGTCGCGTCCTCCTTCGTCCTTGTTGGCAGGCTTCTTTCTGTTGTGCCTCCGGGCATGGTTTCTGGCTTCGGGGGATTTGCAAATTAGCAACTTTTTAGAGTCCGATTAAAGTTATTAGGTCGCCCGGGCCTGTCTGCCTGATGCACAAGCGCGCGGCCCCCGAAGCAACTAGAAAAAGAAAGAAACCCGCCGCCCCCCCTCGCCCCTCGCCTTCTCGGGGGGGGGGGACCGGGGGCCCATCGGCTAACTCGCGAGGCCATGGACGCGCGCGGGCCTTGGGGGGCAGAAAAACAAAACCCGCACCCTGGCTCGCGTCCGAGGGCAAAGTAAAAAACGCAGGAGGCGCAGCCGTCTGCGCCACCTGGGGGGGGCGCGCGATGGGACGTCTTTGCGCGCCGCCTCGGTGCGCCAAAATGTATTGTGAAGGCGCGCCGCTACAATACAAATTTTGTAGGTGGGCAAAAAGACATACTTTCGCGGGCTCGGTGCTGCCATACGTTACAAACCGCACCGGGCTCGGTACTGCTTTTTGGCGGGTTTTCTCAATGAAAAAAGCGCGAAAATTGTAACGCCCCACATACGATTTGGCGCACCGAGTCGTATGTGCGTACCTAGGCCACGTCATGCATTACAAATTTCCTCAGCATGAGAGATGAAATTTGTAATGCGGATTTACCTTAAGTAAAAGATTTGTAATGCAAGACTTGCATTTATACGAGTGCGATACTTTTGCACAGGATAAACTGCATCAACAATCAATTCATGGGCAGAATTATCAAATGCAAACACGTCTGGGTCTGGGAGATTTGTCATGCTAGTCTGGCATGACTCTGAACTCTGTATTGCGTGGCCGCAAAGACGAGCCCCCCTTGCCTGTTATGCAAAAGCGCAGTTATTTCTCATGCGGAGTACGCAATTCAGAACCACGTCCACGGGAAAACTTGTCATGCTTTGCAGCGCATTACAGTTTCCTCACTTTATTTCCTTCCTCGCATCACAAGTTTCCAGACATCCATGGATATTTGCATTCGATAAGAATGCCAGCGGTGGTTCCGAGCCCCGTGCCGGCGCCGCAAAGCACTGCTGCAGGCGTACCGGCTCCCGCACCGGCATCCAGTGCCAGTAGTAGAACAACGCCAACAACGACCAATTACGTCCAATCGAGCAGTCTATCCTGTGCAAAAGTATCGTACTCGTACAAATGCAAGTCTTGCATTACAAATCTTGTTCCCAAGGCAAATCTGCATTACAAATTTTATCTCTCATGCTAAGGAAATTTGTAATGCATTTATACGAGTACGTGTACGATATTTTTGCAATGCATACAGTCCGTCAGCCAGCAACTACAACAGCAGTCCTTCGACTGCAAGCATCCTGGCAAACGCGGCGAGTAGTCCGAGCCCGTCGCCGTCAGTTGCCTCCTCCTCGCCGTCTCCAGCGGGAGTCAGCCCCACGCCGCTATTCTGAGTAAAAACGTCCCCATCCCAGAGTTGTCATCCAATTCTGCATGCCAAAAAAGTTTCTCATGCGGAGCCCTATGAGGAGCGTTTTCTCCTCGTGTTTTGGAATTTGTGGTACTAGAATCAGAACGCTATGCTAGATCCGTCATGCTTCTGAACTAGCAAAACAGGATTACACTACGAGGACAAACTTGTCATGCCAGACAACCAAGGCTGGCTGATTTGTCTAGCACATTTCCCATCTTGACTCTGGTGTGGGGACGCTTTTAATCAGGATAGCCTCTTCCCGCACCGGCACCCCTCACGCCGGAAACCATCACCCAAAACGCCGTACAAAAGCAGTTTGAGGTATGGGAGTGTCAGAATCGAAATCGACAAAGTCGAAATAAAATCTGCAATGCATGTAAACGTAAGACACGCAAGGCCTGTTTTGGGGACCAGGCAAATGAGACCGATTGCAATCCTCTTTAGGGGAGGGCGATGTGCTGCCAGAGTAGCATGGCAGGAGCAGTCTTCTTTGCCGAAACAGCATGACAGACTGGATTTTAGCGCTCCCAAAATTTGTCATGCGCTACTTGCAAACTGGGGCTCCAACCAGTATCGATTTTATGCATCACAAATCATTTCGATTTTGCTGATTTCGATCCTGACAGTTCCATATGAGGGGATCCAACGGGTGCAGGTCTTGGGATTGAACGGCTACATCATTCCCTCGCACTTTGTATCAAATGTAAAAATGTCTGGGTCTGGAAGAATGCACCTTGTGATGCTGAATTTGGATTCCAAAAAAATCTGTATTGCATGAGCAGCAAAGGGAATGCAATTTTTGCTACGCGGAGAGGGCATTTGTCGTGTGGAATAGGCATCGCGAAGCCTTCAAAAAGTCTGTGATGCTAGGGCATGCATCACAGACATCGTGGCCAATGCAAAACATGCATGACAAGTCTCAGAATCTTCCAGACCCAGACATTTTTACATTTGATACTTTGAGGAGGCCATGCGGGGGGGTTTTAGCCGGTACCTGGGGATCAACGTGTCGCAGATTACCATCAAGTATGGATTGCAAAAATGTCTGGGTCTGGAAGAATTCAAGACTTGTCATGCCAATTTTAGATGACCCATGACGCCTGTAATGCATATCCTAGCATCACAGATTTTTACGATGCTTCCTGATGCCTATTCCGCATGAGAGACGCCGTCTCCGTGTAGCACAAACTGGACTCCTCTTGCTGGTCATGCAATACAGATTTTTTTAGAATGCAGAGACAGCATCACAAGTTGCAACCTTCCAGACCCAGACATTTTTGCATTTGATATCAAGCAGATGAGCGTGGTCGGGGACACGAGAAACTATCCTGTGCGAACGTATCGTACTCGTATAAATATGCAAGTCTTGCATCACAATTCACAAATCTTGCTCTTCAGGTAAATCCGCATTACAAATTTTATTTCTCATGCTGAGGAAATTTGTAATGCAAATGCATTTATACGAGTGCGATACTTTTGCAATGCATAGAAACTCGTTGGTGATGAATTCTGCACGGCAAAGGCTTTTACTCGACGACCAGATGTTGGAGGACAGAGGAGAACAAGGCGAACCTGACCGGCATATTAGCAAATCTGATGTCATGCTAGTAGAAAACAAGAACCTCCAGCAAACAAACTCCCTGCTCACCGAAGTTATTTCATCGTCCAACGCGCGCAGGCTACAGACGCGGAGTCAAACCTTATCGTACGAAAAAGTTTGTTTCGCTGCAAGCATTTTGCAAAAACTTTTGCATCTTCACAAGCGTGCTGTTTATGTTCTACATCACAGAGAAAATTTGAATTTGCCGTACGAGATTTTTCCTAAGGGAAAACACAGCTGGAAATTAATCCATCGTCTTTCATTTCGTGTAGCAAGACAAACACTGCTCAGATACATTGTCCTCTGCATAATTACAATTTTACAGTGAAACAGTTTTTTCTTGCGATAAACCTCGATCGACGTGCACTATGTCATCGAAATGGTGGTTCTCAACTCGTCGGCGGCGCAAGCGACGTCTACCGATTCGCAGGTGCAGAAGGTGTATTCATTGCAAAATTGTCTGGGTCTGGAAACTTGTGATGCAACTTGCATTATGCAAGGAAGGGAATGGTGGCGTCACTATGTATTATGCGCGGGCTAGCATGACAAGTTTTTTCGTGGTTCTGTGTTGCGTATCCCGTATGGAAAACTGCGTTTTTGCACGACACGGAGAAAAAGCTCTTTGCGGCCACGCAATACAGAGTTTAGAGTCATGCCAGACTAGCATGCCAAACCTCGCAATCTCCCAGACCCAGACATATTTGCACTTGATAAGGTCGAATCGCTGACAAACGGCGCGGTAAACGCGAACACGAGTGTATCGTAAGGAAAAATGTCCCCTCCCCAGATTAAAAACGTACTTCTCAGAAAATTTGTAATGCTGATTCGTGACCACAAATCTTTTTGTCTTGCAAGAAGGCAATTCTACAGTCTCCGCCGCATTATGCGGACGGTTTGTGATGCTGCTTGGGCTACAGCGTAGACATTTGCGATGCTAAGCGTCCACGTCAGAAGCCCTGTACTCAGGCGCGGCATATGCCTGCAGTCCTCTACTGCAAGACAGCTCGGATTTGTGTACGGAAATCCAGCATAAGACAGCTTCGTTTTGATACTGGGAGGGAAAGCTTTTTACTTTTGATAGAATGACGCGGAGCTGTTGCGAGCGTCACTCGACTATGCAAAGAAAAAACTGTTTCACTGTGATGATTTTGCAAGATCTGCATCACAAGTTTGCTACACATGAGACTAAAAACCTGTCATGCGCGTTTAATACCAAGGGAAAACACGGTTGAAACTCCAATGCTCTATGCAGGTGTAGCAAGACAAATACGTTGTGTGCTCCATTCTATGCATCACAAGTTTACAGGGAAGCAGGTTTTTCGTGCGATATCGACATGGAGATCTCTACTAGAGTGCCCGGTCTCACCGTATCATCCGCCACGGCGATGCAGCCTGCGAGAGGGGATTTGTCCAGCAACGCAGTGACGCGGTATGGAGCTTCTACAAGCGGCTCGTTACTCCTGTCGCATTTCGTTGCAGGCATCGGGTTCTGGTTCGGGATGTTTGGGTTGCTGGTGTTGGGGTGAGCGTGAACGTGGAAGGAAGTTTTTTTTCCACTTCTTGTGCGTTTCTGTTTTCTTCGTTTTGAGTATAATTTTTGACTCTTCAAGAACAATTTCAATTGCAATAAATTGCACAATATGCAGTGCAAAAGTATCGTACTCGTATAAATGCATTACAAATTTCCTCAGCATTACAAATCAAATTTGCAATGCTGATTTACCTTGAGAAAAAGATTTGTAATGCATAAATGCAATTACTACGAGTACGATACTTTTGCACAGGATACACAAGTGCTCCTCGCCGTGTTGGCGAATCGTGTCTATCTTTTTCTATCCTGAGTAAAAACGTACCCACACCAGAGTTGTAATGCAAATCTGCATGCTGAAAATGTTTCTCATGCGGAGCCCCATGAGAAGCATTTTCTAGTCGTGTTTTGCAATTTGTCATGCTCCAATCAGCATGGTATGCTAGATCTGTGATGCTGCTGAGCTAGCTCAAACAGCACTACACTACGAATCCAAATTTGTCATGCAAAACAGCCAAAACTTGTGGATTTGTCTAGCCGATTTCCCATCTTGACTATGGTGTGGGTACGTTTTTACTCAGGATATTTTCTTGTGGCAGTGGCAGAAACTTTTTCCTTCAAAACTTTTTTTTTTTTCCATGCGCATCACCCAGCGCGAAAAGTAGATATCGTCTCAGCGGCGACTATCTCACGCGTGAGCGCTGCGGCTCTATGCCCGTGGCAAATTTGCTGGTCTGCATGCAGGAACAGGACGGACTTTGCCGCCGGTTGCGTCCCGGGTCCGGTCCGTGACGGCAGGCGCAGGAGCCGGACAAACACCGTATGGAATGGCGCTGGTCGGATAAAAAGAATCAATTATGCAGCCAAGCCGAGGCCGTCTGTGCCGCGGCTCGTAGCAAAGAGCCGGCCCTTGCCCCGGTAGGCAAAACAGGTGGCCACGTCCGGTTGTCAAACAATTCAAAGCTAAGCGCGACGGCCCCAATGACTTAGGCGCCGCGGATACGCCACGACTTCGGGTTTTGGTCTCGGGCCAGCGCTTTTCAGCCCCGGTTGTTTTACAAAGAGCAAAAGGATGTTGCGTCTCCGTAAGCAAACAAAAGCCCCTAGGGGGTACCCCAGAGGCACCCCCAAACCCCTTCCTTTTTGGGCCTCCTCAGAGGGGTACTCCCCATTGGCATCTCCACGAAGGGGGGTCCCCCAACCCCCCCCCCCCCCCCGGGGGGGCCGAGCCCCCTTTTTGCTTCCGCAAGTTTTCAGCTTTTCAAAAGCGATGTCCGGGAAAATGATCACGCGAACCCGGTAAGGATGGGTTTTACACAGCCGGGCCCGGAATAAAGTGGACGACTTTATTGGCTTCTGCGCCTACACTGTCTGCGCCTCACAGAGTACTTTGGAAGCAAGGGCGCGCCAGGTCCCCTGGCCATGCTCGTTTGAGACTGCCGCCCTTGTGCGATCCGTCAGACTTGCGCCGCTATATCCTGCACTACTTCTCGATCTCGACGCGCCAAGGCCGCGGCGGGGGACCTACCTGCCGCGCACCTCTAGGCCAAGGCGCTAGGGACGAAAAAAAAGAAGTTTTGAAGGAAAAAATTTCTGCCAGTGCCATAGTGTTGGCGAGTCGTGTGTATCTTTTTTTTGTCAAAATGAAAAATCCCCCCTCCCCATATCAAAACGGAAATTTGCGATGCTGATTTGTGGCCACAAATCAGCTTTGTATTCCAGAGAGGCATTGCGGCCAGATCCCCAGGCTAGATAGGGGCGCATGGGTCTAGTTGTTCAGCATGGCAAACGGCCCCCCTTTAGGCCCAACAGCATGACAAATCGCCTCCATAATGGGGCGGAAGCTTCTGCCCTTGTCTTCTTGCAAGACAGATGTGATTTGTGACCTCAAATCCGCAACGCAAATTTTTGGAAACATACCTTTTCAATATGGGGAGGGGGGATTTTTCCTCTCAATATTTCTATGTCAGAAGTTAAGCTTTTTTTGTGTGGAGGTTGAGGGCAAAAGCAAAAGCAAAACCATTTCGCCCTCTACCCTATTGCTATTTAAATTTTATTTATAGACGTTCTTTTTCTGTTACTGTTTGACTTTGAGTTTGTTCTAGAACTTCTACCCCAACCACCAATTCTTTTTCGTTCGGAACTTTTTCCCTAGTGTTCAGCGGGTCGTGAATTTTTTTGTTCACGTCGAGTTTTTGTTCTCTAGTAGGTAGCTCTACAGCTACTTTTTTCAAAAACATGTGTTAAGATTGCGAAACAAACAATGGCTACTTACGTAAAAAATGCTGTACGTAAAAATGTGTGAAGATGAATTTCGACCATAATAATTTGAGAAGCACAAACGGAACGGAGCCAGGAGAAGCTCCGGTCGTGGTCAGCCTGTGAATACAATGCGTCTCGGAGTGAAACACTTCAGGAACAGAATCTTCTTCAATTATATTGTCCTCTCTTTCGGTTTATTGAACACACAAGCTGCGCCTCCGTAGTTCCGCAAGACAAAAGACGAAAAACACTCGGCTCTTCGTGCGGACGAGCGGCTTGTGCTGTAGATACGATTAATTACGTAGTAGTACCTCTACAAGAACATGCGACGTAGTAGTGTCGGTGCTAGTGACTAGTATCTTTAGCAAAACTTCATTCATAGCTTGTCAGAGCCCCGCTCTACTACTTCATCGGTAAAAGTAAAGTATACCATCGGTGTTTTCCTTACCTCGATTCAACAACATCGCTTGCGTCTCATCTGGAAAGCTGTCTGTCTGTTTGGCGTTGATTGTGATTCGGTTGGTGTGCGGGGGACGAGATCGGGCTGTTTAGTGCCACATAATTATACAAGAAGGCGTGCAAATGATCAGAGTCGGTATGGCTGTGTATCCTTGTCGTGGTTCATCTTCATCTGCCGTACAAGATAGATGCAGAGGCTGCCACCTGGAATCGGTTCTTCGTTCTTAGTACAACTCAATCGTCGAAGCCACGATATAAAAAATAGTCGTACTATTCTTTCGTTCCTTGCAAAACTATCGCTCAAACATGGAAATTGTTTGCCTCGGTTTTCGTGCATCATGTTGCAGCTCGTGCAAGGAAGCACTTTGCAAGACCTGGGTCTTGTCTTCTGCAGAGCATGTAAGTCTAGTGCTGAGTAGTGTTATTTGAGTATCTTCCTTAAAACCAAGTAAAAAACAGTCGTAAAAATAAAATCCACAACTACTTCTGCCACAGCTGCAACTCATCCTCCCCTGTAGTTCTTCAAAGTAAAAGAATAAGAATCCTCTTCCGGGCGTCGTCTTGTGCTTTTCTTTGTGCAAGCAGTTGTATTCTTTTTCCCCACTTGCTGACACGACAGAGCGGAGTTTTTGCGCAAACTAAGCTCCTTTTGACAACCTTAAAACTAACGAGATTTCTTTTCGAACTGAACACACCAAAAAACTTTCTCTCACTCCACTAAAGAGCTTTTCTTGAATATGGAGAGAAAAAAGTTTGTCACAGTCACTAACCTGCAGGTTTTGCATTACAAATTTTCTCAGCATCACAAACTTTCCTTGTATTGCAGAAACAGTAGGGAAATCCCCGATGAAGTGTGGCTCTGATGCGTTTTTACGCATGACAGAAAATTTTGTATTGCGAAAATGCGCATGAGTGATCGTGACGAACTTTTTTCCTTTGATATTGAAGTGGATGGCGAACGAAAATAACTGAAGCGGAAAACTCAGCTACACTGTATCAAGTGCAAATGTGTCTCGGTCTGGAAACTTCTGATGCGGGTTGGTCAATCATGAGCACTCGGCGATGGATTGGCAGCCCAGCATGATAAGATTCTGACTTGCTAGAAGGTGATGGTCATTCTGCACGGCAAACAGTGTTGCTGCATGACAGAAAAATGCGGCCTTGGGGTACTGTGCATGACAGATTTGCATTTGCGAATGCTGCTAGCCGAGCATGAGAGCTCTTGCATCTTTCCAGACCCAGACTCAGACATATTAATTTGAACTCGATACACTACTTATCTAAACGAAACTCAACGAATAACGGAGACCGAACTCAAGCCGAAAAAGAAGTTCGGATATGCATTGCACATTGATTTGTCTGGGTCTGGATTTGTAATGCAAGACTTCAAGGACAAGGACAACAAGATCAAGATCTGTGATGCATGACTGCGATTGGTCATTTTTTTTTTGTCGTGCTGGAAGCGAGATTGTAATTCGAAACGCGAATGGACCCACAATAAGCTGAGGATAACTTGTCATGCTGCTATACCGTACAAGCGCAAGCAGCCAGTCTGCAATGCAAGTACAAGTAACACGAGTTTCCAGACCCACACAAGTTTGCATCTGATATCGAACAGCTTTCAACCACTTGACAAACGAACGGAACAACTCTGCAAGCAGAAGGAGACGCGACGGACAAAACTATACAGCGACCTGAACAACAAAAAGCGGCGTGAAGCTTGCGCCCTTCTCGACGAATCCTCACACAGAAGCGCAGGACCTGGGCCCAGCGACAGGAGTTTTACCGTATTCTTCTTGCGCTTCTTTTTTGATGCTCTTATTCGAGAAAGAGAAAACTTAACACTGAGAGCCGAAAAGTTTGGTTCTGAGTTTGCGTTTAGTTGTGCGTAGAGCTCGCCTTCCTTCATTACATTTGTTTGAAATAAGTTGTCATTGGTTATGGTTTATTGTGGAGGTTGTGTGTCATGTGTGGTTTCGGGTTTTCCTCATATCGCTCGCGACTGTCGGAATCATTATGCCTGACCCTAGAGAAAGAATGATATTTATTTTTGAACGGAATTCATCCAGGACCCACTGACGACCAAAAGACAGAGCAAGAGCATCGAACTACGCCCCGGCCAGGTTTTTGCCAGGTACTTACTCACTTTTTGACTTCGCCCGCAAACTTCTTTCATTGCAACTCGAAGAGCAGCGTGCTTCTTCTCCCTCTTGCTCTTCTGACGCCAAAGAGAACGAATGAAATCCGTGTCCTAGGTGACGAGAGATACGGGAGAATAGTTGTGTAATTTATCACATGCTCCTGCATGTTTTTGTTTTTTGAAAGAAAAGCGATTTGAAAACATGATTGAAAACTTTGCAGCGCCAGGGGGTCACTACACGTATACGATGGTGGGCACTTTGTTGCAGCTTGCGGCCGTTTACCTCCTGCAGACATGTCGTCTGGGTCTGGGATGAAGGTCGCAAAATTTGTCATTTTTGTCTCACACGATTCGGAACTCTGTGATGCATTGGCGCGAAAAAGTCGTCTTATCTTTGCCAGCCATACTGCAGAAGCGCAGTTTTTTTTTATGTGGAATACAACGCAGGGCATATTAGGAGCGCAAAAATTTGTCACGCTTGGCTGCGTATCGTGGTACACCCGCCATCATTCGTTCATAGACTTGCACTTACAACTTCCCTGACCGAGACATTTTTGCAGTTGATGCCAGCGCCTCGTGCGGCTTGGTCGCTGCGATGGAAGTGCAGAAGAACGACGGTGGGCAAAAAAACCTGCTGAAGCGCGTATGGCGTGCTCAAAGGAGACAATCTCAATTGGAACAAGACAGAGCCGGAATGTCTCATGCAAAAGATAAAAGACAAAAGTATGAGGCTACTTATGAACATTGGAGTATGGCGCATTTTTTTCCTTTGCTTCTCCGTCAGGAACTTGTCATGCAAAATGTAGAAGATACCACTGCGATTATTTACGTAGGCAGCTGAGGCGCATGATTTCATGTCGGAAGTTGCTGCTGCCTCAATCTCGTTTGAGATCGTCGCGGCTGAGCACGCCATAGCGTGGGCGCGGTGGCGGCGGGACGGGTCAGACTCAGGCTCAGCACATCACTTCTGATGGCCCCGACCAGGAAGGACTGGTTGACGACGACCACACTGTCTTCGAACACGCCACGGCTTCTGCTTTGGACGACCCCCCGCTTGATGATGAAGGTTATCCTGAGTAAAATCGCCTCCAAGGACCCAAAGTTCATCGTGGCAGCTTTGTTGCACAAGGCCCAGAAGCTCGCTCGAGCTGTTGCGCATAAGTAGCGCAGTCGTAGGTAGGTTGCGCTGTTGCGTCTTGCGTCGGGTTCTTCATATAAGTAATGACAGAGTCCCAAGAAGCAGCAGGGCAAGTATATTGCCCCACATGATGGGGCTGCCGCTGCGCATATATAAGACGCAGTCTGGGCATGCCAATCCGGAATGGGGAATATGTTGAGGAGGTGTAAGCGTTTTTGCTCAGGATAAAGTCCCGGCGCTGAACACCACGACGGCCGCGACTTACGGGTTCCTGCAGAAGCGGGATATTCCATAGAAAAACACACACACACACACACACACACACAGACACGAACGTGATCTCGTTTACAGAATGCAGATTATCTGCAGATGAAATATTTTGTTTTCCTGGGAGGGGGAGCTGAGGCGCCAGAAAGTAAAAAAGAAGATGTGGTGGCACATTTTTGCCATGAAAAAGCCGGCGCTTGATCATGTTGAGGCAGCAAGAGGGATAGCAATTCAAAATCCAGACAGTAGTGCCTGCTTGCCGTTCAGAATATTACAGACTGTAAATTGCAACTTCTTCGAGATGCCCTACTGTTCTTTCAGGATCTCGGCCAGCATGATCTTCAGGGCCAGCAATTTCATCGGATTGATGTCGGACTTTCCGGTCGCCGTGCTGATGCAGATGCTCGCCCAGATGTCAGTCAAGGCGCTGGCCGGATGGTGCGACCAGAACTGCGTCGCCGTCTAGAAGACCAACGATCTGCAGCTGTGTTGGCATCATCTAGGCCATCGGACCCCAAGCGCTGAGCGCCGGGGCAATGCGATGCCTCCCTAAAAAACCGGCTGCGTTGCTTGCTTGATAAAAATGCAAGCAGGGACAGGTCGCCCGAGTAGATAGGAAGTCGCGGATCCAGATGCTGATGTACTAGATGCTGACTTTCCGCCAGCTCCCAAGAAAAGTAGTGCTTTGGTTGTACCGCCAAAAAAAGAACCCGTCAGAGAATCTGGCGCGTGTGTGTTTTTCTATTCGATAAAGAAGGAAACGCCGTTGTCGACCTTGGCCCAAAGCGGCAAAAAATGGGCCCAAGCAGGAGCCAAAAACTTGGCCCAAGGAGCCGGAAGATGGGTCCAGAAAAACAAGGGGTTGGCTACGGCAATTGGTGCAGCTGCAACCGTTGGCTTTGCTGGGATTGCAGCCGCGCGGCGGCGGCAGCGGTATTTGCATACTTGTAACGAGACAGGCTCAGCATCACACTCACGCAGTTGGTTCGTACCAGCCACAGCGATCTTACATATATGGTCCAAGTTCATTGCTTTTTGATTTCGCATCGAAGTCCTTCGCTTTCGTTTCTCCCTGTTTGGTTTGCGGCCTAGAGACGCCTGACTGTATTTAGCAATCGCGGCAAATGGTGAAGAAGGCAGAAACGAAGAAGAAGCCCTACCGGCGGCTCACTTGGAAGACGCAAATGAATCGGAGGACTCTCGCAAGCATTGGCGCTTTGGCTTTTTCCTGTCTGACCTCCGATCGCCTGCCCTTCGTAGAAGTGCTTCCGCTGGCTTCGAGTTAGGAGTCGGCAATCAGCTGTACTTTGCCAGCCCTGTGACAAGAACTGCGGGGCGCCGGAGTGCCAGTTGATGGAGAAAAAAGAAATCGCCGGCATAGTTGCAAAAAGGCGCGCCGGTCGCAGGAGGGCGGCCGGGCGCTCTTGGGCATGGCAAGAAGCCAGGGCGGGCCGATCAAGAGTAGCATGGGCCAGCGCGACGTTACAGCGCATGCTGCCGGCAATTGGCCTAGCTGCTTTTCCATCCGCAGCAGAAGCATGACCACCAGCGCGGGAAAAATGCTTAGAATAGAACCCAAATGATGTCCATGTCCACTGGCGCTCTTTGTTTGTAGTTGTATGGGCCGCGCTGGGGGGTATGTTGAGTCTTTCGCCTTTTCGTCGCCACTTGGGCAATTATGTGTCCTGGATTTCTGCGGCTTGCGAAACTATGAAGCCCAACTTTGATGGAAATAAATACAGGAAGCGGCGAGCAGCTGCGCGAGCTCGGGAAGCCGGAGCTGCGGGCGCCGAGCGGTATCTTTGTTTCGCGTTTATCTCGTTCATCTTGTCAACACCTTGCTTCCGCTCTAGATGCGAAGCAACCTCATTGCTTTTGTAAAGCGTTTCTGTTGCCAGTTGATGGCCCTTCACGTACCTGCAAGAAGGCCCGGCTTTCGTGGGGAGGTAGCGATAGAGATTTTTGGCAAGAGCAGCCTGGCCCCACGCGCGTCAGCGCATTCTGGCAACCTGCGGCGGTTGTATCCGCATCAGAAGCATAACTATGGATAGTAGACACTTAGGGAAAAGTGTGAGGCCATATGTCAGCGACGCTTTCGCTTGGCTTTTTCTACCCTGTTCAATGTCGTGCCTCGCTGGCGGTCCCTGGGAAGAGCCGCCTGCATCTTCCTAGGATTATCTGCCTATGTTGCATGCCCCTAGGAAAATCCTCCGAAGCACAGTAGGATACGCTCTGCGTCATTCTTTCTCGAAGTTTGGCTCTCACTTCTCCGGGGCCCGGCCCTCTGACAAGAACTGGGGGGCGGCGGAGACGGAGCGTTAGTGGGGGACAGAAGAAATCGCCGGCGTAGTTTTAGTAGAAAAATAAAAAGGCGCGCCAGAGCCAGTCGCAGGAGGCCGCGCGCCCTTGGGCATGCATGGGCAGAAGCCAGGGCGGGGCAATCAAGAGCAAGATGCGTGGGCCAGTGCGCAACAGCGCGCGCCACTGCTGGCAATCACCCTAGCCATTTTTCTATCCGCGGCAGAAGCATGACCCCCAGCGCGAAGGGATATGAAGTGTAAACGATGCGTATCCCCGCTGGTGTTCTTTGTCTGTTGTATTAATTTGTTGGGCCTGGAAGCAATATTGGGCGGCAGTGTGTGGAGTGGTCCGGGCAGCCTGTGCACCTTATCGCCGCGCGAGGATGCTGCGTTCAGATCCTGTTCTTTTTCTGTCTTAGTTTTGCTGCGGGCGCGGGCGGCGCGCATGCAGAGCCAGCCAGCGGCGCAGGGATAATACGCACAGGGGAATAGAAGTAAAGTGGATAAATAGCCGCCATCGGCGGGGCAGCTAGGGTGAAGAGGAAGTGATGGAAAGTCAGTGGGCACGCTCTGTTGTCTGCGAAGCTTAGTCCCAGTCTAAATCCATAGCCCCAAGCCCTACTGCCTGTTCTTTTTATACTTTTGGTTGCTCACCAAGCTAGCCACAGTCTGCGGCGTGTCTTAGCGTGCCCCGGAGCGTAATTTTTTAGCGAATCCTGCACACCCAGCAAAACTGCCGAAAGACATAGATAGGCGCCAGGGAGGATGGTTTCCGTAAAATCCGCTTCCGGGGTGCCGCCGGGCTGCAGAAGTTCCCTTCATTCCAGGGGCCGCGCGGTGTTTCGCTTTAGAGGCCAGACCCGCAGCCGGCCTCCAGGCTTTTCGACAGCCACGGCGGATCCGAAAGAAAATAGGAGCTAGCAAGTGCAAAAAGTGTTACTTCTAGAGGCTGCGCCCTTTTTCGGTTCAGATTGGAGCCTAGCTCGCGCCACGATGCGGCACCCCATAAAGAAAAACGTAGAGGCCGCCACTTCGGCCTCCTGCCAACCATTGCCATGCATCAGCTTGCCACACTCCGTAGTGCCCCGCACTCTCTCACCCGCCCGCCTCCCATTTGCTATCCGCAGTGCAACATGAGAATGCAAACCATATCCCCGATGCGATACAGGGGCGGCACGCTGGGTGGTGCTACTCCGGATCCTGCCTACGTGGAAGAGCGCTCGACGAAGCTCCAGCGCGCCGAGAACCTCGCGAACTCGCTCATGACCACGGGCGAAGGGCCCCAGGAAGTGCTCGATCATGCCGTGCGCGAAGGGCGCCAGGAAGCAGGCGCCGAGCTCGAAAAGCGGTTGCAAAATGTACGGGAAGCGGAATCGCCTAAGCAGTTCTTCGACCGTTTGAGCGAGTTCTGTTCTGCGGCGGCCAAGCTCGCAGGGATGATTCCTGCGAGCGCTTGGGGAAACAGGCAGTGGGAAGCGACCACGAAAACGGAGATCGGGAGCCTCCGCCTCGATGCGCTCAGCGCATCGATGCGCTTCGGCTGAAACGCAAGAAGGAAGTTAAAGCGTAGGCGGTGAGTCGCGGAGGGTATTTGTCGTCCTTTTTCGGAAAGCAATGCACAGCGCTGCTGCTGGTCCTCCTCCTCGCGCTGCTTCGGGCCGTCGAACGAACAGTCATTGAGGGCGATTAGCGTGTGGGCGTGTGCGGTGTGAGACAAATACTCATGATCGTCAGCTTGTTTATCAGCTCCAGTTCCAAGCTTTTCTGATTCTGATGAATTCGCATTCAACGAACGTAGCTAAAATCAATCTGAGCGGCGACGAGGAAGACCATGTTCTGTTGAGCGACAGTCGGAGTGGACTCGTCGCTCACAGCCACCTATGACAGCCTCAGGTTGGAAATCCTCAAAGTGGAAATAATTTGTAATGCAAAAAAACGACTCCAGTTGAAGCGCCATTTGTAGTCGGCGCATGACAAATTTCCTGGGCCCTTAAAGCATATCTGTCATGCAGGGTAAGGCAAAGGGGTGCCCTTCTCGCGTGCTAAGCAGCACTCCAATCCTTCACCCCTAGCAGGACAATAGTCGGTCTCCATTGTGTCCTCCGCAATACAGTCTTTTTTGCCTTGCATTTCATGCATCACAAATCATTTCCACTTTGAGGATTTCCATTCTGAGGCTTTCATACCGCCAACAAGAATCGTCGTTAATTATGATCGTCTGGCACAGACAAACGCTGTAGTATTTTCATCTCTTTTGCAACTTAAGTATATTTATATTATTTTAATTTCTTCTCCGAGAGTTGTGTGAGGGCGGACCAAGCACGCATGCACAGCGGAGCAGCAGCAAGGCTGCATGGCTGCACCTTTATAACAAACCTCGCTCCTCCAGTTAGAGTTTCAGTTCGCGCCTGCTATTGTATTTGATGGCGGGTCTTGCTGTATTTCTAACGGGGGGTAGCTGGTCCTGGTTTTGAAAGGGGTTCGCCCTAGAGGTTCGTAGGGGTCATGGTCATCGTTCTTCACGTATCAACTGTAAAAATGTCTGGGTCTGGAAGATTGCCGGCTTTGTCATGCACATTTTGCATGACTCCTCAAGTCTGTGATGCATGCCCTAGCATCACAGATTTTTAGAGGGCTTCCTGATGCCTATTCCGCATGACAAATGCTCTTTCCGTACTGCAAAATTTGGACTCTCTTTGCTGCTCATGCACTACAGATTTTTTTCGAATCCAAAATCAGCATGACAAGTTGGATTCTTCCAGACCCAGACATTTTTACCGTTGATATCACGGTCGCCAAGAATCGCTATGACAGTACACAAGCCCCCCTCCCCCTCAATTGTATAGCATGAGCGGCGGTTGTAGTACAAGCATCAGCAAGGGTGCCGGTTTTGGTAGACAAATTTTGACTGGTGTGTAGTGCTATTTCAGGTGCCAGAACTTTTCGTGCAAACAGTGCCAAGAGGCAAAGGGTGGACTCGGTATTTTGCATGACAAATGAGGGGGAGGAGGGGTTGTGCACTTTCATAATCGCTGTCGTGCATGATCGGCGCTCCCTGATGTTATGTTGGTGCATTTGATCTCCTCAGACTTCATTTTTGATATCGCTTTGCAGTTTGCATTACTCAATACTAGTACTTATTTTAACGTTTGAAAGTGCCGAATGTATATGTACCTACGCAGTTTCGCATGATCGAGTTTTTTTTTCAGAAGAACGCATAAGATAAAGTAGTTTCATTTTCTATAAACGATTGAGGTCGTCGCGTCGAAGTTGTAGTGCGTGGTAATTTAGTCATGAGAGTTTCTCTATCAACAAATGTAAAAGTGTCTGGGTCTGGAAGATTGCAACTTGTCATGCTAAATGTGAAGCATGCAAAAATCTGTGTTGCATGATGACCAAAAGTCGTCCAATTTTGACCAAGTCGGGAGGGGGTTTCTCATGCAGGATAGGCATGAGAGAGATCGCACAGAATCTGTCATGGTAGGTCCTGCATTCTAGACCTCGTGGGTCATGGAAAAGCAGTATGACAGGTCGCGTATTCTTCCAGACCCAGACACCTTTGCACCTGATATTCTCAGCAGAGAGATGATCCGACTGAGTCGTCGGTTGTGCTGCCACGCTTGTGTGAAGTGAAGTCATGATCTATATCGCGACGCTGGTACCATTATGAGAGTTGATCCACACTATGAACAAACTTGCGCCAACAGCTCTCCACCGTTTACAACACAGAGGGAGTAAAAAATCAAACATAACTCACATACACATACGCTTTAGTACATTATATACATACTTCCAAAAATTCAGTAAGTTTACTGGAGTTTGTTTCTTGGTTTTTTTTTTATTTTCTACGGGTGTGCTGGCACGCTCGTGTGAAATAATAATCAAAAACCCGGAATCTGTTGACTTTTGTTGTGTTGAGTGAACCTTTTATTTTGGCGAGAAGAAGATGAAAGAATTTCTCGTGCTGAAATGCGAAACCAACACGAACAATTTCAATCTATGTCAGCAGTCTTTTTTGGGAGTATCAGCCAAAGGGTCGAGAGCGAGACCTGAACAAAGTGGAGCTTTCTTTTGCGCTTCGCGTGTTCTTTGTGGTTCGGTCTACGTCGGTCAATGCTTGCGCGTGACTTCTATTGCCCATCATCGTCGGCTTCTATCGACCGTCGCCCTGTCGCGCTTCTTTTCCCGCACGATCGATGTCTGCGCACAACTACACGGCTTGCGACTATACAACAGGATGTGCAGGAAACTTTTTCTGAAACGAGCAAGGAAACGTGGAGCAATTATATGGAAGCATATCATTCTGAAGAGATACTAAGATGAATCAGTGGCCTCCTCCGGCTAGAAGTTTACCACCCCCCAACAAACACACTTCGTCGGTCGCTGGTAGTCTCGAGGCCGCGCATGTCGGTTCCTAATCTAAGACGGACTTTAGGAGGCAACTCTGCCAGAAGCTGCAGAGCATCTTCTCGGTTCTTCAATCTAGTGACGATTTTGCCACATAACTTCTCTCGGTAGCAAAACTTTAACTTCCCTCGTTATCGGTAGTTTGCAAAGCGACAGACAGACAGATAAAAAAAGTCGGTGTTTCCTCGTGCGGGCGATAATGCCCACACGGACACGACCAGACTCAGTTTCGGTTTCGTTCTCGACCTGTATCGTGCGAGCCAAAACTTCGTACATGTGTTTCGTCCAATTTGGAAGGTTGTGCAACTACAGCCTGTCGTGGTCGTCCAACTCAGCCTGTCGCGCAAGCGACTGAAGATTCACGTTCCACCACCTTCAGACTTATTAAAGGCGCGTTGTGAAGAACTTCGATTTTTATTTTGATATTCATACACATAGTAGTGTCCTGTCCAAGAGTTGGCTTTTCACCCTTGTTTTCAACAGACACTCCACCACCCAATCTTCCACCCGTTGTGTTTGCACCCTTATATATACTTTTAGCATGAATTATTTAATTCCCTCCGAACCGAAAGCAAGCACATGAGCTGTTCCTCGCGTTCGATATTTCTTACGTCGACGTCACAGCACGACCAGTGACATTGCTTTGAAATATACAACGCCTTCTTCAATCAGTTTCAGTTTCTATTCTACGTCGAAGAACTAGTTCACAGAACGCCAGACAATGTACGACCGCATTTCGCAAATGGACCTGGAGCAGCAGCAGTCTCCACCCCCGTCTAAAACCGTTGCGGGTAAACCTGCCCTGTTCGGCTCCGCGCAGCAACAGCAGCAGTTACCAATGGGAAACATCCCTGGACGTCTGGAAGGTTGGAACTTGTGATGCTAACTTTGGAGTCTAAAAAAATCTGTGTTGCATGACGAACAGCAAAAGGAGTGCACTTTGTGGTACGCGGGGACGAGGGCATTTGTCATGCGGGATAGGCAACATCAGGGAGCCTTCTAAAAATCTGTGATGCTTCTACGTCATGCATTACAGGCGGCATGGGTCAGGGAAAATCTGCATTACAAGTCTTGCACCCTTCCAGACCCAGACATATTTGCAGTTCATAGCAGTACTACAACAATTACAACGAACGGGGGACGAGGACCATGTCAAGCCTAGGGGCCGATTATCAAATGTAAAAATGTCTGGGTCTGGAAGCTTGTGATGCTGGACGGCGTCTCATGTTGAGGCCACAAGTGCTGGCTCAGCATGACAAGTTTCTGAGCTTCTAGGTGTTGCCTATTCTGCATGACAAACTGCGTTTCTGCATCGCAGAAAAGTGGGGCTCTTGGGTAACGTGCATGACAGATTTAAGAGTCATGCCAGACAAGCATGACAAACCTGCATTCTTCCACCAGACCCAGACATTTTTGCAATCCATACCGATATGGAGAATGTGACGAATCTGCAAACGCCACTACAGGATTTTTCCAAACACCAGTATCCAGGAAAAAAACTGTGCGAGTGTAAGTTTCTTGGAGGAATAGCATGACACAGATTCATCTCTGTCATGCGCAGCTAGTACGTGAAACTGAAAGCACGTACGAAAGTTGCTTCTGATGCATGTGCAGCATGACAAGTGTAACAGTTTTGTATTTTCTGCAACACAAAGTTACACTAACGCAGTTTTTTTCTTGGATAACCAGCAGCCCTCGTCCACCTCGTCGCCCTACAACTACCAGCCGGCGAGCCGGTCTCCGGAGCAAATTTTACAAGAAAAGCTCCGATTAGGCTACCACGACCGCCACGCGCCGGTGAGCGGCGTGAAGAAAAATTTAGATAAGCACGCCGAGCACTACAAGGGCACCGATTTAACCGTCAGTCACTTGGACGTGTATCAAGTGCAAAAATTTCTGGGTCTGGAAGAATGCAAGTTTGTCATGCTTGTCTGGCATGACTGTCAAATCTGTGATGCATGAGCAGGAAAAGGGCGTCTTGGCTGTGGTCATGCAAAAACGCAGCTCGTCATGCGAAAAACGAAACACGCACCAGCACAAAAAACGCGTCATGCTGGGTCCGCCCACCATTCACAAATGAGCATCACAAGTTTCGTCCAGACCCAGGCATATTTGCAATCCATAACGTGAAAAAGAAGTCAAAGGGGCGAAGCTCGCTGGGAATGGACATGGGGAGTAAACTCTACACCTCCATATGCATTGCAAAAGTATCTTCGTACTCGCATAAATGCATCACAAATTTCCTCGGCATGAGAAATATATTTTGTAATGCGGATTTAGCCTAAGAAAAAGATTTGTAATGCATGATTGCAATACGAGTAGCAGATACTTTTGCACAGGATACTCCAATTGGAATCACGATTGGGACGACAAAACGATTGCGCGGAACAAGGCCATGATGGGACTGGAAAACCAGCAAAGTAGCATATCCTGTGTAATATTAACGTCCCCACCTCCCCATTGTCAAGATGGGAATTCTGCAACACAGATCCAGAAGTTTTGGGAGTCACGCATGACAAGTTTTTATCTGTACGGTAATCGCGGGATAGCAAGGACAACCGCATCACAAAGCCATCCTGGTATCCTGTTTACAGCATCAGAAATTGCATAAATGCGATTGATGGAAATGCGTCTCATGGGGACGCGCATTACAAGTTTTCCTGTGATTGTAATTCTGCATGACAACTCTGGGGCGGGGACGTTTTTACACAGGATATAGCAATCTGGCGCTAGACCCCAACAGCAAGTTTGACGACTACGCGACCTTCCGCACCGGCCCGGGCTTCATGTCCCTGGCGGTCTATGAATTGCAAAAGTATCGTATTCGTAGTATTGCAATACAAATTAGCTCAGCATGACAAATGGAATTTCTCATGCTGAGTCAGCTTGAAACAGAAATTTGTCTTGCATGACTGCGATGAGTACGAGTACGATACTTTTGCACAGGATACGGTCCCCGCCTCGGCAAATGGCCTCCGACGGCAGTTCGACGGGCACAAAAACGAGTCCACGATGCAAGACCTGCTGCACGACGGCTATGCAAGAGAAAAACTGCGTAAGTGCAAATTTGTGTTGCAGAACATGCAACAGAGTCATTACACCTGTCATGCCAGACAGCCACGAAGCCCTCTTTTCATGTGTGTTTTGCCTTACAAGCCACGCATGACAGCAGGTTTTCTCTGTCATGTAGAGCAAATTTGTGATGCGGTTCCTCAAAGACAGTTACACTTACACACTTTTTTTTTTTGGATAACGGCCACCACGCCCACATTGATTTTGGCACCGGTAACACGATGGAAGAAGAGGAGCAACGGCAGCAGATGGTATCAAATGCAAAAGTGTCTGGGTCTGGAAGGATGCAGATTTTTGTCATGCTGTTTTTCCATGACCCGGAAGGTCTGGCAAGCAAGGTCTAGCATTACAGGTTTTGAGAAGCTGCGTCGATGCCTAATCCGCATGACAAATCGCATATTTTCTCGGTAATACAATGGGGCAACTGTTGCTGTCTATGCATGAGTAGAGATTTTTGTGTGTTGTGAGATGCGCATCACAAGTCCCGTCTTTTCAGACTCAGACACTTTTACACTTGATAGATGGCGGGCTACGTCAATTTCGGCCTGCAGGCGACCAAGGGCTACCGATCCAGCTCTCCCAGCTCCAAGCAGGACCAAATGCGCAGCAAGTACGCAGGTTCGGGGCAGAACGTGTTCGGACAAGGGGCGCAACCGGGGACAACGGGCGCGACACAGATTTCCGCGAACAACAAAAATCCGAGCAACAGTAACAACAACCTAGGTCCAGGCAGCAAAACCTCGCAGCCCTTCAACAACCCCTTGGTGGACTTGTCCGCCACGTTGCAATATGGATTGTAAAAGTATCGTACTAGTAGTAAAAATCGCAGTTATTCATTACAAATTCTTCTCTTTGGGTAAACCCGCATCACAATAAATTTACATTTCTCATGCTGAGGAAATTTGTCATGCGATTTGTACTATCACGATGCTTTTGCAGTGCATATGCAGATGATCAATGTCTACAACGCGGAGGTGAGGATTTACCACTACACCCTATCCTGTGTAAAAAGGTCCCCACCCCAGAGTTAACTTGGGAATTCTGCAACATAGATCCAGAAGTTTTGGGAGTCACGCATGACAAGTTTTTCTCTGTACTGTAATGCGGGTTAGCAAGGACAACCGCATCACAAATCCATCCTGGTATCCTGTTTACAGCATAACAAATTTTTGCATAACACGATTGAAAATGCCTTTCATGGAAATGCGCATTACAAGTTTTCCTGTGATTGTAATTCTGCATGACAACTCTGGGGTGGGGACGTTTTTACAGAGGATTCACCCAGCTCCACGGCATGTCGTTGCACGTTCTCCTCCGGCACTGCAACGCTTTGGCAGATTCGCTCAAGAAGGACGCTCAGCTTGAGGTGTCGTTGCCAAAAACGCGCACGGTGGAAGAGTTAGTGCGGTGGCTGGTGGCCACCGAGTGCCACCTGCTCCTCGGGTTTTACCTGCACCTATGGATTGCAAAAATGTCTGGGTCTGGAAGAAGTCAAACTTGTGATGCGCATTTCAGAACGCAGAAAAATCTCTCATGCATAGGCAGCAAAAGTAGTTGCCCACTTTCTGTCACCAAAATGGGGGATTTGTGATGCGGATCCGGCATTGTTGCGGAAGCTTCTGGATGAAACCTGTGATGCTAGAGCTTTCATGCAACAGACCTTCTGTGTCATGCAAAAGAGCATGACTCTTCCAGACCCAGACACTTTTGCATTTGATAGCGCCCAGAATTTGACAAGGAGCACATGTTCGACCACTTCAGCTCGGTCGAGAACCCAGACGACCTATCAAAAGGAATAATCTTCTCTTCCCATATCGAAAACGAAATTTGTGATGCTGTATAGTATTTGAGTACAGATGAAATCGACTTGTGTTGCTAGACTGCCAAGAGCCGCAGTTGTGGCCTCGTTTGCAGGCAATTTGTCATGCTGTATCCCACTTGCAGCGGCCTCCTGTCATGCTGAAGATGCAAGACTTTCTCGCGCAGCCCAGCACTACAGACCGCATCTGTTCCCTTCTAGCATGACTAAGCTGAGTTGTGCCCACAAATCTGCATCACAGGTTTCCGCTTTGAGATGGGGAGGGGGGATTTTTCTTCTTGATACGACCCAGCGGCACACCTGAACCCGGAGATCGCGCACGAACTCGCGCAAATGGAGCACGTGGTGGCGAGAAAGCGGTCGATCTTGACGGTATCAAATGCAAAAATGTCTGGGTCTGGGAGGATGGAACTTGTGATGCGTCCTGTGGGGCACACAAAAATCTGTGTTGCGTGATCACCAAGAGTTGTCCTTTTTTGACCAACATGAGCGGCAGTTTCTCATGCAGGATTTAGGCGTGATAGCGATTTCGCAGAATCTGTCATGCTAGGTCCTGCATTCCACACCACATGGGCGGGCATGGAAAATATGCATGACAAGTCTGCATTCTTCCAGACCCGGACGACATTTTTGCATTTGATAGACGGACAAACTGCTCTCTTCCTCCGATGCCGTAAACAAGCAGCGCAGCAGCGAAAACAACCGGCAGAAACATTTACAAGCCGTATCCTATGTAAAAACGTACCCACCCCAGAGTTGTCATGCAATTCTGCATGCCAAAAAAGTTTCTCACGCGGAGCCCTATGAGAAGCATTTTCTATTCGTGTTTTGGAATTTGTGATGCTAGAATCAGTATGGTAGGCTAGATCTGTAATGCTTCTGAGCCAGCGAAACAGGATTACACTACGAGGAAAAACTTGTCATGCCAAACGACCAAAGCTGTGTGATTTGTCTAGCAGATTTGCCAACTTGACTCTGGTGTGGGTACGTTTTTACTCAGGATAAGCCGCGACGCTGCACAAACCAGTCGACGAGTTGATTCCGGACGAGCACCCCATGAAGGAAATGGCCATGCTATCAAAAGGAAAAATCCCCCCTGCTCCCCATATTGAAATGGAAACTTCTGTTGCTGGATTTGTGTACACAAATCAGGTTTGTCTTGCAGGAGAAGATTGCAGACACATATCAAGCCTAAGTAGTAGAGAGGCTTTGGCCCCCTAGGCGCTTAGCATGACAGACGTCTACGCGGTAGGAGCAAGAGCATGACAAACCGCCTGTAGAATGCGGCGGCTGTCTGTGGCGTTGCCTTCATGCAACACACAGACCATTTGTGGTCACAAATCAGCAACACAGATTTTCGAAAACGCAGACGCACCTTGTCAACATGAGGAGCAGAGGGGATTTTTCCTTACGATACATGCTGATGCGGAAGCTCGGCGCCCCCAACGCAATGATTGCGTTGGAACTCCGGAAACCGACGAAACCCTTCCACGACCACCACCGAAAATTGCACGCAGACGGGCTCCGGATGGTAGAGCAGGCGAAACTGTACGGCGGCATGAGCTACGCGGGTGGAAGAACAGCGGATCGGGGAGATCTGAAAGCCGCCGCGCACTTCGACGATGACGCCGCAGGTACTATGCTAGTACTGTAAATTTGTGATGCGCAACATGCAATAAGTTGATTGCGCCACCTATCATGCTGTGGCTGCATTGTGCGGCCCGTTTAAGCAGGGCGTTTGCACGTACCATCTGCGCATGACAGGTTTTTGCTGTCATGCGAGAGATATTTGCTATGCTAATTCTCTAAAAAAGTTTAAGCCTACAATTTTTTGTTTGGCATTGATTTTTTTTTTTAGACCACGAGCATGAGAACAAGTTGATAAGTAATTTCGAATACAACCACTCCAGGCGAGCGCGTGAAATCTGAGATGGAATACGGACTGGGGCATTTGTATGAAGTGCAAATATAATGTCTGGGTCTGGAAGGATGCCGGGTTCTTTGTCATGCACGTTTTGCATGACCCATGGCGCCTGTGATGCATTGCCTAGCATCACAGATTTTTCGAGGGCTTCCTGATGCCTATTCCGCATGAGAAATGTCCTCTCAGCGTAGCTGCATAAACTACTGGGCTCCTCTTGCTGGTCATGCAATACAGATTTTTTTTATAATCCAAGGACAGCATCACAGATCCAGGGGTATTTGCAATGCATAATTTGAAAAAACACGAGTTCCACTACGACACCGATGCCGCGGGACAGCGGCACGAGGAGTTTGGCCTGGGCCACCACATCCACTTTGTCGACAACTACGCTGTCATATGAGAGTGCACAACCCCACCCCCTCCTCCTCATTTATGTGGCATGATGAACAGCAACACAAGCGCTGGCAAAGTAGATAAATGCAGCAGCTTTTGCATGACAAATTCCGAGAGGACTGCAGTGCAGCTGTTTTGGGTCATTCCGGAGTCTGTCATGCAATCAGTGCTAGCAGGCAAATGGTAGATTTGGAATTTTGCATGACAAATGAGGGGAAGGGGGGGGTTGTGCACTCTCATATGTCACGCACGACAAGTCCGCGGCGGGCGTTGCAACCGAGCGGCTAATATCCTGTGCAAAAGTATCGTACTCGTATTGCAATCCTGCATTACAAATTTTTTTCTGAAGCTAAATCCGCATTACAAACTTTATTTCTCATGCTGAGGAAATTTGTAATGCATTTATACGAGTGCGATACTTGTGCAATGCATAGCTAAGCGAGAAGCTGATTCAGTTTGGGTCGGCCCACCACCAAGACAATATGGATTGCAAAAATGTCTGGGTCTGGAAGAATGCGCGATTTGTCATGCAGCTTTTCCATGACGCAAGAGGTCTGGAATGCAGGACCTAGCATGACAGACTCTGTGCGATATCTCTCATGCCTATCCTGCATGAGAAACTCCCTCCCGACTTGGTCAAAACTGGACGACTTTTGGTAATCACGCAACACAGATTCTTGCATGCTTCAGATTTAGCATGACAAGTTGCATTCTTCCAGACCCAGACGTTTTTACATTTGATAGACAAAAATTGCACGCAAAAATTGCGGGTGCACAGCCCACTCAGACACTCGCACTTTCAAGGTATAATGTTAATCGAGAATGATTTTGTTTTTGTTTTTGTACTAGCGACGATGATCATTTGATGCTATCAGCTGAAACAACAGAGGCTGATCAGGAACGTTGCAGATGCTGAGCAGGGATAACGTCGGTGTCTGTTTTCATTCACGACGGCTGCACACAGCATGCGTATCAATCGTAAAAATTGACTCGCGACTTCTTGTAGGCCACAAAAAAAACCGGAAAGATTTCTTCTATGCAATCCAGATGTAAGTACTTTGTGTTTGTCGCATCTTGTATCCAATCAATCTGCTCGCATCTTCACCAACACAGATGAGAATATCATGGCACATAATCTTAAATCTGCAATGCAAAAAACACTACTAGGCTCCGACGTCGTGCACCGGGTGGAAATTAGCCCAGGAGAATACCGGGTCGAGGATCGTTATGGAAGCGTCAGGTTTGAAATCGACAAAGTTGAAATGATTTGCCATGCATAAAATGGATGCCAGTTGTAACCCAGTTTTCAAGTGGCGCATGACAAATTTGGGTAGAGCCGAAATCCAGTTTGTCATGCTGTTCCGGCAAAGAAGACTGCTCCTGTCATGCTATTTCAGCAGCTCAGTTGCTACCACTCAACAGACTTACAATCTGCCTCACTTGCCTACTCTGCAAGACAGGCACTTTGTGGGCTGCATTTTTTGCATGGCAAATCATTTCAACTTTGACGATTTCAATCCTGACACATCCATAATCGGCAGAAATTCGGACTTTCGCGGCGGCATTACGATCAGGAGTACAAAGACGCTTTTACCACAACGCTATCAAATGCAAATAAAAATATGCCTGGGTATGGAAAAACCGTGTGATCTGATGCCAAAATGTGGATGATGGAAAGAACACTTATTCCGGATGCAGCCCAGCATCACAACTTTCCAGAACTACGCTTTCATCTCATTGGCAGGCCGCATGAGAAACTGCGTTTTAATATTTGCAGGACAAAAAAATGGCTGCAACTCCAACTTTATTTGTTGGTCATGCAATACAGATTTCACAGGAATGTAAGGCCAGCATTACAACTTCCAATTTTCCAAACCCAGACATATTATTTGCATTTGATACGAGCCGAAGGGCGACGGGGGATTTCAGCCCGGGCACAAGCAGAGACGGCATATTTCCCCCTTGAGAACGGACGGATTGAATTATCAACGTGAAAAACACCCCCACCCCACATGAAAAAGGAAATTTGTGTTGCTGGATTTCTGTACACAAATCAGCTTTGTATTGTGGCAAGGGCGTGAAGGCATTTTTCAAGCCTGGTTGGGTATGCAAAAGGCTAGCAGCTAGGCATTACAGACAGGTTTGCAGTAGGTAAAAGCGCATGACAGATTTGCTGTCGGATGCGAGATATGGCTCCCAATTGCCTCATGTGCAAGACAAAGCTGATTTGTGGTCACAAATCAGCATCACATTTTGAGTACGGGGAGGGGGGATTTTTCCTCGCGATATGAATGGGGAAATGTTTTCTGCAGATGGCCGATCCAATCAGATCGTGTATGCACTGCAAAAGCATCGTAGTACTAGTATGAATTGCATTACAAATTTTCACAGCATGAGAAATGGAATTTGTAATGCTGATTGACCTGAGGAGAAAGATTTGTAATGCATAGCGTGCAATTAATATTACGAGTACGATGCTTTTGCAAAGCATATCGTGTATGTGGGGACAAATTACAGTAATCAAGTGCAACGAAGCCAACCGAACCAAGTAGTACCGCCAACATCTTCTTCAGCAGCCGCCGCCGCGGGCTACTCGAAGTTTTTGCCACCATATGAAGTGTGCACAACTCCACCCCCTCATTCTCATTTCTCGTGCAAAATCCCGAATCCAAGCGCTTCCCTTGTATCACTTTTATGCATGACAGATTCCGGAAGCCCAGCCAGGACTACACTAGAACTGCATGAATTTTTTGTCATGCACAGGCTCCACGTGTGCTGGTGTTTGTATTGCTGTGCCTGCAATACAAATGAGAGGGAGGGGGAGTTGTGCACTCTCATACACCACGGCAGATTGTGTCCGAAGTAACGCGGGGAAATAACTTCGGGGTGGGAAATATGGATGTGTCAGGATCGAAATCGACAAAATCGGAAAATTTGTGATGCGTAAAATGTAGAGCAGCACTGAAGGCCTTTATTCGGGAGCAGGCAAATGAGACCAATTATGAGCCTGTTTAGGGGTATGCAATGTGCTGCCAGAGTAGCAAGACAGGAGGAGTCTTCTTTGCCCAAACAGCATAACAGCCTGGATTTGGGTTCTCCCGAAATTTGTCATGCGCCACTCGGAAACTGATGCTCCAACTGACATCGATTTTGTGCATCACAAATTTTTCGATTTTGTCAATTTCGATTCTGACACTCCCATAGGAAACAACACAGGGGCAATGGACCTGCCACCCACGGTTTTCGAGGGCCACGGATCAGTCCTGCGGGGGCAAAAGTAGTTTTATTGTGTGGCTCCTAGATTCCCATTCATTGGATAGTATTATGGCATTTTAGCTTTCTCATCTACATATTTTATTTTTTGTGAGGTGAAGCATAAGATAGCCTGTAGCTGTACCTGTTTCTTCATTACAAGTAGTTGCACGACGGTGGTGCTGTGACAGCAGGCTCTCCCAGCAGCTGCTCATTGCAACATAACATTCCCCAGGCCTGAACCCTCGTTTTTTTTTGTTTCTCACCAGTTGGCTCGGCTTTTTTTTCGAATTTTTTACATGATTCAGTACGACGAGAGTGCGACTTGTTGTCTACACTAGTATTTTTTCTCTCTTCTTGTTTTTTTTCCATATCCATTCCCATTTGTCTGCGCACGCAGCTTCAGTACTATCATCCCCTCCGTATGTAGTAATTTGCGATTCATTTCTTTCCATGTCGATGTAAGCTATTCCTATTTCAGAGGGGCCCCAGGTTGGAACAAACAACAGTCACGCACTTCAAAAACACGAGCCAGCTTGGAAACCAAAACAATGCGTGACCGGCGAAAATTGATGCTCACCCTCCTGAGCGAGACTCGTGTTGAGCGACCCATGACGGCACGATGACATCCTCAACGAAGGAGCCGTAGTACTAGTACCCCGAAAGTAGTAGCACGTGCTGCATCAAAATAGTACACGACGGGGACAAGCCTGCAATGTTAAACTTTTGAAAGACATTCGAACGAAAACCGTTTCAGCCGCTGCTCGCGGACGAAGTTGGCTAGCTGCAGGGTTTGGCACAAGCCTACTCAGTCGTGTTTCCGAGTACGAAAATAGCAGAGCAGGAGTTGCTGCTGCATCCGGTCGTGTGCTGGTCGTTTTAACGAATCAAGTAAATGACCTATTGTCCTGTACGTAAGTTCTTGTACGAAGTGGAACCGACTGCAGGTGATGACGCACAAGCACCAGCTGGGTGCAGGTCATTTCTCCTGCCCATTTGTAGTTGCGCTGTCGTTGAGACGAAGCATTCCACAAAAGAGCAAACGCTGCGGAGAACTTCTACAGGAAGGCATCTTCATGTATGGTCGTGTAATTCAATTACAATTAAATAATTGGATTTTTAGCACTGTTGCTGTTTCTTCTTGGCAGCTTCGGTTGATCTATCATCTTCCCCTTCGTTATTTCATTGCTTCGTACGTATTTCTGTTTGCGCTTTCTTGCGTGTCGTCGCGTTCGGGTTGGTTCTGCCCTTTACAGCAGCTTCTGTTTTTGAAAATGTCTGGTGTATTTATAGTAATCATGAAATTGCAGTGTAGCTGTAGTGTGTCAGAGTGAAAGACTAAAGACATGCTGTAGAAGAATTTTTTTCCAATTTTTTGGCAAAAAGTCACGTTTTTCATTTTTAACCTTCAGAAGGTTTTGAAAAATCAACCTTCAGAAGGCCAAAACCTTCAAGAAGGTCCAAAGTCAATGCGTGCCAAACCTTCAGAAGATTTTTTTGATCAAAAACCTTCTGAAGGTCAAAGGCACACCTTCTGAAGGTAATTACCTTCTGAAGGTTCACAAAAAAAAATAAATTTTCGCGGCGCAGGATCTGCTTCCGTTTCAATTTTGGTCGTTTTTTGAACTGCTATTTTTAGAACCTTCTGAAGGTTCGTCGACTCTTCTGAAGAGTCTTCTGAAGAATTTTCTTCTGAAGGTAGTTTTGATTTTTTCCCTTATAGTCCTTCAATTAGTTGTACGAAGTGGAGCCGACTGCTGGTGATGACGCACAAGCACCAGCTGGGTGCAGTTCATTTCTCCTGCTTATTTGTAGTTGCGCTGTCGTTGAGACGAAGCCCAAGCCCTGAACAAAAGAGTAAACGTTGCAGAGAGCGTCTCTCTACAGGAAGTCATCTTCATCTGTAGCCGTGTTGTAATTGGATTATCACTGTTCTTTCTTGTTGGCTTCAGTTGATGATTTCGTCCCCTTCGTTAATATTTCATTGTTTCGTATGTATTTGCGCTTTCTTGCGTGGTGTCGTGTTTGGGTTGGTTCTGCCCTGTACAGCGGCTTATGTTTTTAGAAATGTCCTTGCTGTGATGTAGCTTGCCAGAGTGAAAGACCACTAAAGACATGCTGTAGAAGAAGAAGTTCTTTCGAGCGGCTTTTTTGTTGCGAGGACAGAGAAAATATTTTCAACATCGTGAGAACCAGAACTACAGAAAGCAAGGCGAGTCAGTTGTAATGTAAGGACTGCTAATATCCAGATCAAAAACAAAATCAAAATAGCAAAGTTCAATGCAAGGTGGCCGCTAGTCTTGTGCCGGACTAAACAAGCATACAAGAAGAACAGAAAAAAAATAAAACTATGCACCCGGAGCAGCTTCTACACCATCCGCTCTCAAAGTCCAAATCATGAATCCGCTCTCAAAGTCCAAAAGCTTTGATCACAAGCAGGACATAGCTCACCGGGAAGCCAGCACGCTGAAAGAGCGACAGGATGCGGCTAGCGCGGCGAGTTTGTTGATATCGTGAGAAAAAGCCCTCTCAGTCTCAAACCTTTTTGCTTTGCAAATTCAGCAATAAGTACAAATTGAAATTTGCTCAGCATCTTGACACGGAAATAAACCCGTGATGCGTCGAATACAAGGGAAATAAACACCTATAGCTGCAGACGATTAGGATTATCTCGCATGCCGAGCATGACATAAAACTGTCTCAAGGAAGTTGCTCATCACAAGTTGAGACTGAGACAGTTTTTTCTCAGGATAGTTGACTAAGAAAAATTACCAATACGGAGGTTCCTCCGCTTCGACCTCGAAAAATCCGCATTTGATATTCTGAGTAAAAACGTCCCCACCCCAGAGTTGTCGTGCAATCCTGCATGCCAAAAACGTTTCTCATGCGGAGCCCTAGCAGAAGCATTTCCTATTCCTGTTTTGAACTTTGTGATGCTAGAATCAGCATGATATGCTAGATCTGTGATGCTTCTGAGCTAGCTAATCAGGATTACACTACGAGGACAACCTTGTCATGCCAAACAACCAAAGCTGTGTGATTTGTCTAGCAGATTTCCCATCTTGACTCTGGTGTGAGGACGTTTCTAATCAGGATATTTGAACAGACAAAACTACGGTAATGATGCAGCGTCTTCGAACACGCAGCCCAGCCGCCTGTACCCGACAACTTCTGCGCAAGATGATCATATCCCTAGGACCACGAGGACCGGAACATCATCAACCCCAAGAGCTGCACAACAAGATCAGTGGCGGCACCCCGACGCGCCCGCCCCGCACCCGCAGCGGAGTTTGAAGCGGTGTTTGTTACTGTATGAACAAGCCGTGAACCTGCAGCGAAGAAGAACGCAGCTGTCGGCGCGGACCTTGCACGAACAGCAGGGCAGCAATCCTTACCACGAGCAGAACTTTTCGTCTGCTTACCTGGATGATCATATGAACTGCAAATGTGTACTCTGGAGCTGGAATAAACTTGTGATGCTATTTTGTAAATGGTGGGCGCACTGCGTTATGCAGCCACGCATGACAAGTTTGTGAGGTCCTGTGTGTTTCGCTTCGCGTTCGCGCATGACAAACTTCATTTTTACATACGGGTGCCTTCCTGCTCATGTAATACAGATAGAAGAGTCATGTGAGACAAGCATGACAAGCTTGCATTCACTTCCAGAACCAGACATATTTGCAGTTGATAGATCAAGACGTCGCGCGGGGCCGCAGCAGAACGGCCGCTAGCCGCATGTTTACACCAGAGTCACTATGGATTGTAAAAATGTCTGGGTCTGGAAGATTGCCAGGTTTGTCATGCATATTTTGCATGACCCATAAGGCCTGTAATGCAAGAGCTAGCATCACAGACTTTTTGAGGGCTTCCTGATGCCTCTCCCGCATGACAAATGCCCTCCCAGCGTAGCACAATCTGGACTCCTCTTGCTGGTCATGCAATGCAGATTTTTTTAGAATCGAAAGACAGCATGACAGGTTGCGATCTTCCAGACCCAGACATTTTTACATTTGATAGTCACGAGTTAGGAACAACATTTTCCCACGCGCCATTTCGACGAGCACCATCATCACTGGCCACAGCCGGTCCGTTATCGCAGAGGAAAATTGGCCCTCCCCATAGATATCATCAAAATGGAAATCTGTGATGCGGGATTTGTGTTGTACACAAATCCAAATCGATTCTGTTTTGCAGTAGAGGACTGCACGCAGATCCTATGCCTAGGTGAGGGCATTTTGGTGTAGACGCCTAGCATGGTAGACGGCTAGTTTCCTGTAGGCCTACATAGCGTTACAAAACGCCACCATAAAAACGAGGCGGACAGCCTGAATTCTGTGCCTTCTTGCAAGACACTCACAAATCTGCATCTTCACAAATGTGCTTGTAATATGGGGACGAGGGGGGGATGTTTCCTTGCAATATCCGTGCCGCAGACACCCACCACCAACCGATCTTCGAGCAACGTGTGGCGGAGTCTGGATGAAGACCACTTTTCTATCCTGTGCAAAAGTATCGTACTCGTACGTAGTAATTGCAAATGCGATCATGCGTTGCAAGTCTTTTTCTGAAGGTAAATCTGGACTACGAATTTTATTTCCCATGCTGAGGAAATTTGTAGTGCATTTATACGAGTGCGATACTTTTGCAGTTCATATTTTCCACCCCGAAGCAACTTCGCGGACGGGGACTGACCTACGGGGAACAGCTACAAGGCGGGCTCCGCTCCCGGTCACAGCCGCCCGACCATAGTGCAACTACCGGCGCGGACCACCCGCCGGACGAAGTTGTCAACACCGGGGCTGACGACGCACAAGCCGCCGGGGAAGATCCGAATTTCACTGATGATCCACAAAGTACGAACAGAACCCTATCAGAAGGAAAAATCTTCCCTCCCCATATGGAAAAGGCACGCCTCAGAAAATTTGCAATGCTGATTTGTGACCACAAATCGTGTCTGTCTTGCAAGAAAGCAACGCCACAGGTTCCGCCCCATTATGCAGATGGTTTGTGATGCTCATGCGCCTACAGTATAGACGTTTCTCATGCTGATTGCCTAGGCCAAAACCTCGCTACTCTGGCATGATGTGCGCCTTGCAGTCCTCTACTGCAATAGAAATCTGATTTGTGCGCAGATTCAGCATCAGAGCTATCGTTTTGATGTGGAGAGGGAGGACGTTTCCTTCTGATAAACCCTCCAGAGATCCTTCTCGGCCCGCCCCGCGAACACCGAGCCGCCGTCGAGTGGGGGCGGGGGGGCCACGACGAGCAACTTCTATAACCGGTCCGTCTCCGCGAGCCGGCGGTATCCTGTGCAAATAAAGTATCGTACTCGTATAAATGCAAGTCTTGCATTACAAGTCTTTTTCTTAAAGCAAATCCGCATGACAAATTTTATTTCTGATGCTGAGGAAATTTGTAATGCTAATGCATGTATACGATTACGAGTGCGATACTTTTGCAGTTCATAGACGGGCGAGGACGCCGACCTTTCCCAACGGCTACGCGCAGGTGGTAGACAGGCTGATATCAGCAAGAAAAATCCTCCCTCTCCATATCAAAACGGAAACCTGTGATGCAGATTTGTGATCACAAATCAGCCTTGTCATGCTACAAGGGAAAAGATGCGGACTGTAGTGCTAGGTGGCTTGGGAAATAAGCCTCGCATCTTCAGCATGACAGGAGGCAGCTGGAAGTGGGGAATAGCGTGACAAATTGCCTGCACACGAGGCCACAACTGCGGCCCTTGGCCTTCTAGCAATGCAGGTCGATTTGTGTACTCAAATATATAGCGGCGGCAAAAGCTTATTTTTTGGAAAATTAAAAAAAGCATTGGGTGTCATAGATACTGGCCGCGAAGAGCACCACCATCGCCACGTGTGTCGAGCATGCTCGGCTGCGGCGCCTGTGCAGCCTCGGTTGGAATTAATCGGAGGAAAAGAAGGTCGGGCGCCTGGTTGACATAAATAATAGGTCCGGGGGGCTGGGCCTTACGAACTGCACTGCACTCGCGGGCCCGCGCTCTGGCTCGATGCCCCGCCGAGACCTGCGCCGATAGTAGTGGAGCCGCCGGCAACCGGGCCCTCGTGGCATGCTTGCCAGTGGCCTAGCGTATGTGTTTTGGCAGCGCGCCGGGCAGCAGGATGGGCCGGGGAGATGTGGCGAGGAGAAGCATTTCCCTGCCAGGTTTGTGAAAAGGCCTCGCGTAATGGCCGCGAGAAAATAACAACGCGCCCCGGGCTGCTAGGGGTGTGCGCTTTCCGCCTCCCGCAGCCCTTTCCGAAGCGTCGCCCGGCGGCTCTTGCTGCTTTTCTACCAGCTCTGGTGGTTGGCCCTTCGAGGGGCGATCGCTGGCGCGCCGGGGTTTCAGAGGGGCCGCGAAAGGGTCACCGGACTGGCAGGAGAACATGAAAAAAGCCCCGGAAACATGCGGCGGCCAAAAGCCGCGCCCGTTTTGAAACCTGGGAGTCAGAGCGCCTGCCGCCGGAGTACCACAACCAAACTCCGGGCTGGAGGGGCGGAAACTCTTGGTCGCTGCGGCTGTGTCACTCCCACCCCGGCCCCTGGAGGGGGCGTGGCAAGCAATTGGCCCGACCGAATGCCCGCCGCCCGGCACACCCCCAAAGCGCGGGGCTTTTGCCTCTTTTGGGGGGGCATGAAACGGCACCAAGCGGACTGCCTCTCCTGCGTGCGTTATGCTCCGCAAGGGCAGTGGGGGTTCGCAGAGTAAGCCAGGCCAGAAGGGCTTCATTGACCGCCAAAAGCGCCGCAAGCCCTGTCCCTTTCCTTTTTGCCGCGCCATAATCGGATCGGGACAAAGCACGTGGCCGAACCCTACCCGCTCGACCAGTCCTACCGACTGCGCCAGGTCGGGCACCTTCAAAGGGGGCCAAGGACAGGGCGACGAAGATGCGCACCCACGGCCAAGGAAGGGGGCGCGCGCCCGCGAAGAAACGGCCGCCCACCCCTTCTGTGTGTTATCTCCGAGGCATGTCCCTAGCCCGCCCATCCGCGGAAACCCGGGGAAGCGGCAGGGCCCCGGCCGTGCCAAACGGACGAAAACCTCCCCCCCACCCGAGCATGCGCCGGCGGCGAGAGGAGGGGGAGCAACCTGAGCCGAACTTGTTGGGCCCTCTCTTCCGACAACCCGGAAACTGGTCGTCTCGAATGGGCAAAGGTTTCGTGGAACGGCGCGTGCCGAGCAGCCCGGGCCCAAGTGACACGCTTGTCGCTACGACGGAGCTTCGGGTGGGAGGCTTCCCAACGGAAATGCGGGCCGGGCAACCGGAAACACCTTCCGGGGGAGGCTAAAGAGGCACCCCCCCAAAGTGGGTCCGTAGCATGCGGGGTCGCTCTTGCTTAGGGCCACTTTTGGAGACCCTATCCGGGCACCCCCGGCCGCGGGGCCCGGGGGGAGGCCGGAAGTGGAAAGCCAGCGGCGGCAAGGGCGGTCAAGCAGCACGCGGCCGACTTGCACCCCGGAGCGGCCGCGGGGCTGCGCAGCTGCCCGGAAGCGTGGCGCCGATTGCCTCGGCAAACAAGAGCGCCGGCGATCCTGGCGCCCCACACGCGCTGGCTTCTGGTTTTGGCGCCATGCGTCCCTCGGTCTGGCCGAAGAAAAACAGCGACAACTAGCACGGCCCACAGAATGCAGGTAGTGTTTTCCCCGGCAAATTGGTCCGCGTCCGCCCTGCATTGCCAGCTGGCCGGCTTCGCAATGTTGGCAGGGCGGCGCGCCGAAAGAGTAGGGCGTCCGTGAGGGTCCTGATGTTTTTGGCATCCTCTAAAAGGGCCCCGGGCGCCGCGCACCTCTGCGCCCTACCTCCGGCGCAAGCGCTGTGGGCCTCGGATCGGGCCAGGAAAACAGTGGGGCGGCGGAGCCAGGCCCAATCCTTTCCGCCGTACATTTTTCCGGAAATCGGCCAAAGGCACGGCGGTCGGCCGAGGGGGCTTTTCAGGTTGCCGCCCGCCCTGGTTGGGGCCACTAGAGCACGGCGCGCCGCGGTCGGGCCCCCCTTGCGCGGGCCGTCTGATCAGTTCCCCACCTGCAAAAAGGGGGGCCCGGCTGCCCCGCTGTGTTGCCCCGGGCTGTGGCGCTTGTACTCTAGCCTCCAAGCGTGCTGGCAGTGTCGCCGGGCGGCTGTTTTCCGCGAAATTTGTATACGAAATGCCGTCGGGTAGTTCTTGTAAGGAATCCCGCGACTTGGCGGAAGCTCGCTAGGGGGTGGCTTGGGAGGTGTAACCAAACCGCAGGCGCCTTGGTTGGGATGGAGCCACGCTTCCGCCCGCTTTGCAGAAATGGGGCTACTCGAAAAGGGCGAGCGCCGCGCGGTTGAGGAATTTATTGCGGTCGGCCGAGCGGGAGTCGTGGGCGGCGGCCGAGGGGTGTTGCGGCACCTCGCCGGGCAATCAGGGATGGGCATTGCGGCCGATGATGCCGCCTGAACGGGGCGCAGGAGCATGGCCCCTGGGCATCTGGTGCGGCGCAAGGCGCTCGCCCATTCCATATCACGCCGTGCCTTTGGCTTGGGCAGATTCGGCCGTGCCTGCCGGGCCTCCGCCTGCCCCGACCAAATTCGGAGCGGCGCAGACCTGGCGGGATTGGCCCGTCTAGGGGTCAACGACGGGCCCGGCCCCCTGCCCAGGATGCCCGCTCTGGCGTGCGCGGACGTTAAAGCTGACGCAACCTCTCGCGCCTTCTGCTAGGGGTTCTCTCTGCGGTGGTGTGATGTGTTTGACTTTGCGGCAGCACGGCAGAGCAAACTGGGTAAGCGCTGCGCCGGCGTGGCTCTTACGCCGTCCTGAGTCCAGAAGCGTGATGATTCTGATGGGCTGCGGGGCCCACGATAAAGCCACCCAGTATTTTTTTTAATTTTCGCAAAAATAAGCTTCTGCCGCCGCTATACACAAATTTCGTTTTCGATATGGGGAGGCGGGGGGGTTTTTCCTCTTGATAGTTGAAGTATGGCGTGTCCTACCGGCAGTCCTACAATCATCCGAACCCGGTGATTCGGTCCCTGGACGGGTTGGGCGGGCAGTCGGTCGATATCAAATGCAAAAGTGTTTGGGTCCTCTGGAAGAATGCAAGTTTGTCATGCTTGTCTGGCATGACTCGAGAGTCTGTGTTGCATAGGCACGAAAAGGCCCTCTTACCTGTCATGCAAAAACGCAGTTTGCCATGCGGAATACGTGAGACGTGGCAGCTAAAAAATTTGCCATGCATAGCTGCGTATTGCAGTGCGTCTATCATTCACTTTTAGCATTACAAGTTTCCAGACCCAGACATATTTGCAATCCATAGTCGACAGCTGGAAGCCGTTTTCCTTTGGGGATGGAACGAGTATCCTGAGCAAAAACGGGGCCCATACTACAGAGTCAAGATGGGAAATCTGCTAGACAAATGTCCAAGTTTTGGGAGTTGCGCATGACAAGTTCTTTGCCTTTGCAGTGTAGTGCTGGTTGTTCTTAGCACGGGAAGCTGCATGAGAAAGCCATTTAATATTTCTCATCCTGTTTACAGCATTACAAATTCCAAAACACGATTGGAAATGCCTCTCATGGAGCTGCGCATTACAAACCGATTCCTGTCATTGCGCATTTGCATGACAACTCTGGGGTGTGGGCCCCGTTTTTCCACAGGATACCGAGCAAATCTGTGCACTACCCTTTCAGCCGGAAGGCCCTCTCAACGTCGGACGATCCCAACGCGACGAAGCTGCTCGGTAGTACTTCCAATAAGCTGGGCGAGCGGAGCGAGAGTCCTATCGAATGCAAATATCTCTGGATGACTGGAAGGATGCAACTTGTCATGCTAGGTCCGGATGATGCGAAAATCTGTCGTGCAAGATTGCCAAAAGTTGTCCACTTTTGATCAAACCAAGAGGAGTTTCTCATGCCGAACCGGCATGATGGAGATCATCTCACAGAATCTGTCATGCTAGGTCCTGCATTCCAGCCCTCATGGGTTATTGGAAAACCTGCATTACAAACTTTTGACTCTTCCACATATTTGCGAGGCATAAGTTCGCCGGGAGAGCGACCGTCCTATGGCGACAAACTGCTGCCTATCAAATGCAAAGATCCCTGGAAAGAACTTGTGATGCAAGGAAGGGAATAGTGACCTCACCACTGTAATGCGCTGCCCAGCATGACAACTTTTTCACTAGTTATCTGAGTTGCGTACTCCGCATTAGAACAATGAAACTGCGCCTTATTTGCATGTTGACAGGGAGGTGGTGGTGGAGGAGCTCTTCGCTGCCACGCAATACAGACTTCAAAGTCATGATGCCAGACTAGCATGACAAATCTCGCAATCACCCAGACGTCGTCCAGGGATATTTGCACTGGATACTGCCCAATCCTCGCCTGGACAGCGACACCGCACGGCAGCGGCAGAACCTGCTGCCCGGCCCGCGAAAAACGGAATTTCTGTGCGAGGTCGTTATTCCGCAGAAAAACCGGTGCGCGTACAAGGGCAGGATCAAAATTCGGGTGCGGCAAGGGGCGGACCTGAAGCAGATTGCGGAATCGCATCGGAGGGTGTACGGACTCACCGTGAGTCAGACCGAAAAATTGCTGCGGACGCTCGTCGTCACGAGAACCCAAATACGTATTCTTCATTTTTGCTGTTCACATTTCTTGATCTTGTCGGCAAGAGATCAGATGGCGATTTACATTTGGACCAGTAGGACGTAGTTGTTGCGCTCTGCTTTTTTTGAGGAGGCGATTTGGTGGGCATGGTTGATGGGCATGGTGATTAGGATTTTCAGTTCCATCCTGGAGCTGTCAGAGTGCTGTCGGAAAACTATAGTGATGAAATTCATGAAGGACCACTACAAGTCCCCTGACCAACACCAAGCACCACAATATGGAAAAAACAGAGCACGGTTCTTTTCTGGTTGCCCAGCTGACGGGCGGCTTGAGATCTGGCGCCTCCATATCCCCCAGAAAAAGACCGACAGGTCATATTTGTAATGCAAAAATAAATAGACAAAAAAATCTGTATTGCATGCCCTAAACAGGATGTTATGGCCTCGCCCATGACAGATTTTCCTGTGTATTTATTTTTGCATTACAAATATGACCTGTCGGTCTTTTTCTGTGGGATACTCCAGTCCCTCCAGAAGATCGGTCGGGCAGTATCACAAGGAAAGATCCCCCCTCCACATACTGAAAAGGAATATTTTTGGAAATTTGTGATGCTGATTTGTGGTCACAGATCGTGTCTGTCTTGAGAGAAGGCAACTCCGTAGGCTCCGCCGCATTGTGAAAGCGGTTTCTCATGCTGTTGGGCCTACAGGTACAGCGCGGACGTTTTTCATGCTAAATGCCTAGGCGAAAACTTCTCCCCTCGCACTTGGTATGGGCCTGCCGTGCTCTCTACTAGCAAGAAGGCTCCGATTTGTGTACGCAAATCCAGTATCACAAGTTTCGTTTTGATATGGGGAGGGGGGATTTTTCCTTTCGATAGGCAGCCGAGAACGAGCCTGCATGCCGGTACATCAACTACCGGACCTCCGACCAAGCGCCGCTCCATATCCTGAGTAAAAATGTCCCCACACCAGAGTCAAGATGGGAAATCAGCTAGACAAATCAATCAGCTCTGGTTGTTTCGCATGACAAGCGTGTCGTCGTAGTGATGTTTCCGAAGCATCACAGATCTAGCGCGTCATGCTGCTTCTAGCATCACAAATTCCACAACGCGAATAGAAAATGGCTCTGATGAGGCTCTGCATGAAAAACTTTTTTGGTATGCGGATTTGCATGACAACTCTGAGATGGGGGCGCTTTTCCTCATGATAGTCCAAATCTGCACCGTCCACCCGGCCACCTCCATCGCAAGCGCTCGGCCGCGGTAACAATATTGGTGGAATACATGGCATGCAAGAACCTGGCGCAGGCAATTCTGTAGCGGACCAGGACGGGTCAGCAGGTGGAGGTCGTGGGGACATGAACAAGACCGGCGGCATATCAACCGCAAAAATGTCTGGGTCCTCTGCATGGACGCAACGTTTGTCATGCTTGTCTGGCATGACGGAAGATTTTGTGATGCCGCGTGTTCAATAAGAGACCCTTTCCCCTGTGATGCAAAAACGCAGTTTGTGATGCGGAAAGCGCAACACTGACCCGCGCAAATATTTTTCATGCTTGGCTCTGCATTACAGTTGCTTTCATGATTCACGACTCAGCATTACAAGTTTCCAGACACCCAGACGTATTTGCAATCCATACGGCAGTCCGGCAAGTATGATCGAGTATCCGGATCAACTCACGTCTTCTGCCCGGGCCTCGGCACCCTCCATGCTGCTGCAGCTTCTACCGGCAAAGATTGTGGCGGTAAATTAGGTTATTTTGCGGCGGATGACAGAAAGAGGTCAACATCTAACTATATTCGGTTAGTATTTTGGCATCTGGAATGGGTTAATTCGAAAATGCAGTAATTTTTATATTCAAGCAGGAGAATGCGTTGCGTTCGTCTCCGTTCTCTTAGTGTCTCTTTATACGAGGACGGAAGAAAATTTTGTTCCGAGTAGAATGATCATCGCAGTTTACTTGAAAATTGAAAGTATAAAAATCGCTAGGTCGTCGGAGCGGAAAGCGCAACCATGCCCCACCAGCAACCGCCGGCTACTGTAGCACTGCCGCCCGACCAAGTGCGAGACGCCAAGTCCGCCGTGGTGTCTGTGCTGGGCACCACGCAAGACAGAGAAGATGCGGTCGGGGGTTCGTCTATTCCGGTCACCCCGCCCGACGACCGCACGGTCGGGCAACTTTATGCAACGAAAAAAGTGTTAAACGCACTTGCACACGAGTATGTATGCAGTGTCCTAGGGTGGGTCATGGACTAGAGTGGTACAAAGTATGTACGTAAAAATTTGCAAATTGCTGTCCTAGCGTGTGCAACATGAGAAACACGTATTTCGCACGGAAATTTCAATGGGTTTTACAAGACTGCAGAAGAATAGACCGCGCATGACAAATTAATTCAAGTGCATCGGACTCTCCTGCAGGGCCCACCCTAGGCATTTATACATAAGTACACCCTAGGCCCGCAAGCGGATGAGGGAAAAACCGAAGCAAAAAGCACTCGCGAAAGAGAACAAGAATTGCTCTAGTCCCTGGCGCTGGTAGTTGCGCGGGGATGGTGACTGCCGCAAAACTGCAGCGCTTTTTGTGCTATGCAATCCGCATTAATTTGTGTACGTTATGGCTGTGAAACAGAGTCGTTTTTTTTTTCAAAGAGCAAGCGCAAGCGCTATGGGACCGAAAGAAAAAGCAAATGCAAAAACCTTCTGCTTGGCTATCAGGATGCGCAACATTGTCACGCATGAGCAGGCGCGCAACCACAGCGACGCAAAAATTGTATAGATGGAGTATTTCCCGAAGAGAAAAGAAAACACTAAACATAGGTCGCAAAGAGTGATCAACGAAAGACCCTAAAAAGTGGTGCTGGGTGCTGTTACGGGGGGGGGGGCGGAGGGTAGCCACATCAGGAGGCGCCGCGCAACGCAACCACGACAGCAAAGCAACGCCGCGCGCCCTGCGCCGGCCGTTGCGGGGGGCCTTCTGGGGGTGCCCACTCGCAACAGCCGCGGCGGGCTGCGGGACGAGTTCGGCGGCGCTGTCGCGGACGGTGGTCCATGTCGGAGGCGCGGGCGCCTCCTAGTGCGGGGGCCTGGCGGCCAAACACAAGCAACACGCGGCAGGGGCAGACTTGCGCCCGCTGGGGGACACGGCCGCCGCACCGATGCCGCGCGCACACACAGGCAAGAAAAGAGGCGCGGGCCCGTTCGGGTCTTGGGCGTTCCCAATGGCCCGCGCCAAGAACATGCCGCGCGCCATTCCTTGGTCTGCCGCTCCGCTGTGCGGAGTCCCTAGGTTTGCGCCGTTCGGCCCCTGGACGGCAACCAGACAAACAACGCCGAAGGTCGGCGCATCTGCCGAAAGGCCCCCAAGAACGAAGAAGGCACACGAAAAGCCGACAGGGCAGAAGCAAAAATTAGCGCTCTCCGCCCTAGGCTAGGCGGCCCAGGGTCACTGTCCTAGCCTAGGCTAGTCCGCCGCAGCGTTTTGGCCTAGCATGTCAAAAATTAGCTTCGCAAACTCGCGCAAGGCCCGGACTAGGGTAGTGCATGAGGAAAACACGAGGAAAAACAAAGCAAAACGATTTGGCCAACGCTAGGCCGCGCCGAACGTCCAGGGCACTGCGACCCATCCTAGCCTGGTGCATGGGAATAGCCTCGGTCTAGGCCGCAGTCATGCTAGGATTCCGCATGTATGATGTTGCAGTTTTGATGCCAGCAAGTAGGTAGACAATCTACAACACTCATCTGCCATGCCAGAAATCAAATGCTTGTGAGCCCTGTAGTTTCTTCAATATGCGTGTTTTTCCTATATGATCTTCCCTGCATTGGTCTTCACCCTGCTGGGCAAGTTTGTGTATACTGAAATTCCGTAAAAAAGAAGTGCGACAACTGTAGGAGCACTTTTTTTGTGTTACCAAGTCGTGCAGCCAGCAGCACCTAGCAGCGCGGAAGCAACGCAGCAGGCTGGTGGCGCCGCCGGGAGCACGGCGGGTTTTGGTGCGTCTGCGCCAGGAAATACAATGATGCTCTCGCAGAACAAGCACCAAGCGGAACTACCCCAGGCACAGCAGCTGGCATTGGATACGCCGGGACGGGGCACTGCATCTACTTCGTCGAAGCAGACAGCGGTCGAACAAACCAGCACTGCAGCACCTGGCGCCGTCGTGTTGGGCCATGAACAACAAATACCCGCAAGTAGTAGTGTCTTGGCACCACAACAACCGCCACCTCCAGTGCCCACCGCCCCGCCGCATTTGAAAGTCATTGCCGAGGGGGACCCGCTGCGAAGACTGATTTTCGCCCGGATTATGCAGTGCAAAATTATCGTACATCTGCTTAGCTGCATGAGAACGAATGGAATTTGTCATGCAATTTTACCTTGAGAAGAAGATTTGTCTTGTATACCTGCAATTACTTCCTGAGTGCGATACTTTTGCAATGCATACGGATCCTGGATTTGCAATTGACCGATGAAGAATCGAAGGAAGACATTCCGTTCGAGCAGATTTCGCGGCACATTTCCAAGGAGTTCCTTGATCAGCTCCTGGAGAAACGGAACAAATCGCTCTTGGCCGCCAACCAAGCCGAGCGGACGGAGAAGCTGCAGGAGTTCCTGACCTATGAACTGCAAAAGTGCCGTACTACTCGTACTTGAAGTTGTAAAATTGCATAATTACAAATTTGAATTTTTTCAGCCTGAAGAAAATCGCGATTTGTAATGCTGATTACGCTTTGGCTTTTAAAAACAAGTTTAGTATTTCCGTTTGTCATGCGTGCTTGCAATTGGCTACGAGGACGATACTTTTGCACTGGATATCACTGACAAAGGCTTGCAGTGGTTCGCGAAGCAATCTTTAGAGCCGGACGTGCTGGGTGTGCACCCTGGCATATGAGAGTGCACAACTCCCCCTCGTTCTCATTTGTATAGGATGGACGGCAATACAAGCGTCAGCGAGAGTGCAGGTTTTGCATGACAAACTTGCACAGGATTGTAGTGCTTCGGGGCGGCCAGGTGAATTTGTGATGCACATGTAGTGACAGGAGGGAAAGTCTGGAATTGGTGTTTTGCATGAGAAATGAGAACGAGGGGGAGTTGTGCACTTTCATATGGCAGCGTCGAGGAGCAGGCGAAATCGCTGAACCAGGGGGTCTACGCATTGCAACTGTGATGTCCCCGTCTGGAATTGTCGTGCAAATTTCGTACGAGAGTAATGTAAGAATAAGATCTGTGTTGTCACATGAACCGGATTGACAACGTTTTTCGTCGATTTGGAGTGCAGTTTGTCATGCGATTCACGAATATTGAATCTGCTACTTTATAATATCGGAGGCATCGCAAAAGTAAAGCTATCATGCCGTCCCTGCGTAGAAAAGACAGCTCTAATATGATCATGCAAGACTCGGGAGCAGCACAAATTTGTCCCGCCGTCTTTATTCCAGACCCCGAGGACATGATTGCACTGGATAGAGTCTTTCGAGAATTCGTGAAGCCCGAAGCGCTGCCGGGGTTTTTGCTGCTGCAAAATCCGCCGTCGCTGGAGCTGTTGAAAGCGTATTTGAATGTTGATTTGGATTTTGATTTGAACGCAAATAGAGTGAAACCATGAGTAAATGATCTGTGAGGTAGATCATGCTTTAATCCTCTCTCTCTCTCTGTGAGGAGGACATAGCACATCAAGAGCCGGTCATTCACATTCTCATTTATGCTTTGCCGCATTATAAATTCAGGTACTTTCGTATTTGGGCAACGCAGTGGACCGCCGCGTACTTTTCCACAGGAAAGGCGTGCCAAACGGAAAAAAGCTAGCATGGCATGTAGTTATAGTTTCCAATGCATAACGAATTAGATGAGATATTAAAAGTAAGTAAAACAAAGACGCGCGGCGCCATCCATCGGCAAGCCCGCCACAGTGTGCTTCCTCTTTCTTGGAGATCCGCAAAAATACACAGATTTATTTTCTGTGAAGATGTATTCGTTTCTGTTGATCATGCAATTACAGATACTATGGTGTCGTCCTAGCTTCTTTCCCTGGGATAAATTGTGTCCAGAATTTTCCGCTTCCATTGGGGAGAGAACGTATGTATGAATTGCAAATATGTCTGGGTCTGGAACAAGTTGGTAACTTATGGTAAATCTGAAGCATACAAAAATCTGTGTTGCATGAGTGCCAAAAGCTGTCCACTTCCGACCAAGTTCTTGGGAGGCAGTTTCTCATGCAGGATAAGCATGGCGGAGACGGAGACCTCGCGCTCGCAGCGTCTGTCATGCTATGTCCCGCATTCTAGACCTCAGGGGTCATGGAAAATCTGCATGACAAGTTTACACCCTTCGAGACCCAGACAGTTTTGCACTTGATAGTATGCGCGGAAAGTGGGACGCATGCTGCTGGACGTGATCAAAGCTGGATTTACGCAGGTAATATAGGAAAGAGCAATGTATTTGACTTGAAAAACAACAAGTACGGCTATAATTCCACTTGGACTTATCCTTATGTCATGTCATAGTCGTTTGTTCTTGATGTTGGGTCTTGATCCCTGGAGCTGGAGCTGGTCCATTTATAGCAAAGTTTAAACGAACAATCCATGACATCGTGTTTCTTTCCTCTCCGCAGGCCGTCGTGTTTGAAGTTGACCAGCCACAGCAGCCACAAGCTACTATCCGAGTGCACAACAAGAACTCTCCCTTTCTAATTTCCATTCTAGTGGCACCAGCAATACAGACATGGATAGCAATGAACCTACTGCATGACAAGTCCAGGTGTTTTGCATTACAAACAAGCTGGGGATGCTGGGGTTACAGTTTTGCATTTTGCAAAGGAGGGAGGCCACAGGAAGGGGAACAGCAAGTTGTGCACTCTCATACAAGCGGTTCTCACTCCACCAGGCCACCAGCATTCAGAAACGCAACAACCAGTAGTGCCGAAGCCGAAGAACCCTCTGAATCTGAAGGAGACGGAGAGCCTCCTTTCCGCCTTCTGCCAGGCGATTGTGGAACAGCCACCAATCGTGGTGCGACTGTCGGTATCAAATGCAAAAACGTCTGGGTCTCCTGGAAGAGTGAGTGCAACTTGTAATGCTGCCTTTGGACTCCACAAAAACTCTGTATTGCATTGTGAACAGCAAAAGAGGTCCATTTTTTGCTACGCGGAGGAGGCATTTCTCATGCAGTATGGGCATCAGAAAGCGGTCCCACAAAATCTGTGATGCTAGGGCATGCATCACACACGTCAGGGGTCACGCAGAATGTGCATGACAAAAGTGGCATTCTTCCAGACCCAAACATATACATATTTGCAGTGCATAGTCGAAGTGCTTTCTCGACGACCTGCAGTTTGAAGCGACGAGAACGATCCAGCAGTCCCCTCCCTCAAATTTGCAGACGTCTTTTTTCGACCGGCTGTTGGTACTGACCACCATGACCCTGTGCCTCGCCTCCAGTCCGAAGCTGTGGCAGCGGGACGTGTTTGCCGAAATCGGGCAGAGCGATTTGGCACTCCATCCCTGCGTGATGAAAAAGATCTTCGACCGCATCAGCGAGCTGCGGATTTTTTCCACGACCGTAACTCCTGGTGGGGGTGCAGGAGTAACTGGACCGCCACTTCCTGGCACTAGTACCACGGGCACAACCAGCCGCGAGCGAGCAGACTATAATTCGGCTTCATCTTTAGTGCCGGGGCCACAGGAGATGATCTTCCCCAGTTCAACGGGAGGAGGAGCAGGCTCTGCAAGTCAGGCGGCACGCGGAGTTGGTGGGTCGTCTTCTTTGGAAGCTGCTGTTCCCGGAGGTCCTCAGCAGCTAGCGTTAGGGAGCAGCGGAACGAAGGCACCGCAGGTGGTTGGAACAGTACAAAATAATTCCACTACGAAAATAAATCCTCCCTTGGTTCTGGGCCCGGCGCCACCGACCACACCGGGGGAGAGATGAAGACTGTGATGTGTAAGAAAGTCGACTTCTGCACCGACGTAGAAGCATGCCGATGTTTTGTCATGCGGTGGCTAGAGCATACGATTAAATTATGATTTAGAACCTGAGGTAACCTTAGCCTCGCTTTTTTACATTCGAAATAATAAAGCAAGAGCAAAGAGCAAAAGGATATGATATTAACAGCTTCGCCATTTGTACACAACGGCTTTTTACCTCCCCCTTCCACTGACTTGTAGGTAGTACAACCGGAAGAAATTAACCACCACCTCCGTGTGATCCAAAAATGCATGATGATTTGGATATTTTGGAACTATCCACTTGTACTTGATTGATAAAATTGATGTTGATGATTTTGATTGCAATTGTACAAAAGGGCACAGTAGCAGTACCAAGAAACTCAAAACCTAAGCGGAGGAGCCGCTTCTGAGTAATATCAGGTGACCCGACCACTGCCAGGACGGACTCGGCAGCTTGTCACCTCGCCCACAAACCCTGTCCGTCTCCGTTGGAGAAGGCAGGAGCAGAAATAATAACGTGTTGCCCAACGATCACGAAGATTTCGTGGTGTTTTCTGCTTCATTTTTTTCTTCAGTCTCAAATAGCCTCTGTGGTCGACTCCTGAACAACTTTATTCCTGATCTGATCAACGTGCAGGACAGAATTGCCTGCGCACGCATCGAAGTGCTCCTGGCGCCGCCCTTGTTGGAAGGTCGAGGATTTCTTTTTGGCTGGAGGAGGGCCCCAGTCCTATTCAAGTACTTTGCTGGAGACAGGCCGGCCCCCGCTTGAGACGTGTAGTTGACCTCGGTAGTCGTCTCCCCGACTGTACTTTGCAATACGAGGTTGTGCGGACCGAAACTCCTTTCGTAGTAAAGGAGCGATGAGTAGTTATTTTCACTTCTGATTGTCGTATATTGAGGAAAATTCGCTAATTTGCACCGAAAGACAAAGGAAAGGAAGTCATGATTCGTGGTTCGTCAACGTTTCCCTTCCGTCCCTGTCAGGCCTCTTGCCGTCGTGTCGTCGTTCCTTTTTCTACGACCAGTTGCAGCGGCGGCACTTCGAAGGCTACTTTCCTCGTCAGCACCGGAGCCTCCTCGTCGAGCAGTAGTTCTACTTGCAGGAGCTCGTCCCCAAGTAGTACTAGAACGCGGATTCTTGTTTCATCTTTTCCGGTGATCGACCGCACCACCTCTTGTTTATTCCGGCAAGATAATTTTCTGCAACCTCAAGCCCGTTTTTTCGGTTCGACGAAACTTGGCGGCATGAAGCGCGACAAGACGCAGCACTTCGAGCCTATGGGGGGGTCAGGATTGAAATCGGCAAAGTTGAAATGATTTGTCATGCATAAAATGCGACACAAAAAGTGACTCTATTGCAGAGGACACACGGGAGACAGATTATAGTCCTGGTAAGGGTCAAAAGTTGGACTGCTGACTAGCATGACAGAAGGCAGCTCTTTTGCCCTAAACCGCATGACACACTCGCTTCCAGCTGGACCGGGAAAATTTGTCATGCACGGACTACAAACTGTAGGTCTAATTGGTATCCGTTTTATGCATGACAAACTATTTCAACTTTGACGATTTCAAACCTGACACATCCATAGAACCTTTGCCCCTGGTCTCCTACGGTGTTCGCTCCTCCAAAGCGTATCGCGCCAGCAAACAGAGTATGCATTTTTGCAAATTATATGGACCTGGGTTTTCTGGAAGAATGCAAGATTTGTGTTGCTTGGCTCCCCACAGGAGAGCAGAGATACCTGTGCCTATTGCGATACACCAGGAGCGTCCTTACTTTGTCATGCAGCGAAAATTCAATTTTCTCATGCAAGTTACGGATGGCAATGACAACATAGTAGCTCCAAAACTTGTCATGTGTGGCTCCACATAAGCGGAGGCCGTTCATCAGCATCGATACTTTAGCATCACAAGTGTCCAAACCCACTGTAGATACATTTGCAATGCATACAGAGTATGCGGAAGGCCGCGGTGCATGCGCGGCGACAGGAGGAAAGGCAGGGGTTCTTATGAGTCGCTAAAGCATCGTACGTATCAAATGTAAAAATGTCTGGGTCTGGAAGATTCTGAGACCTGTCATGCATGTTTTGCATGACCCAGGATGTCTGTAATGCACCACGTAGCATCACAGATTTTTAGAGGGCTTCCTGATGCCTATTCCGCATGACAAACGCATGAGACATACACAAAAATGGAGCGACCGAAAAGTGGAAAAGAAGACGGGGGGGGGAAAGTAATAGAAGAAAAAAGAAGAAGACTTGGCTGGGGAAAAAATGAAAAAAGGAAAGATGGGTGGGGGCATGGGTTGAAGGACAAAAAACACAAGAACTGCAAGTGTCTGGGAGTTTGCATGCCAGGAGATTTATTAGAAGAGTGGCAAGGTTGTTATTTTAAAGACTGCGCTAAGGCTGCACCCCCCTTCCCCAAGGGGCCCCCCGGGGCGGGCGCGGTAGCGGCTCTGCTAACGCGGAGCTCCAAGGCCCGGCTCTATCTATGCGCATAAAAAGGGCGCGCGGAAATAGGTCGGTAAGGTGCTTGAAAGGAGCATGCTTTTGGGTTGTCCGTCATCGTGATAGGGTCAACGTGTGTGACCAATAGACCCCCAGTATATTCTAGCGCGCAACCGACCACAGAAGCAGTAGCGTTCAACGTTTGTAAGAATAACCCAACAAGGCAACACTGGAGCTCCACCTTGCTCGCGGGCTTGGCTGGTAAAGCAGGTCAGCCACATCTAGCGCCCACTGGCCGTATGCACGCGTAAGACATCGGAAACGGTTCCGCGGATGCGGTCGGGTGGTACCTGTAGGACGTGGAACGGGTGTCCACCTAGGGGCATTGGCAGAGGCTAAATCTGTTCTAGCGCCACGGTATTGGCAGAGGCTAAATCTGTTCTAGCGCCACCCTGACAGGAGTCAAAGGTCAAAGCGATGCGATGCGATACGTGTAGATCAAACTGGACTCTTCTTACTGGTCATGCAATACAGATTTTTTCCGAATCCGAAAGGTGCAATACGAGGTGCGTCGGGGGACGTTGCTACACCAATTCAATTCAATCCGAAGACAGCATCACAAGTTGTAATCTTCCAGACTCAGACATTTTTGCAATCCATAGTACGAGTTCGAGTAGCAAACAATTGCAACATAAATTGGCATGACAAATGGAACTTGCCATGCTGATATAGATCGAGATTGAGAAGGAGAATTGTCTTGCATGATTGCGATTACTTTGTACGAGTCGGATGCTTTTGCGCAGGATAGTTTTTGCTGGACACCAAAAAGTGCCTGCAGATGGAGCTGAAGCGCAACACCGGGATATCCTGGGTAAAAACGTCCCCGTACCAGAGTCAAGATGGGAAATCTGCTAGACAAATCAACCAGCTTTGGTTGCTTCGCATGACGAATTTGTCCTTGTAGTGCAATCCTGTTTAAGTATTTCAGCAGCATCACAGATCTAGCATATCGTGCTGCTTCTAGCGTCACAAGTTCCACGACAAGACTAGAAAATGCTTCTCATGGGGCTCCGCATGAGAAACCTTTTTGGCATGCAGATTTGCATGACACCCCTGGCGTGGGGACATCTTTAATCAGGATACGGAATCGGGTGGACACGGTCGCTGAAGATTCTGAAACACTTAGAATGCTATCTATTGCAAATATGTCTGAGTCTGGAAGGTTGCAAATTTGTGATGCTGTCTCTGGATTGCAAAAAGATTTGTATTGCATGAGTGACCAGCAAGAGGAGTCCAGTTGCTGCTACGCGGGGAGAACATTTCTCATGCGGAATAGGCATCACGAAGCCCGCTAAGAATCTGTGATGCTAGGTTATGCATGACAGGCATCATGGGTCATGCAAAATTGGCATGACAGACCTGGCAATCTTCCAGACCACATCCCGGGATGTTTGCGATGCATAAATGCCACGTTCGCACGAAGGGTCCGCCATGCAACCAGCAGTTCCGCGAGAAATGTGCAAAAATTGCGTGGATGCTCAAGTCCACACAAGGCCCTACTCGACCGTGAATATGCTGCGAAATAAAAGCGTGAAAATAAATTCGCTGATTACTTACTTTTCTATAGACTTGCCGTTGTGTTTGATCCACCAACTATCATGCGTCACATACCAGAACTTCAACCTGTAGGACTAGGTACATTACACGACCCCGGCTGTTGAACACGCCAGCCGCTCCGCGCAGTGAGGGTTTTAGGATTTATTAAGGGATTTCGACAGCACTTTTTAGGTAATTTTTTTCAACGTGTTACCAGAATCAGACGCAGCTCCGCATGACAGCAGGTTTTTCCTGCCATGCGAATCGAACCTGTGATGCTGCTCAGTTGTCGAAGGAACGATATTTCAAGTACATGGCGTCACGGTCAGACAATGGAGAGAGAGGACTCTACCCGGGGTAATAAGTAGACTGATCCAGAAGAGCGATCATGGCCCGGCGTTTAATTGCCCCGCTTGGGAGTCGAGGTGTTGATGGCGCGAAATGTGGCAACAGGTGAGTGAAAGAAGTGATGAAGCAGTGCTGTCAAACGAGATGAAGACGGAGCGCTGGCCACATACCAGCGCCATGAGAGGTTTTTTTCAAGAAGTAGATAGATCCTGCATGGTGCAGGAGCGTTTTGGTTTTGTTAATTTTTTATGGTTTGATTTTTTGCTATTGGTTCCTGGTCCTGCAGGGGTGCAGGAAGACAGCAGAATATACATGTACAAGTACTTGCACCTACTCGCACGTCGTGATTGAAGTAGCAGAAATTTTTTTGATGAGTTTATAGTATGACAAAAAAGGGCTAGGACAAGTACTAAACTGTAACTACGACCATCTGCGGTCTCTATCAAACTATGCGTGCGTCTGCCTTCTTTTCCAAAACATTGCTCGCCAAAAAAGCGGCGGCGCCCGGTGCAGTGGCGCCCCACGTTGCCTCGGAATGCCTGTCACCCCGTAGCAAGTTACTGTCCTCCGGCACGACCACTACGTCGTCAGGCGGCAGCTGTGGCACGACAAGCGGCAGGAGTCCCACCAGAACAGAAAGTGATGCTGGGGGTTCTTCTACCACTGGAACAAAACAAGTTTCTGCCTTTGATTCCACCGAAGACGAATTCTTTGCTCGCAATAGTACCGCAACTACCGGTAGCAGCACGACTACAAGGAGTAGCAGAACCGCATCGCCGCTGGGTGTCGTAACCCGATCAAGTTCCTCCCCGGGCAAAACGAAGCTGGAAGAGATTCGCGATGCGGCTCGGCAACGGAGAGAAGAAAGGCGGATCAGCGTGTCGTCGACGTCTGCGAGTAGTACGACAAGCCCCCTTGCCCTCTATGAGAATATGCACAACTCCCATGTGCCCCTCATTTGTCATGCCAAAGCCCCAATTCAATCGCTGCGTTGTCAGACTGTTTGCATCACAAATTCAGGAAGCGCAAGCAGTACTACTTACACCAGGCGCAAGATGAACTTGTAATGCACAGGCTCGATGTGTGTTGGTGTTTGTATTGCTGTTCGTGCCATGCAAATGAGGGGGAGGGGGAGTTGTGCACTCGCATACCCTCCGGAGCAGGGGCAGAAGTGGAACAACAGCATCAACAACTTCGACCCCGTCACCGTCCTCTGAGTTACGATATAATCCTGCTCTTCAAGGCGCAGCGGAGGACGCAGGTACTCTAATGTATTATTCGTATTTATTTTAGATCACAGGAAGAAGAAAACCACATGCAAATCCGTTCTTGAATGATCATCCATCGGTTTTTGTTTTTTTTAGCGGTGCTGGACGAGTATTTCAATTCTTTTATTTCGGTCTAGAAAAATCACAATCAGCCTCCTCCGCCGGAACAACGGCCGCTGTCGCGTCGGCGCAAGAAGAAGAAGGACGACAGCTAAAAAACGTTGGAGCAGCGGCAGGTAGAGCATCTGTGCAGCAGACCCCAGAAGTGCTACGTACGGAAGACCTTTCGACGTTCAAGGCGGAACTACACGGCGCCAAGGGTCCGGAATTCCTTCAAGAACGAGAACCACAACAGCTGCATGATCCGAAGACAAAAAAACTCAACGCTGCACCACCACCACCACCGCAAGAGTTTTTACTTGGCCAGGAAAATGTTGATGCGCGGGAACATCTTCAACGTGGTCCAGATACAGAAGCTCCGCTGATGCTGGAAAACTACCTGCTGCGACCGCACTACCGCGTCCTGCCATCGTTTGCTACTCGACGACGCGAAGCAGAAGTAGATGTTGACCTAGGGCAACAAGACCGAACAATCGTCGGGAGTTGTACTAGTGCTGACCACACGGCGGCTGGTGATCTCAAAAACAATTACAACGACCCCGACGATATCTCACGAAAAAACTGTTTCACTGTGATGATTTTGCAAGTTTTGCATTACAAGTTTGTTCTGCATCACAGAGAAAATTTGCCATGCGAGATTCCTAAGGGAAAACAAAGCTAAAAAGCCATTGTCTTGCATGTGTAGCAAGACAAACACTTGTGAAATACATTTTCTGCATTACAAGTTTACAGTGAAACAGTTTTTTCTGGCGATAGACGAGCACCAGGAGCTAGTATCCTCGTCGTACTCGCGGGAGGTTTTCGTGACCACGGGAAGGAGCGGAAAAACCTGTTTCACCGTATCGCAAGAAAAAACTGCTTCACTGTAAACTTGTGATGCACAAAATGGAACACAGAAATATTTGTCTTGCTACACATGCAAGAAAGTGGATTTTTAGCAGTGTTTTCCCTTAGGAAGCACGCATGGCAAGTTTTCTTGGTCATGCGTAAGGAACTTGTAATGCAAAAGTTGCAATCATCCTTACAGTGAAACACCTTTTTCGTACGATACACCGTGCACGAAGAAGAATACCTGAACGACGAGCGACGGCTCTATTTCGAGCGGCATATGAACTGCAAAAGCATCGTACTAGTATAAATTGCATTACAAATTGGCTTAGCATTACAAATTCAATCTGTAATGCGGATTTGCCTATAACAAAAAGATTTGTAATGCATAAATGCAAAATTTAGTACGAGTGCGATACTTTTGCAGTGCATACGGCAGCAGAAGTACCAAATCCGCCCGCACGAAAACATCTGGTGCAGCTATGACAAGCACGGTTTTAATATGGCAAAAAACACAGGAGCACGATCTTCTAATTCTTGTCATCCGGCACTGCATCAGCATCCACACGTCGACCCAATCAATAACCGCGGTACAACATCACTATCCGCGCCGAAACTAGACGACTTTTGCGAGCGGTACAAAGACGCTTCGCTCATCTTGCGGCTCCGCAGCGGCCTGATCGCTGGGTTTGACACATTGTTCGGGATCGGTGGTTTAACGGGAAGCACAACAGTATGCATCGCAAAAGTATCGTACTCGTACAGTGCACATCAATCATGCATAGACAAATCTCCTTTCCAAGCTAAATCAGCATGACAAACTCAAACTCCTCCGTCTGTCATGCTGAGCGAAGTTGTACTGGATTTGTTGTTCCTAGTACGATACTGTTGCAATGCATAAGCGGCCGGCGGGGGACGAGAAAAAGTCTGCGAGAAACATCAGCAGCACAGCGGATTTTTTTTCAATAATCCACCTTCCGGTCTCATCCAGAGGTTTAAGCAGTTTCGAGCAAGAATGCACGAAAAAGTCTACGGATCTATCCTGTGCAAAAGTATCGTACTCGTACTAATTGCAGATATGCATTTACAAATTTCTTGCTCAAGTCAAAGCCGCATTACAAATTCTATTTCGCATGCTGGGGCAATTTGTCATGCGATTTGTACTAGTACGATGCTTTTGCAATGCATAGGATCCTTCAAACAGCAAAAGTTCGGAGTTCTGGAGAAAAACAACTCCTTGACGATGCCGCTCACGCACTTCTGCCCCAAATTATGCAAGAAAAAAACTTCTGTGTAGGTGCAAGTGTAAGTCTGTGATGCAGAAAATGGAAAACAGATACAACTGCCATGCCAGTTGTAGACACCCATGAAGTATATAGAAATCCTCTTTTCGTGTGTGTTTTCAAGTACTAAGTAGTACTAGTAGGAGTGCATGAAAATAAACTTTCTGTGTCAGCATAGTGCGGAGGAAGTTGTTTGTTGTCATGCTCTCTCACAACTCGAAGACAATGACGCCTCCACTAACACAGTTTTTTCCTCGGATACAAATGGCTTCTCGGCCATTACGTTTCCCGTTATTTTTCCGGTGTGGTAGATTATTTCGCATCTCCGTCCGGAACAAATGCGGACGATCCGGAAATATCAATTGCAAATATGTCTGGGTCTGGAACATGGCAATCTGTCATGCCAAATCTGAATCATACAAAAATCTGTGTTGCAGGATTACCAAAAGCTGGCCACTTTTCACCAAGTGGGTAGGGCGTTTCTCATGCAGAATAGGCATGATAGAGGTCTCACAGAATCTGTCATGCTAGGTTCTGCATTCCAGACCTCATGCGTCATGTAACACCTGCGTCACAAGTTTGCATCTTTCCAGACCCAGACATATTTGCAATGCATAGGAAAAATCTTTAACGGGAACAAGATTTGGATTTCTACCTGCTTCCTCGCCGCAGCGGTATCCAAGAGAAAAAGATGAAAGCTGCGTTTTGACGTACTCGTATTGAAAACATGAGTTTTTACTAAAAAGTGCGCATCTGTATTTTTATGTTGTACAGCATGCAACTTGTTGACGATTATGTTATGCGCCTGATGGTCATGGGCATGCTCTAATGATAGAAACCACGTGAGCTGCGAGAGGTAAACTTCTGTGAGGCACTTACTACCACCGAAAGAGCGCAGTTTTTTGTCTGCATACCCGGCGGCTGAAAATAGCGAACTGTCCAGCACACAACCGCTTTTCAGCAGCGACCCCCACTCGAGCAGGTGAGGAACAAGATAACCGTGCTGGTAGTTGTTCCTACTTCACTCAGCTTCTCACGACGGCGCCGCTCGGTGCTAGCAGCAGGACCTCCACGGGAGCTGCACCAAGAGCCCGCGACTTTTTCTCCTCCTGGGCTGCAACATCTAGGAATAATTCCGCGGACGACCAGTACGTCTCCCCTCCTGCGGGGGTCGTGCTGTCGTGCTGAAGTTGGATTTTGATTTGGAGTTGTACGCGAATATGACCACACAGTTCTTGTGCATTGCCTTGTAATTGAAAACGAAGCACTTACAGTTACAACATTTCTCGATAATTGAAGTAGTGTGCTCCTGTGATTCGAGACATTTAATGAGCACGACGAGATCAAGATCAAGTTGAAGACGCCTGCAATGGTAGTCTACTTACCACTGGTACTGTTGTGGTTTGATGAATATGGAAGCTCGTTTTTCGTCTTCATCAAGAGCAATGATGACAGCGCGACGGCATACGCGAAGAAAAATATTTGATGAAGTAAGTAAGTAATTATAAATGGAGTACGCGAGCAGGAACGTCGGCAGTAGATGGAGTAGTTGTAGGTCGGCTGCACTTGCTGGATACTCAAAACGCTGATGTTCATCTCCTGCTTGGGAACGTGCTTCTACTGTTTCCACCCAAGCGTGGTTCGTTGTTGCTGCGAAGATCATAAGAACTACAAGACCGCTTTGACAGGAGCTGTTCTCGCACGTGTTTTGGTTCTTTTCCAATTCGAATTCCAACAAGTACATAGCTTTAAAACTATATCCGTTCGAGCTGTTGGTCGCGGACGCAGGAGCAGAACTAGAAGCCACTGCACTACTTTGCATAACTTGCAGTACAACTCGAGGAACTCCATCACAAAGTTCGTTCTAATCCTCAATCGATTCTCCCATTACTCCTTCCTGACGACTACACTAGGGACAGTGACAGATGATCACGCGGCTTGGAGATGCTCTCGGATCCGTCAGTTCGACAAAGATAGAGTTTCTACTTCTACTTCTATCACACGACCATGATCGATCAACAGAGCTCTATTCACTACACTAGCCAGTACATAATCTATCAGCGACATCTCTTTGTCTTATTCTCGGCGTTTTCTTTCTTTTGTTTATCGGCGCAACTTGTAGAAGTGTCTGGTCGTACTGGAAAGACTTATGAATAAAAGTTATCATGTGTGTCTTTTCTCTGATGTTTTTCCGTCCATATGAAGATACTAGCATGTAGTTACAATAGCAAGATTGGAAAGAAAGTTTTATCACAAGAAGATGTCCTCCTCCTCCCAAAGTAACAAAACGACGTCGGGAAAAGCCAACCCCACTGATGCCAACCCGCGTGAACCCGGCGGAAAAAAAGGAGCAAAAGCGACCACGGCGACGTCTGGGGCATCCAAGAACCTCACTCGACCTGTCACCGTAGCACCCAGCATGGCCGCCCGCCGGGTGCCGGACTCCATGCGGACGAGCGCGGAGGACCGGGAACAAGGAACACTTGGGAGTAGAATGATGATGTCTTCCCGAGGACCGGTAACTGATATTAACGACGCTGCACAACAACCACCAAATAACGGCCGTGGACAACCTTTCTCATCTGCTAAAGCCGCAAGTAGCAGCAGTGCGGACAAGACAAACGACGCCAACAGAAGAACGCCGACGCCGAAGCAGGGAGACCAACGAAACGGACTGACTATGCATTGCAAATGCAAAAGCATCGTACTAGTAGAAAGCGCATGACAAATTCGTTCAGCATGACAAATGGAATTTGTCATGCTGTTTTCCCTTGGGATGGAAGTTTGTAATGCATGATTGCGATAATTACTACGAGTGCGATACTTTTATTTTTGCACAGGATACTGACTTTCATGTACGGGAAATGGGTGGACATGGAACGCTCGCTGGTCAAGGATGTGTTCCCCCCCGAAGTCGTACAAGAAGTGCAGGACCAGCTGAACGCTTACCGGGCGGAAAGAGTATCCTGTGCAAAAGTATCGTACTCGTAGAAATTGCATATGCATTACAAATTTTTTTCTCAAGGTGAATCCGCATTACAAATTTTATTTCTCATGCTGAGAAAATTTGTAATGCATTCATACGAGTACGATACTTTTGCAATTCATAAAGAGCCGCCACGGACCACTCCTACGCACAGGAGCTGCGGGAGCGCGAGCGGATCCAGGGGACATTGTGGCAGAAGAGGTACCAGGAGCTAGAGGAAGATTTCAAAACCCTGGACCTCGTGGCAAAAACCGATCTTCGAGAATTGCCATTGAAGGTGGGACAGGCCGCCAAATTGCAGGAGGGTAACCGAAGCATCAAAGGCAGGGAACAACAACAAGATTGGACCATTTTCTGTCCGGATAGCGAGACCCGGAATCGGTGTCTCACCTATCACACCCTGTTCGTCGACGCGCCCGCACTGCGTGGCATACCAGACGAGAAGTGGCGGGTGCCGGGACAGCCGGGCTATTTGGTTCCCAAGGGGATGGCCGGGCGGCGCATGAACAGCAGGGACGAGGATGTGTATGGACCGGAAGGAACTTCTACTACGAGTGTAATATTAAAGCAGCCACAACTGGATGGGAATGATCGCGAGAAAAGGAGCAGCAACGAACAAGACGAGGAAGCGCAGATAAACCCTGTTGACAACTTCAACTTCTCGCAGGTCCAGCTGACCGACTTGAAGGCGCTGAAGGTGAAGTTCACAGACTGGGCGCGGTGGGCGGTAAACAGCGGAGCCTGGACCATGACCAGGAGGGGAAAAAAACTGGCGTCGTTCGAAGAAGCGATCAAAAAGGATAGAAAGACAAAGCCGGTATGAAATAAAAACGAAATTTGGTCGTGGTCGTGTGTGTGTATTGCTGTGTCTGTTTATGTATGATGAATTCTCGACATTGCAACACTTCATTATGTGATTCGACCACGACAAGAATCTAATGCTTCGTGGTGTTGCGGTCTAATAAGGTGTGCAAGAAGATGATGAAAGACAAAGAGTATAGAGAGAGAGACGACCTGATGTCATGTGTGACTCGAATCCTGAGTGTGGTTCTTTGTCATGCTTGCATTTATTGCGAGTAGGGGACAACTTCGACTTCCTGATACGACACAGACAGACCCTGCTTTCGATTCCATACAACCCGGCAGCTCCTACAAATCATAATATGATGGAAGTCGACGACCAGTACCAGCAGCAGGGAGCGGAAAATGAAACTAAAGCCGCTGAGCACGACACAAATGCTCTAGCTCATGTTCATCCAGAGGACCTCCACCCCACAAGAAGGACAAGAGCTGTCCTGGGCGGGCAAGGACTAGAAAATGAAAACATGCAGAAAGAAAATCAGGAACAAAGACTGACAGCAGCGTCTTCATCCAAAGGGGACATTTATTCTTCCGACGAAGACGAGAGTCTGCCTCTGTGGCCTCCCCGGTACCTGCGTTACTCGTCTGAGGAGGAGGATTTAGATTTTACAAGCGAGGAGGAGACCTCCTCCGGTAGTGACGGGGACGAAATCTTCAGCGACGGGGAGGAAACGAGTAGCGACGAAGAACCTGCCGGGGAAGAGAATCAGGATATTGAGCAGGCCGATGTGGAAATGAATATTGACCCGGCGGCACAACCACAAGATACGAAGGTTCAAGACAGTACTTCCGCTTTTGTCTACATTCGGAACAAAACCACGGGGAAGACGAAGGTGATAAAGCGCGGGGACCTTCACAAGTATTGTCCGAACTACATAGAAGATCATAGAAAGATGTTGACTCGAGGTGAAACTGCAGCTGCCGTGAAGAAGCCGAGGCCAACACGCGAAGAGGTTGTTGAGGCTGCAAAACGCGAGAGAGCGAAGCGGGAACAGGAGCTAACCTATCAAATGTAAAAATGTCTGGGTCTGGAAGATTGCGAGATTTGTCATGCATATTTCGGATCACGCAAATGGCGTCTGATGCAGGCGAAAGCATCACAGGCTTGATGCACGCCTCATGATGCCTGTCCCGCATGAGAAACTTCCTACTTGCGTGCCAAGAAATGGACAGCTTTTGGCGCTCATGCAACACAAATTTTTGTGTGTTCCAGAGTTTGCATCACAAGTTCCAACCCTTCCAGACCCAGACACTTTTACATTTGATATAACACGGCAGCAGCGGATGTTCGCGATTTTTCAAAACATGTATGAAACTGCACAACTTTCCAGCCTTCCTTTCAACATTTGTCATGCAAAATACCGAATCCACGTGACGTCCACCTCTTGCCTCTAAAATATTCTGCGCATGACAAGTTTTGAATGCCCGAACAGAACTACGATCCATGTCCGGATTGGTCATGCAAAAGCTACACCTGTGGGCAGCTTGTGATGCTGCTCATGCTCTACAAAACAGGGGGACGAGGGGGACGGGATGTGCAGTCTGATAACATGCAGAGTGTGGAACAGGATTGCGCACAGTGCGTGGAGAACACGCAGCTCTTCACGAAGGTCCCGCTGGCACAGTTACTCGTCGCGCAGGAGCGGCTGGCGGGAACGGAAAAATTACCAAACAACACGGTGGTGAACCAATTTGGGAGCTACGTGAAAAACGACGACCCGGGAAAGCGGAGTTTGCAGGACAGACAGCGGACAGCACAGGAAAAAGTGCTCCCGTTGCCGTATGATTTGTCGCAGCGGCACTTGGACGCGCAGCTGCACGACCGCAACCGGGAACGCTGGAAACCGACCTACTGGTCTTTGGATGAGATTCACGAGAAGGCAGCGAGATTTACGGAGAAAGTGGTAGAGGTGGAAATGGAACAAGTAGTAGATGCAGGACGAAAGAATCAAGTTCAAGGTGGACCACCTCCTCGTCCTGTGGAGGACCACATGAACAATAAATCTCGTGCAGCTCATCTCCTGTCGGACGGAGAGCATTCACGTTCTGCGACTTCGGCTGCCAACCGCCACATCGTCGCGGGAGACACGGGACGACGGGGCTTGCTGTCAAGAAGTGACGCAGTATCCAAGGGGAGAAACGTGTCTTAGTGATAGAATTTGAAGTCAATGATCTATAAGTAGATGCACAGTTCATCGCATTGATGCCCCAGGAGACCACGAACGATTACGATTAGTAGGGGCCAGGCTCCTCGTTGCACCGTGGCCCGCACGGTCATTTGCGATGTCAGAATTATAGGAACACGGCACGAACGAAATAAGCAAGACACGACTTTTTTCTGTAATATACAGGGAATAAAGGTGACCAGTGTCAAGATCAACTTGTACGAAACGGTAAAGAGAACGACGACGACGACGGGAAGATCTTACCAGGTGGCACCACCTGCGTGCGCAAACTCTTTCCCTTCTACCACACCTTCGAAATATCCGTCGACCCCGTTTCATCTGGGAAGAAGAAGTTCCTTCCTGTAGTCGAGAACCTGATCGATGAAAACACCTACGACAGCCAGCGGAACCGCGGCGCCAAGAACGCGAGAATCGTCCGCGTTTTCGAGCGGAACTATTTTACGAAGGCGTTTCTGTGGGATGTGCGGATGGAAGACTTGGCTGCGTCGTGTACTTCGGCAACAACATCGGGGATGACGATGGACCACGACAGTCGTGTCCGAAATAATGGGTCATCCAGCAGTCGTTCTTCAACAGCCTTTGCGTTGAGTGCTGCACTGGGCAACGGAACAGGTGGACCTAACACGTCACCAACAACTTCCGGACGTCGGATCACCGCAAACTCTTTGCCGGACCGGGAGCGCAGACTCAGTGAGTACCCGGAAAACCTCCCCGCGGGTCCCCCTTTATGACGCGCTCAGGTGTTACAATGTCAATCGTTGCAATAGAATATGGAAATCTGTGATGCAAGAGTGCATGATATAGCCAACTTTCATAGGATCGCGCAGGACAAGTTCCGGCGCCCCAAACCCCACTGCAATTATCTGGCGAAATTTGTATTTCAGAAAGTGGAACGCCCTGCGAGTCTGTCATGCTCATCCCGCAAGACAAACCTCAGTTTCTGTGGTAACCGATCTGAGATTGTAACGCCTGAGCGAGTTATACCCTTCGCCGGTGTTTTCTCCCGGCCCCATCAAGTTTGATCCACCTCCCAAACGACCGCCGTGTAGTACGAGCTGCAAGAACCCCAGCACCCCCGCAAGAACAGATTCCTACAACAAAAAACACCTGGAACACGACCTTGCGGACGACCCGGGGTTTACGAATGGGATTCTTCCCCCTGAGTATTTCGAGGAAGACGAGAAACAACTGCCGTGTGGGGCTCCCTTTATACCTATTAGGAACAAGGACGGCACGATATTATTGCGACAGACACGACAAAACGTGCATCCGAGCTGCAGCCGCGAGGAGGAAGAGAACAGCCACCATCAGCAGCCTCGCCCAGCAGAAGATGCGACTTCGGGAGGAGGGGAAGAAGAAGTGCTGCGCTTGGTTGACTGTCGGGGAAATGACGTAGTTCGCGCCTGGGATGACGATTTCATGCACTTCGAAGACCTGCCTCCCGAGGCACAGGAGCTGGTTCCCATGCCGGAGATTCTTTTTGCTTCGCTGGGTCGTGGAAATAAGAGAAAGCGACGCAGAAGTGGGGCGTCATCTCCTTCTTCGTCCGAAGAGCGCTCGTTCTCGTCGGATCGCAGTAGCTGTAGTAGTGGTTCCGAGAGGATGGAGCAGAAGATCAGGAAGAAAAAACACAACTACACAATTGACAAACTTCCGAAGTTTGTGTTGCCAGACCACATGAAGATTCGCGAGTTCGGAAAATTGAAGGGCCAGTTTGGGTATGAAATTCGAAAAATCATACGTCGGATGGGTTTCAGGACTGAGAAAACCAAAAGAAAAAGAACCTGTAGGTACTTCCTACTCGTCGTGCAGTTTGTCGTGCATCAAGGGGTCGCTCGGCCCGCGCACCTTTGCAGAGCCTGGCGAGGAGCGCCGTTCTTCCATCTGGTATATATAATTGTGCACCATAAACAAGCAAAAGCAATGCTGCTCGTGCATGATGCTCGGAGGTGCTCATATGTCGGTGTGAATGAAAAACAGAAGTTGATAAATCCGGGTCATTCTTGTTTTGCAGACTTGGAAGCAGCAGGCAAGCAATGAGCTTTTTCTTGTCTCAGCATAAAAAGTTATTCAACTTCCAGTTTTCTGTCCGAGACGAACCTCCCCGCCGTGTTTGTGATGCATATCGACCCAGCACCACCTTCGGCTTCCTCCTCGGCAGCCTCTGCCGGTGGGAACGCGTGCGGATGGGAGAGGAGATCGGACGTACTGTTTCGTAGTGGTACGAAGCAAAGTAGTTGTAGTACATCGTCAGGGGCGGGTCTCAATTTTCCAAACAACCGGCCGCGGCGGTGAAGCAGGTTGCGACCTCATCAAAGTCAGGCTTTTTACGATGTCCGATACAAAACATTCTCGGCTCCTGCAAGTGCCTATGTCGTGACAAGCACCAGTTTACAACGAACAGCACAGGTGCCCGAAGATGCGTCCTGTGATGCGTGAACCCCCCGTGGTGCAATAACTTGTAAACAAATTAAGTGCGATGCGAGGGCAATCATATGCTCTTTTTATTTTCAGCAGATCAAGAAGTCTCGAAGAGAAGTAGATTGACATACTTGCAGCTGAACAGTAATTATTGGCTCCTTGTTCATCTTTAGTCCTTACATCCTGTTCCTGATCTTCATGTGGACCTTTGATGGTGGATCACGAAAAAGTGCGGATCATGTAAAAAACGCAGATCTTTACCGTGACCGTGAGCTTTAGAATCTATCAATGTCATGAAAACAAATGGGATCACCAGCTGGCCGTAACACTGAGAAAAAAATTCGATGTTGCGTTGAAAAGTTCAAAAACAAAATCTTTTGGCCGACTTGTTCCAGCGAGATCGAGAAACAGAAAAATAGGAATTTCTGTGAAAGATGGAAGATCTAGCCGTGATCAAAGCACCAGGCAGGCGGGTTATTTGTACTCTTCCCAGAATGATGAAAAATAAAGATTATGGACGCATTCGCATCAACGCATCCAGAAGTCAAAACCTGATGTGATCGCTCCTTCATGATGACTCACACCCTCGAGGACCTGCCACAGGTACAGCTGAACTAGAAAGAGTGAAGTTTATTTCCCTGAGTCTAGGTGTAGGTGTTCTCTATCTCTAAGTAGCTTATTGTGCCAGTCGCCAGTTTCCAACTCGATAGGTTCAGTTTCAGGTTGACTTCCCGATGAGGACTGGCGGTGTTTCATGAAAAACACAGGAGAAGGTTTACGAAATTAAAAACCCAGCCATGACGGGAGCATCTTCGCGAAGACCTCCGCAGGACAAAAATCGTCCCTCCGCGAGAGTAGGAGCTGCTTCACGATTGACCACCCTGCTGATAGGTGGCAACAAGTCCGCTAGTACCGCCCTCGACAACAAAAGCAAGACGACCCAGAAACGAGGAACGAAAGCAAAAACAGTTCCTCCCAGCACGAGAAATAATAAAGCCGCTAGTGTAACCTTCGTCGCTCCGGGGGACCTAATTTGCCGGAGTACCGAAAATACGTCTTTGTTGAAGGGAATCGGGATAACCGAGCAAGTAGCGACAGGACTTGCTGGAGAAACTACAACGTCCGCCTCGAAGAATAAAACAGAGCTCCGGGCGGCCGCTTGCGGGAAGCTGAAACAGGTTTCGCAATTGATTTTCGTTGAAACGGACCGGCATTTTGCGCTCACAGTGGGCGATGTTGTCGTGGGAAGGATCGTTTCGGTGCTGAACGGGAAATGGGCTGTGGACGTATAACTTTTTTTCAGTGCTTGATTTGTCATGGGGTTTTGGCAATAGGAGCGTGTGAGCGTCCACCTGGAAGTGGTCTGCTGAGACTGTTTCTTGCTCTCGAAAATTTAGTATCATGTTCACATGGAATTCGCACGAAAGGATATACAACTTTGACTAGGAAAGCAAATCATAAAGACCAAGGTGAAAGGACGAAAAAGCAACAAGTTGTATATTATACTTCCATTAGAAACTTCTACAACCACACCTCCAACAGGTCGGGCAGCCGCGTTTGGCCACCCTTCCGCTGGCGGCCATTCACCTGCCGAACAACGAGCAACGGCGGCGGACGGCGGAAGATTTATTGAACATCCGGGATTTTTTCAAGGAAAACGACCTCATCGTCGCGGAAGTGCAGCGGATTCTGCAGCCGGATTCCAGTTATGCAATGCAAAAGTAACGTACTAGTAAAAATTGCATTACAAATTGACTCAGCATTACAAATTAAATTTGTAATGCGGATTTGCATTAGCAAAAAGATTTGTAATGCATAAACGCAATTAGTACGAGTACGATACTTTTGCACAGGATTCCAGTTCCACCGCGGGAAGCCAGCAGGAGCAGATCTTTTTGCAAACCCGGTCCGCGAAGTATGGGCTGCTTCGGAACGGCATCGCGGTGGACCTTTTGGGCCGGAACTTTTCCAACACCGGTTGTTCATCGTCCTCAACTACTTCATCGCAACTATCGCGGAAAAACCCGAATCTTCTCTACGGCAGCGACATCTTGGGCAAAAGCCGCATTGTGAACGTCAGGTGTAAGGTTCGGAATTCATCTTGTGACGAACTCGTGTTAAGGAGCACAGCATCAAGTTGTGGCGCAGTAGAGAAGAACCACACACCAAGAACCGAAACATCAACGACCGCCAGTCTGCAGCTGATCTTTGGCGCAAATGGAGTGGTTTTTGTCGGCGCCAGCCCGTGGCACGGAGTACAACAACGTGGGGAAGCAGGCGGAGACGACTCATTGCATTTGGCGATTGACACACTGAATTTTTCCTCGCACGCACGTAACGCAGACACAACTGATGCTGCTGCAGCTGGTGGAGTGACAAGTAAACACAGGACTGCTCTGTCCAGGACTTGTCTACAAGCGATCGCGCTGTACCGAAAGGCGCTGGAGGAGATTTCCACTCAGGCCTCTTCCAGCAGTTGTGCAAATGGACGAAATGTAGGGATGGAGGGTGAGAAAATCTCTTTGAAGAGACTGGAAGAAAGAGTGGAAGAAATTCAGCGACAGGGATGAGTTTATTTAGACTTGATGTGGGCTTGCCGACGGGATGTTCAACATGCTTTTTTTGGCGAGCGTGATCGCTTCATCATGATAGATAAGAACGTACAACATTTATTGTGATACAAATCAGCATCTGAGACAACCCAACACAACGTCCCTCCTGCAAAGATACGGCCTCCACACGACAACTGCAAGCACATTTCTTGATGAGTACTCTGCATGTATATCCATGTGATGCGGACTTGCGCTTGGAGGACTCACCTCTATAAAGCGATGATGGAGCTACGACGAAAGCAATCAGCTATAAATGGAGAAATTAGAGAAGGTGAGGGACCACGCGCGTCAGCGCGGAAATAGATAATCCCATCATGGCACGGCACTTTCCAGGTTAACCACACTGGTCAGCCTCCACCATTGTGTTCCGCATCAATAGGTCCACGTGCAGTTTTTACACGTCAAATTTGTGATGTTTGTTGTGGACGACCACAAACACAAGTAGCAATGTCACGCGAGTTTCTTTTGATTCTTTTGTGTGGAGGACCAGTGGTCGACTTTATCCTTGATGATGTTCACAATCACGCGTCGCATACCAAGCCGCGTTATTCTTGTTCTCTGGGATTTGCAGAGGCTAAGATCCGGATGGTTCCCAGGGGAAAAAAGTTTTTGTTTTGTTCATGCAGCGTTTTCACCAAGTCTCACTTTCAACTTCGAGTACAACTTAACACTAATTGAGATCTCAACGAAATGGTCGTTGAGTCTGGACCTACCTGTTTTCTTGCCAATTCCACAACTACTGATGTCCGCGGCAAGAATTATGTAAAACCTGTATGTAACGTGGTAGAATATGAAACGCATCAAGCTATGGTGAAGTTGACGTGCGGAGTTGGTCCCATTGTGGAATAAAGCACAAACATACAGAAAAACGATCAATTTTGATGCCTTGTTTCCACCCCAAAACTACCCAGGGCGACTATCTAATTTAGAGACGATAGGGAACTGTACGGTAATCTATTCTCTACCGGACGAGGACTTACTTAGTTTGGGCTTTTATTTTAGCTTTCTTTATGTCTAGAGTTTCAAGTCTGGTTGAACAAATTACGGAATTCCCTGGTGTCTTGAATAGATTAGTGTCCTGTAGTTTATTCCTCCAGCAGTGGTTAGAAAGTTGCTTTCGTTGATGCTCTCTAGGATTAATTCAAGATTGTTCCCTGCAGATTGTGTTGTACTTGCCGCAACATCTTTATCTACGAGAAAGCTGGAGTTTTGCAGTTTTCGACCCGATAGGCCGTGCTTCTTTTCGACAAAGTGTTTGTTGTTCTGCTGGTACGATGATTCTTGCAGATATAAAGATTCTTGCAGTTGTACATGGTTTTTTTTTCCAACCACGGATACCTAGTCGAGCTGCGCAAGCTCGATTTGTTGCACAAGTTAGTATCTGATGCTGAAGCATATAATTAATCGGTATAAAAATGATTCTTGCACTGGCCGGAGCCCGGCTAACACGATTGATTTCGCGTGCCGAGATAGTAGAAATACTATACAGTTTTTCATTTATAAATATTACGAATTTGATTATAAATACGACAGCAATAGTACAAGAAATAGAAATACCGAGTGGAGTAGACGAGGGCGAGGCCGATATGGGCCCAAGGCGAGAATACGACGAGGCGAGAAAACAAATATCCACGAGATTTTTCGTATTTTGTTTTACTTAGAAGTACGTGCCTAGTGTGCGGTACAGAAGATATGAATTCCATATGTTCTGAGCACGTACAACGGTAGCGAATATTTAGAGCAAGAAAAACGAAAAGAGCTTGCAGACCACTGTAATTAAGGCAAAATATAAAAATTATCGGCGATTGAAACGAAAAAAAAACTTTTCAACAAGCTTGGTGATTGAATCAAACTTTAGGTTCCAGTACAGAAGGTGTAGTACTACTGCGTAGCGGCCGAATTATACTTGGCTGCCCTTGCGGGACCACCAACAGCTTCACAGAGCGAGTTTGTATTGTAGTCACATGACTGCATATTTGATATCCAACAGTGGGTGAAGGTGAAGCTCAACGAATCTTCACAGGAACAACCAGAACGTCGACCAGAACAACCGCGAGCTGCCACGAGGAGAACTCAGTGCAATTTTTGCAAGGTTTAAGCGTGCGTAAGTAACGCTTTGCTTATTTCTACCACCGAAGTGAAGGCGGTCTTCGCGCGGTTGGAATAAATTAATAGTAGATAATTCGAGAGCTGCTGTGCCGGTGCACGACGACCGGGTGCAGCTGTTTCCGGATCACTTCTAGACGACCTCCAGCACGACCACTACACCGTTATTTTTAGATGATACCATCCATGAGGAGTGCAGTGTTGCGGAGCGAAACACCAGAAGCTGTTGAAGCATCTAGAGGGTAAAAGAAGTGAATAAGCACCAAGTTCGGTTGGCGGCCCCTGTGCCGCTCGAACCTGTTTCCAGAACTCCTCGGTTTACGGTGTGTGAACATCAATAATCGGAGGAACTTCATCGACCTGCACGCCGATTCATCTTCCTTGTTCGCCCGCGGTACAGAAGAAACAAGAGGGCGGAACTACAACAAGTGGATCCTTTTATTAGGCGGCGGTACTGCGGCTGCGCTTCCTTGCTACTGACGGCGGTTGTTTTGGACTTCTTCTATTTGAAACTACTACTTCTTTCTGTAGGGGCGTAGAGGTTGTACTACAACTACTATCACCTTCATGCCGATGAAGAACTACATGTCAACACCTTCTGCGTGTAAAAACCGCTGTGGAATATTGAGAGCATAAGATTTTCTTGGAATCGAGGAGCAGCCGACATCATGACAGCATTACGACAAGAACCAAGTGAAGACTAGGAGTATATTCTACGTCATTTTCTACTTTTTTTCGCGTTGGGAGAAGCAGAAGAACGAGCACTAGTTTTCGTTTTTCCTCCGCGAGAACCAAAAGGAGCCATTTCTGCTGCTCTTACTTTATTTGCGGACAAGTTTTGGCGGGAAATAGCCCGGCTGCACTCCAGAAGAACTTTGGACGCTGTCACAAGTGCTGTCATAGGCAGTAGAGCAGGCGCAGAAAGAGAAACACCAGTACGCTCAAGATGCGTCGTGGAGCGGGAGGCCATCAGATGCGGGGTAGTACGAGCACTACTTCTAACCATACCTCGAACACAGCAGGGACAACGCCATCTCCCGGGAAAATGAACGCGGCCGCGGGCCAGCCGACCCAGCACCACCCGCAGCTCCTCAACGAGCAGTACAACATCATGACCCAACAGCACTCTCCTGCACAACAGGCAGAATTTGCGTCCGCGTTGCGGGCGGGGGCAGCAGGCAACATGCAGCCGCAACACTCGCCGGACATGGAGCACGGCGAGGTGGTGGAGTTGCGCCGGCGCTGCGAACAGGTGCTCGCCCAACTGCGGGAACAGGAAGAAAAATTGGGTCCGAGTTCTGCGACGAGTGCAAATTTTAGTACTTCTGCCACCGAAGGTGTTGGTGTTAATATCAAAAATCCGGATCGCCAGCAGCTGGACGAAAGCACAGTCGCCTCCGGCATCATGCAGGGGCTGCTGGCAGCGGGGCATACTATGCAGCAACCGCAATACAACATGAACAATGGCGGCGGAGGGCCACGGAAGAATCACTTCGGTCAGATGAATCATGATGGTCGACCTGGTATTCTGCCCCCGGGTATGTCTGGAATGCACCGCAACAACGGGCAACTCATGACACGTGGCGGGGAAGGAGCATATAATGGCGCCTCTTCCGATGGCAGGGCGTCGACCATGATGAACACCTCCAGCTACGAAACGTCCGATCGGCGCATCCAGGAAGTCTTGACCACGCACCGGGAAAATAAAGAGCGGGGGTTTTACGAATCAAGTACAACTTCTAGTGCAGGTTTTTACAACAATGAAGAGCAATATCATCTTCAGTACAGCGAGCGAGCCGCTGCTGGTGCTGCACCTGGAGCAGTAGTGCGACCGTCTTCCTCCTCCACTCCACCCCCGGCCTTGGAACAAACGCAGTCCGAGTACCATTATCCGCGGGACAGAAGCCGTGTTCCACGGCAAGCTGGTGCGCATGATCATGCTGAGATTTACGAGCAGTACAACCCTGGTGGAGCACCAGCTCCTGCAGCAGGAGGAATTATACCTCCAGGAGGCACGATGCACCGTGCCCTGACCGACCTTGGCACGACGCCTACGGGAGGTGGGCGTGCTCGACTCGAGGACCTACGAATGCTATCAGCGCAGCTATCCCAGCAACAACGGCGCGTATCCAAAACAGAATTGACTACTGCTTCACGACCGTGATGAACTTCCATTTGATGTGTACTTGCAGAAGATGAACATGCACGGAAGCTGAAGGGGTCTTTTGTGTTTTTATTCCGGTTCATGATTTTCATTGTCTTTTTCATGAAATGTGTTGCAAGAAGGCCGAAACGTTCATGTTCGTGTATGTAAAAATGCGCTTTGTGCAAAGGCGTCACAGCCGTGGAACAGTTTTTTTCTATGGATAGGGCCAAAACTACGTTTCCCCCACAACCAATGGACAACCCCAGCAAGAGAAGTACTACCACGCAAGCGGGTCGTACGATCGCGGCCACAACGGGCACCACACGTCGCAGCACAACATCCGCGACCGTAGCTCTGCTTCTGCTGCTTCCGACAGGATCAGCAAGTATGGGGCCGCGCGGCCGGGTTCATCCCAGGTAGATCAGCATTACGATAACGGTCCGCCCCCGGGAATTGACCCGTACATGTCCTCCTCTACCAGCCAGCGCGTCGCCATGTCTACCGGTACTACTAGGCAACATCAACATTATTCCGTGCCCACCTCTGCTCCGCCACATTTGGCAAGTCCTGCGACGCCAGTACTGGCAGGAGGTTCTCAACAAAATACAACTTCCGGACGAGGAGAGGCGGATCATACAGGAGGTGTCGCCCACGACCACTCGCGTGTGATAGCAGGCTCTATTCCTGCGAGACCCACTGGAGCTGCCCCGCCCCCGCGAGGCAGTGCTTACAGCACCCAGACCGAACAGCCGCCCTCTCAGCCAACCTCGTTGCACCACGCGAGTACCGCGACACCCAACACGAGCGCCCGTTCGGGTTCCATGACGGTGTCGAGTTACCGTGGGTTTGACCCACTTTCCCCGAACGGGGGTTCGAACCCCGCCTATACGGCCACCACGGTCGGGGTCCCGGTGCTAGGCGGGGATCAGCAAGTAGGGCTTTCTCGTCGCGAGGCGGAGCAGACGGAACGACGGGATCATGATCTGGATCATCGTGGGCTGCGCGGCGACTACACTGGGAACAATTACAGGACTTCGAATACTACAGGAGCAGCCGCGTTGTATCACGGCAACAACGAAGATTTTTACAAAGCGGAAATAAAGCTGCAAGAACGAGAATATGACCCGTCCGCCGGAAGGCGGCCCCCGGGAATAAACGGCTATCGAAACCACGACGTTGATATCAATGGGAAAACTAGCGTCGACCGAGACCACTACAAACTCGTCCAGCAGTTGCATCAAACTTTTTCAGCAGGCACTTCTGCCTACCAGGACCATCCAGAGCGAGGACGAGACGAGGACAACTTTTTGCGCCAAACGGGAATTACAACGACGTCGAGGGAAATAAAGAACACCCGCGGAGGACACCACGACCGCCCCTTGTCGCACACCGACTACGCGAGCAGAGGTCAGGACGACGTATCCTGTGCAAAAACATCCCTACCCCAGAGTTGTCATGCAGATCTGCAAGCACAGGAGCATTTGTAATGCGCATCCCCATGGGAGGCATTTCCCATCGTGTTTTGGAACTTGTAATGCTGTGAACAGGATATTGAGGAGATGGATTTGTTATGGGGCTTCCCTTTTTAAACTGAATTACACTACAGCCTGCAAGAACTTGTCATGCGTGGCTCCCAAAACTTTAAGGTTTGTGTTGCAAAATCCCCATCTTGACTCTGGGGTGGGGACGTTTTTACAAATGATACGACGAGGAGCTTGCTTACTTCGAGCGGCAGCAGGACTTCGTCGGCCAGGTGTATAGAAATAACACAAACCGCAATGGAGGCCATGCAGCTGAAGATGCAACGATGATGGAGGTGCCGGGCGGCGGCAACAGAAACACCAACTCGCTCAATGAATCACGTCGTGGTCCTCGGGACCGCCAAGCAGAAGTAGATTTTTACCCGCCAGAAAGGACGTCGAGGGCCGGCGCGCCGTTGGTGCAGCAGATGGACATCGCACATCGTGGGTCCACTACCTCGCTTGTTCCTGTCAATCAGCGCAGCCAAAATAGTAATCAACACGCGCCGTTGTTCAAAGGCGCAGGGACGAGGTATGAGAGTGCACAACACCCCGTTCCCTCTATTTGGAGAGATTTTACGGCATGAGAAACACCAGCGAGCAACGAGACGGTGCATAACAAGTTCCTGGGCCATATGTAGGACTTATTGCAACTTCGAAGTTTTTCATGCGAGCAGTGCAGCCACGAGGTAGCGCAGCGTAGGAATGGTATATATAGGATTTTGCATGACATCAAGTGATGAGGGGAAGGGGGAGTTCTTGTGCACTCTCATACGAGGGGGCAGAATGACTACGGCGGAATAAGAACAGGCAAATCTTCGTTACATCACGACCCCGCTGCTGAGCATCATCGTGCAGTAGATGAAGGTCAGTTTGACTTTTTCCACTCTTTAACTGCGGGCTCTGCACCAGCTGGAGGGAATAACAAGAAGCTCCTGCACCAAAAGAACGGCTCCAAGTTGAAGGGAGGCGGTTCAGTACATGGCGGCCAGCGTGGTCAGCACTCTTCTTCGCAGAAGGGCGTGGGAAAACCGTCGCAGATGAACTATTCCTACGAACAGCAGGGTAGTATCAACATGAATAAAAGCAAAAATAAAGGACCACAAGTTCATCTGCACCACCAGAAAACGAACAATTACAACACCTCTGGCAACAACAACAAAACCGTTTCCCGGTCCACCAAACAAGCGGAAAAAGCGCTCTCGTCCTACATTGTGTCTTCTGCCGCAGCGGAAAGAAAGCAAGCCATTCCGATTGGGAAACAGAAACAGTTTCCGGTAATTCTCGCCGACAACTGCGATTTGTGCCTCGTAATGCACCACATCACCGACATGAAGCTGCTGCCCGACGAAATTTCGGAGATTGCGAAGGCTTTGGAGCTGAGCAAAATCGGGGTCATGAAGTTCAACGACATTGTATCCGCAGTGGAATTTGTCAAGCGGGTGGAGAATGTCTCGAAAAAAATTTTCGGGCAGTTTCTACCCTTGTGTGACGGGATAGGAGGCGGCGGGGGAAATTATACGACGCAGGGGTCGTACCCGTACCAGAAAAATACAACTGCTGCTCAGGACTCTCACTCTGCTACAGTTCCATCTTCTTTCGCGACGAATAGTGAAGATCAAAGTGGTGCTCAACCTGTCGGAAACACGACATCGAATGACACACAAGCAGAACGGGCAAGTACTCGGCAGCAAAATCTCCCGCCGTTTTTGCAAAACTGGATTGATACTAACTTTTCCATCACCGGCCTGCCTTCCATGCCTACTTCGTCCAACGAGGACTTTGCTTCTGGAACTACCGGCACGACAGCAGCACATCTCTCTGCGCAGAAAAACGAACTGCTATTCGAGCTTTGGCGACGGATTGTGAAAGAGGAATTAATTCAGGCAGAGTGTCTGTACGAGAATTTTTCCCTGGACGCGCTCGGCGAGTTGAATTGTTTGGAGGGAAGTTCTTCAAATACTGCCGGCGGGAAGAGGAATCAACACTCTGCTTCTTATCATCGGGAAGATAACGACAGTGACGGCGGGAGGCAGGCCAATGTGTCCAGCAAGTCCGGCATTAAGGGGGATCATCATGTAGTGGGAGGCAATGAAGAAGAAGAACCAAGTTCATTTCAACACGGCATCAACAACGAAGGAAAAAAAGCCCCGAATACGGACTATGTTCCTCCTGCAGAGAACGCGGATTCCCTGTGGGCAAAGCGTGATGACCACGTGCAGCTCACGGACAGTGCGAGTTTTAACATTTGCCGCGACGACCAAGAGGATCATGGCAACTACCTCGGTACTATGAACAATGCAGAGGAGCGCCAAGAAGTAAAGGAAAACGGAGAAGAACTTCTACCCTGGGCAGCTGCTGCTTTACTCCCGGGCACGACCGCAGCGACTGCTGAGGTTGTGACGCTGGATAGAAGTTCTTGTCACTACGGACACGGTGCGGCTGGTAGTTCATTCGAAGAGGAGAGCAGGGATTCAAACAAGATTGATTTCCCAGATTATGATCAAGATCACGACCACGCCGACGACGACAATCTGTGGGGTAAGCGTGCGGATTCGAAATCTAGCATTCACGATGGACACCTTCATGCTAGTGCGACGATGAGAAACAGTAGGAACAACAGCAGTCATCTCGAGTCGCCCACTCTGCCCCTGGTGTTATCTTCTCCGCCTGGAAGAACAAGTGAACTCAACCGCCGGCCAGACCCCCCTACCACAGCCCCACCGCCGTACAGCTCGATCCTATCGCAGCAAGACATTCCGTCGCCCATGACCAGCCCGGCGATAGCGCTACGGCGGCCGAGTGCAGAAACGCCGGTCGACCGTGTAGAGGATGATGATGCTGATGCCGGTGGTTCAGGTTCTTCTCCCATAGTTGCTACTGGTGAAATAGCAGAACATGATGGAAAGAATGACAACAGCGCGGCAGTTGTACCAGAAGGTGGCCTTGGCACCGACGAAGAATACCTTAGTGCGATGAAGGAGATGAACAGCACCAGTCTGAAAGACCAAATCATTTCCTCCGCGAGAGAGCTTCTACCCAGCGCTACGTCGAACACAGCAAATAAATCGCAAAACGCCACAACGATGGGGCCCAACATCACGCAGAAAAAACCAAACTTCCGGATGTGCGGTATTTTCGTGCGCGATGCGCACGTGGGGCACAAGCAAGGGAACGCTTTTTTTGTCATTTACCCGGAACCCATCATCGACCCAATGCTGCTTGACATGGAGGAGGAGACGGCGCTGAACAAGCACGACAGAGTTCTGCAACAAGACTCCTTGAGGAGCCAGAATGCTGACCAGGAAGATGTCGAAGAAGATGCGTCTTCTGCCGCTTCCTCTTCTTCCTCCAGCACTAATCTGATGGAGTACCACCTGGAAAAGCGGGCGAAGTTACTGCACGGCTTACTGGAAAACCCGACCCAATTATCCACAGAAAAAAGTAGCCTTTTGCACATTCAGCAACACAGAGTTTTTGTTCTGCATGATGCCATCAAGGAGTTTTTACAATGCGGAGATCATAAGGGAAAGCATGCATTTCAGGCATGACAGAGACGGTCTGTGTCGCGTGTCCCGCAACACAAGGCGCTTTTTTGTCTGCATAAAGATCCACGTTTCTGCGACGGAAAATGATTTTCACCTTCCCCGAAGATCTGTACAGCCAGATGATGCGCCTCCGGCTGTTTGACCGGCACTTGGAAACCCGAAAGGAGATCTTGAAAGCCCGGGCTGGGGAAGAAAAAATCATGGCGTTGCAAAACGAAGTGAATCAGCACAGTGGTGATCAAAATGGGGATGAGCAAATCCGAAGGCAGAACAACAAGTCCGTTACCGAGCTAAACGAGGAACTCGAAATTGCGGATTCGGGGCACCGCCCGTGGGTTCTCGGGGTCTGTGAAAAAGACCGACCCAGCAAGCCGGTGGATTTATTGTCCAGCGGGCAAAACGAGAATTTGCTCGCGAGACTGCAACAAGACCCGGAGTTTCGAAACCGCTACCCGACCGCTCTGGGGGCCGTGCCCGGGTGCTGTAACGAGAAATTATCAAATGCAAATATGTCTGGGTCTGGATCTGGAAGACTGCGAGACTTGTCATGCTTGTCTGGCATGACTCTGGACTCTGTGTTGCGTGGCCACAAACAGCTCCCTCCGCCTGTCATGCAAAAACGCAGCTTCCTATGCGGAATACGCAACATCACAGCGCGACGAAGAAACCTGTCATGCTTCACGGTGCATTACAGAGTGCTGTAGTATTCGCTGAGCTGCATTACAAGTTTCCAGACCCAGACATATTTGCAATGCATAAAAATGGGTGGAATACTACTTGTGTCCCTCAACGTTTTCTGCGGTGTCGCTCGGGAACTTGTTTTTCAGCTGGTTCTCGCACAGAGGGGGCATTCGGGGCGACTGGCTCTGCGTTCTGTCGCACAGTGGCGTGAAAGGGGACGAAGCTAGAAATGCTTCGGGTTCGGGGAAAAAGAACGGTGGAAACAACAATAAAAACGCGAAGCTGTTGTTCGATTCCAAGGTCGCACCCCCGGGGATTTTGAATCGCCCCAAAGTGGCGTCGAAACCGCTAGAAGTAGGGGAAGAAGTAGTTCCTGGGACCACTACTGCAGTGACCACCGCAAACAAGAACAACGGCGAAAATTTTGACAAGAAAAGCACTAACGGGGAGCAAGTCGTATTGGAGAACGAAATCGATAAGTGGCTGAAGGAGAAATTCAAACTCTCGTCCAAGGAGGCCAAGGGAGTAGAAGACAGCGAGCACACAATGGACCTCCAAAATCTTCTGCGTGCAGAACGGTACAGCCGACAGCACTTATAACAACAACGAAGTAGGCCATCTTTCCACGAACCAAACGGACACAGTTGAGGCCCTGCGCATGATCCCGCTGGCCCGGTTGTTCTGGCTGCTAGAGGGGGAAAGAGACGCGGACAAGCGAAACAAGTTCCACATCAAGGCGTTCCAGATCTGGAGCTCGAAGAACACGCTGAAAAAACCGACCCATGACAACCCGAACAGAGTGGCACCACTAGCGCAGGGGAATACCAACACGGGGGGGAATGTGTACTCGAGTTGTGCTGGTACAACTGCTCTTTCCCAGCAACAAGACCAACAGCTTTCCTGCTACGTTTTGTCGCCAAAAATGAAGTGGCTGTGCGAGAAAATTGTCCTGTCCACGAAAACCACCTCGAAGCAGTTACAGCAGCAAGGAATTGATGTCGAGGAGAGTGAAGATCTTCTGGATGATGTTGTGGCCTCTGACAACTCCCAGGTCCTGGCAACGACTACGAGGACGTCGCAAGAAGTACTGTCATCTTCCTCCTCCTCCTCCACAGTAGTTCACGTTGAAGCTGGTAGTACAACGACCGCGGGGCGCGGCGCTATTAGTTGTGACCCTGCTACATCAACTACAACTGTGGTATCAGGAACTACATCAGAGATTTGCACCACTACAACGGTCATCACCTCGCACACGACGACCAACAAAACGCTGTACAGTGTCAAGAAGACCCCGGGGCCGATCTACAGTGCCGGTGGCGCGTCGTTTCTGGAGCCGGGAGAGACTTTTGTGAACGGAGAAGTTGAGAATGTGCGGGTGGTGCCAAGAGTGGGAAAACGAGGAACAACTGGGGGAGCAGGAGGTGGAGAAAAGTGCTGGAATAGAAGAGACCATGACGACAGCACGATGGCGCACGACACCCGAAGGGAAGGAGATCAAGAGGTTTTTGACCATGACACAACCCAAAGCTGCAGCAACAAAATCGATCACGTCGAAGTGTTCTGGAATGACAGGCGCAAGCCACGGTGCTTTATGAGAGTGCACAACTCCCCCTCCCCCTCATTTGTGATGCAAAATCCCAGATCCAATTGCTGCCTTCTGGCACTGTATGCATCACAAATTTTGGAAGCCCATCAAACAGCAGTACTACATTGGGCGCATAAATTTGTCATGCACAGCATCCACGTGTGCTAGTGTTTGTATTGCAGTTCGCGCAATACAAATGAGGGGGAGGGGGAGTTGTGCACTTTCATATGCTTAACGATCGACCCGCTTGACGGCCCGGTCACTATTTTGACAAAGCCGTATCCAGGAAAAAAACTGTGTGAGTGTAACTGTGTAGGAAGAGCAGCATCACAAATTCGCTTTGCATTACAGGGAAAACCTGTCATGCGCAGCTAGAACGTGGAAATACGTATGGAATTAGCCTATGACGCAGATCTAGCATGACAAGTGTAACAGTTTTGCACTTTCTGCATCACAGATTTACACTCACATAGTTTTTTTCTTGCATAAGCCGCCCATCTGCTGTAGTGACACAACTGGTGGTGCAAAAATATGGCGTTCTCAACTGTTACATTCTCAACTGTTACATGAATTTGTCATGCAGAACTACCATCAAGATCCACACGAGAAAGCTGCTTCGCATGACAAATTTGCGAAGGGCTAAACAGCGCCTAAATCTGTGCAGAACTTGTAATGCCAGAGGTGCAGCCTCCCCCCTTTCACTTTTGCAATTCTTGCATCACAAAGCCATGTAACAGTTGAGAATGTAACAGTTGAGAACGCCATAAAAAATGAACGACGAGAAGTTCATCTCTAGTAGCTCTGCTGGAGGTGCAGGAGCTGTAGTGAAGATGAACACCGACGATGGCAGAAGTACAACCGCATCCACCTCCTCCACCTCTTCTTTCTACGTCGACGGGCTCGTGAATGCCGCGGCCGCTTCGGTGAATCTGATTCCCCCGTGCGACGAGGGAGCTATATGCAAGAAAAAAACTGTGTAAGTGTAAATTTGTGTTGCAGAAGATGCAACAGAGTTACACCTGTCATGCCAGACAGCCATGAGGTCCTCTTTTCATGTGTGTTTTCCCTTACAAACCATGTATGACAGGTTTTCTCTGTCATGTAGAGCAAATTTGTGATGCTGTTCCTCAAAGGAAGTTACACTTACACACTTTTTTTCCTGGATAAGCTAGTTACATGACGGAGCATAATTACGGAACCACAACAGTGACTAGAACCACGGGTTCTTTTGCAGCTTCGCAAAATCTTCTAAATCAACAGCAGTACAACAATAGCAAAAATTCCAACCAAGAAAACGACTTCCAACTGCACCGCAACGCCGCGAGACACTGTAAAACCGCCTTTAATAACGGAGGTGTGGCCGCCTCCGCAAGTGGTGACGGCGCTGTTGTTCCATCATCGCAGCGCGAAACTGAAGATGATGTTGGTGGTGCAACAAACCTCAAAAACAACAACAAAATTCTAGAATCCCACTCCACCCGCATGATTGAATTTCACTGCTCCCATATGCAAGAAAAAAACTCATGTAAGTGTAAGTCTGTGATGCAGAAAGTGCAAAGTTGTTTACACTTGTCATGCTGGATGTGTGTCATAACCCACTTTCATACGTGTTTTCACGTACTAGCTGCGCATGACAGATTTTCCCTGTAATGCAAAGCGATTTTGTGATGCTGCTCTCCCTACAAACTTACACTTAATACACAGTTTTTTCCCTGGATATCCCACAGTATTTCCAACGGCTCGCTGAAAATCGGGGTGCTCGTGCGGGAAACGAACCCGGCTACCAACCAGAGCTTCTGGGTATCATATGTAAAGACGTCCCCACCCCATAGTTGTAATGCTGGTCTGCATGCTCATGCTGAAAATGTTTGTCATGGGGAGCCCCATGAGAAGCATTTTCTAAATCGTGTTTTGGAATTTGTGATGCTCCAATCAGCATGATGCGCTAGATCTGGGATGCTGCAAAACTACCTGAACAGGATTACTCTACGAGGCCAAAAAACTTGTCATGCGCAACAGCCAAAGCGTAGTTATATATTTGTCTTGCAGATTTCCCAAGAACTTGGCTATGGGGTGGGGACGTTTTTGCACAGGATTCTGGGCGGAGAAAACCACGATGGCGACGGCCGGCGCGAGAAGGCGAACGCGGAGAAACGCAAAGTTTGTGGCGAAATTAAAGGGAGAAGGATACGCCGTCGGGAGCGACAACGAAGGTGATTTTCAGCACGATCCTGAGTTCGCGGAGGAAGTATCCTGTGCAAAAGTATCGTACTCGTATTGCATAATCATGCATTTACAAATCTTTTCCTCAAGGTAAATTAGCATTAGAAATTTTCTCTCTCATGCTGAGGAAATTTGTAATGCATTTATACGAGTACGATGTTGCTTTTGCACTGCATAGGAAGATGCGGTCGATGATGCGAAGGTCGACGTTGAAGACCAGGATTACAATACCCTGAGCAAAAACGTCCCCACCCCATAGTCAAGTTGCAAACTCGGCAACACAAATCCAGAAGTTTTGGGAGCCACGCATGACAAGTTCGTCTCTGTTGTATTGTAAGTGCATCTACTTAGCAAGGACAGCCGCATCACAAACCCATCTCTTTATCCTGTTTACAGCATTACAGAAACAGATCCCAAAACACGACTAGAAATGGCTCTCATTGGAATGCGCATTACAAGTCTTTCTATCTTTGCAAATCTGCATGACAACCCTGGGGTGTGGACGTTTTTACTCAGGATATACAACTACCTGCAGCACGGTGGAGCCAGGTCTTCCAACATGTCGACCGCGGTACGGCCGCGCGGAGGAGGTGGTCAGCAGACGTATACCTCCCGAGGAGGCCCAAGAACTTCCACTTCGGCCAATCGCGGTAGCACTTTCTACCAGCAACCGCAAGCGGGCCACCGTGGAAACAAGAATTACAACAGGATGTCGTCGACACGGGAAGTAGAACACCGAGGTGAAGGATCAGCGGTAGAGTACGATCCTCGTCAAGGAGCGGCCCGCGGCCCGCAAAATAGTAATCCTCGTGGTCAACAGCAGTATCGGATGAACGGAGCAGGACCAGAAGCGCCACCACTTCGTGCAGCAGGAGGTTCTACTTTTCAACAAAACCAACAACGAGACGCACAACTACAACACCCGGGGGGCACCAGCAGCTCTTTGTTCAATCGTAACAAGCAGCACACGACAGCGACATCAATATCTTCGGGTAACAGCTACAATTATTCATCGCACCACGAAATAAACTACCGCGGATCGAACAATGCTGGAGGAATGTCGTCGGCGTCGAATGGGCGTTTTTACTAGAACAAAAGTGGCGGTATACGTGTAGTTGTACACCGAAATTTTTCACTCGATTGCGCCAGAATTTGAGCCAGAACTTGATCCAGAACTTGCTCCAGAACTTGTTCCAGAACTTGTCTCAGAACTTGTCTCAGAACTTGTCGCAGAACTTGTTCCAGAACTTGCCTCAGAACTTGCCAGGAGCTTGATTTTGTGCCCTTTTTTGGCCCACCTTTTTGTCCCGTACCACGACGGCACGGCCGTTTTTTTCCCTTCTTTTTTCCGGCCCCCGAAAACCGTCTCGGCAAGTTCCTGAACAAGTTCTGAGACAAGTTCTGACACAAGTTCTGGGACACACGAGCTCGGCGACAAGTTCTGGACCAAGTTCTGCGCCAAGTTCTGAGGCTCGCAAGTTCCGGGAAGAGTTGGGGCTCTGGAGCAAGTCCCGCAGCAAGTTCCCGAACAAGCCCCGGGACAATTCGCGCCGTAACACGTTCCCGCGCTAGCGCCCCCCCCCAGCAAGCCCTTTGGGAAGTATATTCGGAGCAAGCGAGCCCCACCACGGGGCCCGCGGGCGAGCGTGGTTCGGGCCCTGTTGCTGGGAGGAGTGCTATGTCGGATCGAGCGCGCCGGCTTTTGCCGCTGCATGCCAGCGGCGTGCTCTTGGGGGCGGCGCGCTGCGGGGGCGCGGCCAGGCAGACAGCCCCGCAGCGAGCCTTGTCGGCCGGCCACATCTTCGGCGCCCCGGGGTTTTTTTGAATGGATTGTGGGTACAGGGATGCGGTGTTCCGCGCTTTGGCAGTGAAGCCGGTCTGGGTGTTCGGCGCAGTCTTTTCCCCCCTCGGCAGGCGAGCGGCGTAGGTGGGCCGGGCCCTGGCGCCGAGTGGCCCCCCGGAGTGTTTTCTTTGTTGTCATTGCCTCGCGGGCCGCTGAAGCGCGTTGCTTTATTCCCCGTTACGTTTGCCCAGCAAGCGAAGCCGCGTGCCACCGTGTAACGCGCGTTACACGCTGGCGCTGGCCTTTCGCCTGAGAAGGCTGGCTAAGCAGGCAGGACGCTCGAAACTCGCTCACTGGCCGCGCGGGGCCCTACTGGTTTGACCCTCCCGGAAACGGGCCGAACAAGTTCCGCGCAAGATCTGCGCGAATTCGGGGCACCATACATCTAGACCCATGCTTTCGGAGTAAAAAAGTGGCGGTATACGTGTAGTTGTACACCGAAATTTTTCACTCGAAATGAAACCTGTGTCGTGGAATTATACAGTCGTGAATTGAGGTCTGTAATTGGCTATGTTTATTGTTTCCACGTCGTCGACGACCCATGATATTTTTGACACCTGCTCCGGGTCGTCGTGTAAGCAATTGCAATTCTATTTTTTGCTTTTTTTCTAGCTATGCTCTCGCTTTTGTTTCAACGAGATTGATTTTCAATGAAGCGTTGCTGTGTGGCGTTTATTTTCTTCTGCCGGCTACAACGTCAAGAAGTGTCGAGAAGCTGATCGGCGAAAGCTTTTCCATACAAACCGACGAAAGCGAACGGAGCTAAAAGCTATCTCAGTGTTTATCAACAATCTTGAGGAGCTTGCGCTAGCGCCACTGTAGCTACGTACTAGCACGTTTGCGATATTATTCTTGTTGCAGAAAGAACTAAAGATATCGATTTTTTATGCAGTTAATTTGCATTCATCTTTTTGAAGTCAGATCTAAATAAATTTGTCGAAAGAAGAAATACAACGTATGAAAGTATTTCGACTTCTCAGCCTCACGTTGCAGTTTTTTTCTTAAATAGAGTCGAAAGCTACAGACAACACAGAGAGAAAATAAATATCCGCATAATTCCCAACGGCTCTACTCCTTCCATCTTATCTATTTTTTATAGAATATTTTTGGACCAAGCAGGCCCGCGCGAGACGGCTATCAGTTTCAGTTGGTTGCAGGCGTAGAAGAACTCAGGAAGATGTATATAGAGGACGTAGGAAAATAAATTTGAATTTCTGTTTGTTAGTACAATCGCGGCAGTTGGTGTGCGTAGTTGCGACTATCTTGCAACTTACTACCAGCAGAACTACGAATCTGAAGTTATTGAATATCGGCCTCAAGAACAGTAGTACTACACGTCGGGAGGTCAGTTGTGCCTGGACGTCGTGCCAGGATAGGATATATTCTGGTTAGTTCGACGCACAAGAAGGTAGTCAGTAATATATTCGTTTCCATAAGGCTAAGAACATATCTAAATTTCGGCTCTTCCGCTCGTTCGAACTTTTACTCGGACGCGAGTCGAGTCAGCGGGCGGCTGATATAGACACTTGAAGAAGGTGCTCCTGCCGGCGAGGCTGACCAGCGGTGGGGACTGCTACTTGCATAACAAATTTTTTATCAGACAGTAGCTCGACGCATAATTAACAAAAGCAATAGCTTCTGTAAATGCTTTCTAGAAGGATCAGCAAGCGGCTATTTTTTCTTGCGGCTTTATTTTACAGAGTATAATACCCTGTTTGTATTGGTACGGAGTTGTCTCAATTATATCATTTTCAGCAAGCGGCTGTTTTTGGGCTTCTCCACGGCGAAATGAATATGGTTTACACTCTCCTACTGATAAAAAGTAGCAAGTGAAAAAAAATCTCCAGAGCAGAGTTCTAGTGGGCAAGCGGCCCACTTCTGCGACATTTTCATCTATACGGGGTCCTCTGTTTCTAGTAGTAATTTTTTCGCTATGATGATGAATCCGATGATGTTGTCAGGAGCTAGTAAAAAAGGTGGAAAATTGTTGTTTACTGCAAATTATTGCACGGTACCACATCACGAAAGAGACTGCCAAAAAAATTCTCTCGCACCCAGACTCGTCCACCGCCTGGAGAAGAATCCTGTCAGAATGGTACTTAATATCGTCACTGGACAAAATAAAGTAGTACAACAATTAGGGGTGAGATAAAGATAATATTCGACTTCATTCACGTCGTTGTCTATTGGAACTAGAAGCACATCCACAACTAACTTCTCAAGCCCGCACAGGGCGAGCACAATAAACTAACTGTAGATGGTACAACTAGTAGTAAATCTTTACCAGGAAATAGAGGCCCCTGCGCCACGCAGGTCTATGCGTTTTTGGCAACATAGAAGCCGCGTCACGCTGACTGCTGGAACAATCGGGACAGCTGTGTCTTTGGTAATAAATTATGCCCTCGTATCCTGTGCAAAAGTATCGTACTCGTATTGCAGTCATGCATTACAAATCTTTTTCTTACGGTAAATCCGCATTACAAATTTCATTTCTCATGCTTAGGAAGTAATGCATTTATACGAGTGCGATGCTTTTGCAGTTCATACCTCGCTGTGTCTTTGGTACTAATTATTCTGATAGAGATTCCTTCTTTTCAGTTGCGTTTTTTTTTTGTCTATTACCGCGAGGATTTTCATTTGGCATGTCGAATTTCATCGCTTTTCTTGCTGGCATAAAAATGATTCGGTAGTTTTGTCAAATACAAGGTTTCAACATCGAGTAGAGCAATGATTGAGGTATTTGAATACGCTCGTTGTTCCTTTTTAAAGCGTCAACCAAAAGATATCGCACCTGTTTCTAATTTCATCTAGGGCGCAAAGTGACAACATTTTTGATACCGCACTTGTAAATCAGCTGCTCGTGAATTTGCGAAGATAAAAACTTGTTGTATCTGTAGCCCGACAATTACTGCGCCATGTTTCAAGAATTGATCAGAAATTCGACAAGCAAATATGCCCTTTGCACAAGAAGGACTAGTATCTGTAGCTGATATCCCCTGCGGGTGCAGTCCATATATTTCACCGGAATACAACAACAGACCACGCTTTCAAAAATATGCTTGTATGGGCACAATTTGTAGTTGTTTCGAGGTCAACTAATCGTAATCCAAGAAGTAGAGTTTGAATTCACTGGAAGTACAATCGGACGAGAGGCTTCTACTATGGTGGAAATAAAATACTAAAAATAATATGAATGTTTTTACTATTCCGCCGAGGACTACAGCAGCTTGTGGCTGTGGTACAACAAGGCGTCGCTTAGATGTTGGTCAGATCGAACCACGAAATAATCTGAAAAATTCTCGAAGAAATATAAGGCGATGCAGTTGCGTAAAAATATTAAATCTCGACGACGTGCTGTCATAATCTAGAACGTCGTCAGCGGGTCCGATAAGTGAATCCTCGACCTCCACCAATGGGAGCTCGAGTACATTGATGTTCCAACGTTGGAACAGGAACAAGAACAACTTCTGCGGTTGTCCGCGACCTGATGCAGAAAGAAGTACTAAACAGATCTTGTAAAAATTAGGCTGTTGACCTGGATAAAATTGATACGGAAAACAAGATGTAGCAAGCACCGCACATTCGTTCCGCAAATAAATCAATGTAGTTGATGAAGGTTTCTTGAAATAAACTTCACGCCGCGACGAGTTTTTACCACGATAATCGATCTTCAGACTTATTTTCAACCCTGGACGATCCGCATCCGAACTCGAAACTACGCGTGCCGATCTGTTCTTAGTTCCGGGTAGTTGTTCCACTTTGTATTTGCAGCACACGATAATTTCTTAATTCCTAATCTTATCATCATAGCAGCCTTGAATGATATGATTTGGTCTTGATGTTGCTTCATGTTGTTTTGAAAAATACTTCAACTCCCATCATGTGAAAACAGCGACACAAGAAATATTACCGCCAGTTTGTTGATTTCGGATGAGGTATCTACGTAGTAATTTCCACGACAAGTACATGATGAATTAGGCCCGCAGAATCTAGATAGTTATTCGCATTGTCTCCACCATAATTTAGCCTACTGCCTAGCGTTATCTTCACTTCGGGCACCACGACCAGGAGGACTTCGCTCTAGGAGCAGCGTCCGCCACGACGAGGATCTCTTGTTGCACGACCTCTACTGCTCCGGCGCCAGGGCGTTTGATCTGATATACTTTCGTCCAGCAGTTGTGGAGACAGAAACAATAACCCAAGCCCCTTGACCCCCCAAACCACGACAAGATGGCGCGTAACTTGGAGAAGCAAAAGCACTCCCTAAACAAGTACTGGGACCATCGAAATGCGATGGAAAAGGACGGGTACACCGGCCACTCGTGGCTGGCGTACAGTTATGACATTGCACAACTCCCCCTCGTTCTCATTTCTCATGCAAAATACCAAATCCACGCTTTGCCTCTTGTCACTATTATGCATGACAAGTTCTGGTAGCCGCCCAAATAGCACTACAATCCAGTGGAAATTTGTCATGCAAAACCGGCACTCTTGCTGATGCTTGTATTTTTGCCGTTCATGCTATACAAATGAGGGGGAGGGGGGGGGGAGTTGTGCACTCTCATAACAGTGAGCGAAGACCCAAAATTGCGGAGTCGGTGACCACCCTGAAGGAGGCGAAAAAATGGTGGAACAACCTGAAATGGGAATTGTCCGAGAAAATCATGCGGATCCAAAACGCCACACTCCCCGAGGCCGAGATCCGCGACATGAACGACGACATCAATCGGCTGATACGGGAACGAGGTTTTTGGGTGGACGCAATACGAAATCTCGGAGGGGAGGACTTAACGGCGCAGATAAAACCAATGGAACTAGACGGGAAGGAACTCTACGCACACAGCGGGTAAACTTATTTGTTATTCACCTATTCCAGATGAGCCACGCTGTGAAGATGCTCTTGACAAAGATAAATTGCGTTTTATTCAATCGCATAGTTTTAGTTCTTTTCATCTGTGGTCCCACAGATGAAGTGAAAGTAGAGATTAGAGATACAACATGAGGACATCGCTTTTTCTACTGATAAGTGAAGAATTTCAGTACGTGCATTCCATTTAAGGAACAATCAGAATCAAAATCGACGTTCTTTATCAGGTACAAATATTTCGGTGCGGCAAAGGACCTTCCCGGTGTAAGAGAATTATTCGACCAACAGATAGCCGCGGACGAAAAACGGAAAAAGAAGAAAGAGCTCTACGAAAACATCCTTCCCGATTATTTCGTATGCATTGCAAATATGTCTGGGTCTGGGAGAGTGCTGTAACTTGTCATGCTACATCTGGATCGTGGAAAATAAAATTTGTGTTGCAGGATTACCAAAAGAGGTCCCCTTTTGAACAAGTTTAGAGGCAGTTTCTCATGCAGGAGCGGCATGATAGAGATCTCACAGAACCTGTCATGCTAGGCCGCGCATGGCAGACCGCGTGGGTCATGGAAAACCTGCATGACAAACCTACCAGTCTTCCAGACCCAGACATTTTTGCATTTGATATTTCGGCTGGCGAGACGAAAATGATGTAGAGTTGCTTTTCGAGGAACAGGCGGCAGAAGCGGAAATAGCAGCGGACCGGCTCGAGGTATAGAGTTTGACATACTATGTTCGATGTGTTGATTGTGCATAACAAGAAACTGCAGCGGTACAACTACCTTTTCGCGTTCGAAAGCCACGATCTACGTAAAAATGGCGGTCGTATTTCCTCTGCATCATGACACGACTAACAGCATCACGCTCATGATTTTTCAACAACAAACTGCATGACAAATTTTTATGCACAACTATCTATCAGAACATGCCGGAGCAGCTTCGGAAGGCGATGGAGTTGCAGCAGCAACTGGGTTATGAACTGCAAAAGTACCGTACTCGTACAGATGCATTACAAATTTCCCCAGCATGAGAAATAAAATTTGTCATGCGGATTTACCGTAAGAAAAAAATTTGTAATGCATGACTGCAATTACAATGAGTGCGATACTTTCGCACTTCATATGGGTGTATCGGCGAAACACGGCACCACCTCGTTCTCCAAGGCCTTGATTGAAGAGGAGGAAAGAAAAAAGATGATATGCATGGCAAATGTGTCTAGGTCTCGAAGATCGGGCGATTTTGTCATGCATCTTTTGGAGCACACAGATGCTGTGGAATGCGCGCAAATGCATTTACAAGTTCTGTTCAAGCCCCTTGATGTTGCCCGTCCTGCATGAGTAACTCGGTATTTCTACGGAGCAAAAAGTGGACACCTTTTGGCGTTTATGCAACACAAGTTTTATTTGCGGAGTCCAGAGGACTTTGCATTACAAGTTCGGATGCTTCCAGGGGACCCAGACGTATTTGCAATGCATAGATGAAGGACGGGGAGAATTTGGACCACAACAAGAAAATTTCCTACGTCTACACGCCGACGGACGAGGAAATTCAGCGGCTTTTAACGGAGAAGAAGCGGCAGTTGGCATTGCAAAAGGTTTCGAAATACATAACCAAAGAAGAATTAGACGACAACGAAGAAAAGCGGAAACTCGCGGGCCAGCACTACGTGGAACCCGAGAAAGCGAAACGGAACGACTAGATTTTTCCGTCGTGTGCAGCTCTCTTACTACAACCGTAGTTGTCCACCTCCTTGAGGCCGCTATGAGGCTGTGCTTTTCCAAGAAGTAGAAGAACAACTTCTCTTTCTAGAGCTCAAGTGAAAGAAAGTAGTTTCATACCTCCAGCCGCATAATGTGGCGCAGAAGTTAAAATTGATTTACAACAGCACAATCTGTTGGGCGATTCTGTGCTGTGGCACAGCAGATAAAGTCGTGCTGGTGTGTTCGTGGTCGTAGTCGTGGTGATTCAGAACGACAGATATGTCCTCGCAGGAGATGACTAGATGACACTGTCGGCGGACGCTAGTACACCTTTGCCACTGCGATTGGAAACCGTTACAACAATTGGAAAGTGCACTGACAGTTTTTTTTTCTTGCAGCTCCGGCTGCATTGTGCTGCTAGTTGTAGTAAACCCATCACGACCTGGTGCATTTTCAGTTGTGTTATCTTCATCGTGCCTCCTGCTCTGCACTCTTGCTTTTGACACCGCGGCTCGGTGCAGCTAGTAGTGCTAATGTTGTGACCTTGCCGTAGTTTTCCTCAGCATTTTTGCCTCGTCGGTTTTAGAAGAAATCTCCTTGAGTAGACCAAGAACACTAGAACACGAGAATGACTCTTCGATCTCAAATAAAGTGCGGCTGGTGCGACAACCTGGTTGTTCCGACCTTCACAGCAAACCTGGGTGATGCAGACCAACATAAGAACTCCTCCTCATCTGCAAGTGGTACTACGCCGCGGCCCCCGCCGGCTTCAAACTACAGCCAGGACCGGGAGTGGACTGCAGGTGGTCACGAAAGAGTACACAGTGATCACCGTCGTGATCAACAGCAGCGGGCCGGTGAGCAGCTCTACTGCGACTCTTGTTGGACGTGGTGGCGGGAGAAAAAGCGACGACAGCAGGCGGCGGTCCCGCAGCTGCGCCTCACTGTGTTGCACGACCGGACATTTCTTAGCTCGCAGAATCACCAAAAGCTCGTGCAGCAGAGGACCCCTATCGCTGACGGGGAAATCCTCTACCTTCCCGGGTATTTTGATAGAAAAACGAGCGAAAAAGCGTGGGCAATGTTGCTGGAAGCAGCTGCAACGACGCGGCACCGTGGCGTCGAAAAAAATGAAAAATTTATACCTCCTCGTTCAGAATCAGACGACACCAGTGCTGCTAAGTCTGTGGTTACTACGGCCTGCTCTAAACCGTGTCCCCCGTGTTCTAGTGCGAGGACCACGCAGAAGTGCTTGTGTGAAAAAAACGCGGGAACAAGAACACAGAACTGCGAAGACGAAGACCAGGCGGGACACGCAGTTCTCGAGTGGAGCCAGCACCACGCTTTAGATTTGGCGAAATTCAGGTCTTCTGACGGCCACCAGCAGCAGTGTAGTTCGCAAGAAACCCAAATATCTTCAAACGCTTTCCACGCCTTTTTGTCCCAAGTTTTGAAAGACTGGGAAGAGCAATTCGATGTCACGGTGCGGATATCAAGTGCAAAAATGTCTGGGTCTGGAAGGATGCATGTTTGTCATGCACATTTTGCGTGACTCTGACTCCTGACGTCTGCGATGCATGCCCTAGCATCACAGATATTGTGAGGGCGTTCTGATGCCTATACCGCATGAGAAATGCCCTCTGGCCGTGGGCAAAACCAAGCCTCTTTTGCTGTTCATGCAATACAGATTTTTGGATAATGCAGACGAAGCATCACAAGTTCCAATCTTCCAGACCCAGACACTTTTACATTTGATAGCGGAAAGAGCGGGTAAATTTGTACACGGAGAGTGAGTATCCTATGCAAGAAATGTGTGCAAAAATAGAAGTGGACCAACTTGTGTTGCTTGTGTTGAATTTTTCCAGGAGATGAACTAGAGTTTGTGTTGCTTGACCGGCAACAAGAAAATCCTATAGCGAAACTTTCTCTTTGTCATTCGCAGACGGGGTTCGCAACGCGCACTGAAGATTTATAATTGTAAGAGGAGCATGCACCAGGGGAGAATCTTGAAAACAAAATGCCATGCTCGGATGTTGCACAAGGTGAAGATCGTGTCTATCCACGACGTCGATTTAGCAACACAAATTCTACTTCCGAGACCCACAGCTTGGATTTACCCGTGGATACTGACTGGAAGCCGTTTCACCAGGACAGCCACGGGTGGCACACGGAGAAAGTAGTACGGCAGGTGCCACCAGCCCGTAGCAGCACAAGTAGAGGTCAAGACGACGATGATGTCCAGGAGAGCGCAAGAATATCAGCCGAGCCCGGCAGTGAACATGGATACCATGTGGCACAGAGCGAGGACCACGACGACATATATTCTTCCTACTACGACGACGTCACGATTGCCGCGAGCTTTGGAATCAGACCGCGGGATTTGGCGTTTCGGCCGATTATTTCTCCTGCCAGTTGTAGAAGGGGAGAGCACGAGCAGCATTGGAGGCACAGCTGGCGTGGAGGCAACCAACAGCACCAGGACGACTTGTTCCACTTAAGTCTCCAACAGAACGCGGGCGACGTGCTGATTTTCGATTCCAAAGTGAACGACGTTTTTGAACACGGCGTGCCGGAAGTAGTGCTAGAAGGCGAGCGAAATGTCGTGGGCCACGCCGAGCACACGGAAGCCAAACTTCTTCCCACTCCTTCAGCTGCCGACGACGAAGTAGATGCGGATGCCTGCGAAGGGGGAGAGGGGGGAGAAGCGACGAAGACGATTTGGGGTGCTGATGTACGTTTGCAGAAGGTGTTCGCGGATGAAATAAAACCGAGGGCGGGAACTGCGCTGCATTTTACGCGTGCGAGCATTATCGCCTGGTGCTCGCGGAACGAGAATTATTTAGATCCGAGAAGACAAGACTGCAGATATTTGAGTCGTTGAAGATGGGGCTACAACTAAAATCATAGCAGTGATGGCAGATGAGGCGGAGGCCTAGGGCAAGCAGTTGTCCTGCACCTGCTCTTATTGTCACTGCCTCTCTCTAATCTAAATCTTTCACCTCTTTGAATAATTCATCTCGGACCTGCTACAACAATTCATGCCCCTCACGATGTTGTAGAAAGAATCTGAATTATCGTTCGCGAAGTACACGACCCTATCATGCCATGTAGATGCATGAGGAAAACTTTTCCTCATGCATCCGAAAAGGATCATTTAGCACCACGGGCACGGCTGCTCGGATGAACAACGGGATTAAAAATGATAGGAAATCATGAGGGAACACGATGAATGTCAATGAATTGTCGGTCACAAGATCAACATCCTCGTGGAGGAAGAAGCTAGTAAAACTAAAAACAGCTGTCGGTCCTCAAAGCTGCAGGATCTCGATCTCCCCAACAGTCGGTAGACACAAAATCAAAACCGCCGTGTTATCATGAGCAAGATTCATATAAATTTCGCAGAAGGTCGTGGTGGTCTTCTATGCTGTCGCCATGATGAAATGCATCTTGTCGCTAGAATCGTCATCGTGGCAAATAAGATCGATAATTTTTAAAATATTGATGACATAAAAAATTCTTGAACCGCATCAACCACTCTGATTCTACTCTGACCAGGCCTCTGATTTTTAAAAAAATACCACCCAAGAACTCCAACCGAATTCCCCGTCTATCAACTTTTTCTTGTGATTTTTGGAAACCCTTACACGCAACCGGTGCCCTGCTAAAGACCATCCAAGTTTTGAATCCCTTTGTAGTTGTAGGCAATTGTCAACTAGCGAGTCTTTTTGAATTATCACTTCCAGAGGTGTATTTATTTACAACATCGGTAGAAGGTAGACCACGTCCAAAGAGTTCTACATACATACACAAGGAAGTAGTCAACGCGGAAACAAAATCATGATGTCGTCTCTCCGTCGTACCATTGTGGCGTTTTCTGTCGCCTTCGTTCGTCCTACTACCATGCTCGACGGTGTGAACGGCCTGCGAGTGTTCCCGAATACTTACGGGGCCCCCGATATTTTTATGCCCGTATCCGAGTTCGCGCCGAGCACGAGCATGGACCAGCAGCGGCGTGCGGTGGGGAGCGCGGCGTCGACGCCTGCCTCGGCGCGCCGGTCGCTATCGGATGCAAATTAGTGTGTCTCCGTCTGGATTTGGAACACGAATAGTGGAGGAAACTTCTGAGTTGATGATCCTATGTGTCATCTTTCTTGGTACTGACATGAAACAAGCAACACACGAGAGAAGAAAAAACCGGGGGCATTTATTTATTGCAGCGGAAGATGATCCTGAACGATACCGAGAGTGAAACCCAGCAGTGGCATCTCTACTTCGGGTTCTTGCATGTCTTTACCATTCTGCATGAAAATCGACCGGACGACGCTCTTTGAAAGCATTTTCAATATGCATGTTGATAAATATGAATATCACTGTCACGTTAGGCAGTGGAACAGCAAGAAGGCGACACAGGAAGATTTGCAAATCCACAAAGGCAGGCGACGACGCAGGAACACGAACAGGAGCCAAATTCTTGCCGATTTGGTCGATTGGCAGGCTGTGTGAATTTTCTTTTTCGTAGAGGCCCCAGACACGACACAGCAGCTGCATCGCAAGCTTCTCGAACCGGAACTGCTTCTGCGGGGCCCCGGGCTTTTGGACCCGCAGCTGGCTCTGTGGTGTCGGACTCGACAAACATAGGCCGGCAGCCTCGCGAGCAGCCCGTGGGAAACCAATATGCATTGCAAACAGGTCGCTGGGCTCTGGAAGAGCAGTAGTATAATTCTGAAAACGACCCATGTGCACCCTTCCTGCGCGCGTGCGCGAACTCTGTATTACAGGGCGGAGGAGATTCGTGAACCCTGCAAAAGGCATTGATAAATGCATGCTGCGATGAATGAAGCAGAGCCCGATTTTCAATAGTGCTCCTGCTTTCTGATGCGAATTAGAAAGGGCGTTTTGTCATTTTTGATAGCTTCGTGTGCGTACTGTGGTCAGTTTATCTACTCTTATGTACAACTATTCTGTTTCTTTCACCATTACAACTTCAACTTTGTTCCAGACCCAGATCGATGATTGCACTGGATAGAAGCGAAACAGCAGGCCACGCTGCTGCTGTCGGGGTTACAACTGAGAAGAAGAACAACAAGAAGAAGAACAAGAAGGGAAGAAGGCAAGAAAAAGGTACGGGTACTATGGCCGATGTTTACTATGCTTTGGAACGGCAGGAACGGTACGAGGAGCAGCTTGCACAGCTGCAGCGTGCACGTGCGGAGTCCGCGCCGGCTGGAGATGCGAGCCTAAGCCAGGGGGAAGACACCGAAGTCCAAGGCGGCATTCAACAGCAAAGCCGAAAACATGTCATCTCTAGGCGCAGCACCATTCAGCGTCAGCGAAGCCGAAGCGTATGACTAGAAAGGTCATCGATCATCTTCTACGGCGGGGGGCAAAACGCACAGGGTTCTATTTGCTGACTTTGCAATACAAATTTTTGTCGAGTGCCCCACCTCTAAGATGACTGCTTTATTTTGTCCACAGGTCGACAGGGGTCAAAGTCGAATCGTTTGAACATACTTGCTACACGCAATTTACACGCTGGCGCAAATTTTGTGTATGTTCGAACTTTCCGCGCGTTTTTTTTAGCATCGGCCCGTAGTTCTAGCATTAAAGCAAGCTAGCATAAGCATCTGCACAGCATCTGAACGCCATACGAGCAGAGGCTAGAAGTCTCTGAAGTAAAGTATTGCAACCCATATATATAAGAAAAGTACAGAGGAGGCAGTTTTGCAGCGAATCGCGGAAGAGTTTTTCAGCGAATCGCTGAAGAGCAGCAACCACTGTGAAGTACTTCTCCGTACACGCAAACTCAAGCCAAATGATCAAGCACTTTCGCTGATTTTGATGAAGTTTTACCTTCGTGAACAAGTAGAGAACGGGTTCTCCAGCATGAATTATGTCGTGCAGTATAAGTAGTGGCTTTACCTCTTTTGATGTCAAAAGTTGTACGAGGGCGCACCAGGCACTTACATACAGCAGAACGGCAACAACCATGACGACAAGGACAAGGGGGCTGCGTCGTATATACAATTCTCACTGTCTCTGTGTCTGTCTCTCGAAACCCCATTCCCACTCCGAGTAAAAACGCTTAGACATCAGAGTGCTCGATTAGAAATACAGATGATGAACGGACCACTTCCACGAGCATACTTTCTTCACCAATAATATGCTCGAGTTTTAGGATGAAGATGATGAACTACAACATCAACCTTAAGCTTTTTGTACAATATGCTCACCTGCAAGTGCAAGCACAGGTAGCAGCATCCGCTAGAGTGCAGGATGCGCAATGAACGTGGCTGCACCAGGCTGCTCTTGATTTTTTTTTTGGTTCCATCTTGCCCTCCTTTGTTCTTGGCGCCGCACCTGTCGATGCCTCGTCAGCCGTAGGCAGATGATTTAAGTCATGTCATTTGTACGAACTTGGATTTTCATCATTTTTCGTCGCTAAGTTTTAGGAGATTTTTGCAGAGAGCCACCCTGGACTGTAGAGCAAATTTGTAATGCTGGCACTCCAAGAGACCTACACTAACACAGTTTTTTCCCTGGATACTTCTACTTTTTCATCTAAGCCTGAAGCAGACTATAGCAGTGCCCCGGATGAAGATGAACATAATTCTAACATCGCACTCCAGATTTCCGAAACCGCGGTATTGTTCCAGAAATTTCTCTTCGACTTTGTCCCTAAACTGTTTGAAAAGATCGAGACGATTGTGGAACTCGAGATTTTGTTGTTGTTCGCCCTGGGTTGGAAGATTCTGCGGCGACGGCTGAACATGACAGAAATTCGTTTTCTGCTCGGGATCGGCGTGATTAGTTATCCTGTGCAAAAGTATCGTACTCGTAGTAATTGCATTTATGCACTACAAATCTGCTTCTAAAGGTAAATCAGCATTGCAAACAAATGCAATTTATAATATACTAGTACGATGCTTTTGCATTTCATATTGGTTTCTACCTGGCGATTTTTGAGCTGACGTGCCAAACCACGAGCACCCTATCCACTGCAAAAGTATCTGATACCCGTAAGTATAAATGCAAGTCTTGCATTACAAATCTCGTTCCCAAGGCAAATCAGCATGACAAATTGCATTTCTCATGCTGAGCAAAAATGTAATGCAATCCATACTAGAGCGACACTTTTCCTTTTGCAGTTCATACACCTGCTCGGGCTACAAGCTGTCGCGGGACATTCTGCACAGCCTCGCTTTTTTGGTGATCATCGTGGCGGTAAACTTCAACCTGCACTCGCTGGGGATTCTATCAAATGCAAAAATGTCTGGGTCTGGAAAGCTGTGATGCTGAGTTGTGCATGATTGAAGCGCGTTCAAAGGCAGCCAAGCATGACAAGTTCTTCAGACGCCTGCTGATGCCTAGCACGC